GACGGCAAGGACGGCACGGGCGGCGTCCGCGTCGGCCCCAACGGCCAGGTTGTGGCCGGCGATGGTCAGAAGCAGGGCGGTGGGAGCAAGGACGGCAAGACAGGCGACCGCGTCGGACCCAACGGCATTATTGTAGGAAACGATGGGCAGAAGCAGGGCGGGGCGAGCAAGGACGGCAAAGAGGGCGACCGCGTCGGACCCGACGGCATTATTGTAGGAAACGATGGGCAGAAGCAGGGCGGGGCGAGCAAGGACGGCAAAGACGGCAAGGGCAGCAAAGAGGGCGACCGGGTGGGCCCCAACGGCCAAGTCGTGACGGGCACCGAGCAGAAACAGGGCGGGGGGGCCGACAAGGGCCAAGGCGGCGACCGCGCAGGAGCGTACGGGACGTACAAGCCGCAGCCGACGGGTGTGCGCGTCAACACGTTCGCGGAGGGCAGCACGTACACGGGCGCGGACGGGCGGATGCGCGTCAAAGTGCCCATGGCGAACGGGCGCGTTCTCGGCTTCGTGCCCTACAACAAGCACTTGCCTGGCCACGGGGGCTTCTCGCACGGAGGCGGTTAGGACACTGTCAGTAATAGGTTATTTCAGGACACTGTCAATATTTGGTTGTTTAGGACACTGTTCATATGGTTTGATGCCTTTCGCAGTTCCTAAGACGTGTGACGCAGACGTGGTTGGTTCACACGTTATATTATGATACCTCCTACATTTCTGGCCTGATGACTCACTCATACGCGGTTTTTTTCCTTTTCAGTTTCGCACAGCACGCACCTGTCAACAGCCTTGATCGTCGGCGGCCTCCGCACGCAGGGCTCCCAACATCGCACTCAATGTCTCGCGAACGCGCTCCATATCTAGGCGTGGCCCAATGGACGTCCACGCTTCGTCGCGAAGAAGTACTGTCGCCAGAACACTGTCGTCCTCGTCGCAGGCTAGGGCTGTACGCAGGGAATCGGACCACATTTCCTCGAGAATTGGCCGGAGGTCATGCGTCACGCGCGACTGCACAAACGCTGGAAGCCGGACATTGTCGCCTACTGCCAGCGCCACTGACATTGGAATGCAGGAGTCCCGGCATGGCAGTTGCTCCTCATCGGAAACAATAGGACATGCAAGGTGGTCTTCGAACCACGTGAGTGGGTCGGGTTCGTGCTGCCGGCCATTGAGCTGGTCGCGTCTGCGACTGCACACAGTGGACGGGGTTGTGCACATGCGGTTATCTGTGCGGTCGGGAGCGCCATGGCAGTGCGCGGTCTGCGTAAATGTGACGCGCACGGGGCCGATGTGATCTAAAGGGCTTCCGAATAACCACCGAGGGTTGCTGCTGTATGCCCTCTCCCACGGCCGCATGAGTTCATGGTCGTCCGAGGGGCGTCTATGGTCCAAGCCGCCTACGCCCGAGTCCTGGAAGCTGCGCGAGCGGTCGAGGGAATTGGAACATGAAGAGCTTCGAAGAGGTGGCGGCCCGAAAGTAGGAGGAGGAGGAGGAGGAGGGCCGGCGGTCTCGGGTGAGGCGGACGGTGTGCGCCGCGGCGGAGGAGGGCAAGTTTCGAGACAGGCTGCGGTGGCATACGCCGCGGATGCTGCAGCGGCATAGCTTCCCCGATTGCAAAAGTCATACTCCTCTACATCGTGACGAGCTTTAGGGTGATCGAGCACTGACGCGCCAGTGCTTGGCCCAGGGTAGGGAGGTGGCGATTTGGGACCGAGGTCTGTGAACTCTGAGAGAATGAGTGCAGAAGGTACGGGGCTCAGGGCGGACGCGGGAGAGGCAGACGACTTGGCAGCGTCAACCGGCGGCGCGAGCACGGCGACAGAGGAGGTTTCAACGAGCTCGGGATCATCGTCCTCGTGAGTTATGGGCTCGACGAAATCGCCGGGCTCGGTGAACTCCAGCGGCGTCTCTGTTGCCTTGGTGGCTTTCGTGAGCTTGAAGGCCTCCTCGAGCTTGACCTCGGCGAATGACTCGGTGCTCTCGGGCAAGAGAGGACGAAGTTCACGGTGAGTTGCGCGCGCAGAGTCAGGATATTCGCCACTGGGCGCTCCGGGAGCTTCAGAATCAGAGATGAGTTCCCAGTGATCGTCATCTGAGGGCGGGGAGGGTATGGAGATAACCGAGAAGGTTGGTGAAGGTGGAGCTTGCTGATCCATTGTGAGCGATGAGGAGGAGCGCAAGGTGTGAAGACGAAGCGAGTGGATGGGAACTCGTGGGAGACGGGAGAATGATGGGTGGCAACAACATGCACAGGCACATATATTTGCGGGCACACCATTGCAACTAGATGACCCAAGGTACAATGGTGATAATCCGCATTCCTTCACGTCTCTGCACGTCTCTGGTGGTCCTAGGATACTCTGACGGCCCAGTCACGCATCATTCGCTTTCTTTTAGTCTAGTCCAATAATGTACATGACAGAAGGTGCTGGCTAGGTACAGGTCACGATGCGGTGGGTTTTGTTGTAGTGCTACTAAGAATATCTATACGGGTATGTCGAGCGCCGAGCTACCGGCCTGTTTTCGCTGCTGGTATAATCGCCTAAGCATCCATCTCAAAGAGGACGACCTCTGCGACCTTGCGGTTCACGTTCTCCGTCACGAGCTCGTCGCCGACCTTGGCGCCGCGGATGAAGACACCATCGCCCTCGCCGAGGGTGGCGGTCTGGCCACCAAGCGAAACCTTGACCTGGGCGACGGCGCCGTCTGTCGGGGCCTTGCGCGGGTTGTATCCGCTCGTCTGAACGACCTGGACGTATACGAGCTTGCCGTCGCCTGAGCCGCGGTTACGAGCGACGAGGTTGTGGTTGACAGTCGTGCCGGGCGAGATGAGAGAGGCAAAGAAGTTGAGATCCGACGCGATAGGGACGGGGCCAGTGCCCTCGCGGGCATCAATGACGCCGGGGTACCCCAGCGGCGCGACAATGTGGGCCCACTTGTCCTTCTTCTCCTCGTCCGTGAAGTGGCGGTGGAAGTACTGCGGCTTGAGGCCGCGCTGGTAGGGGTACGCCCAGATTTGGAGGAAGTGGACCGGCTCCTTGGTGTTGTCGTTGTACTCGGAGTGGCTGATGCCGGTGCCACCAAATGTCATCTGGACGTCGCCGCGGCCCATCTCCTCGACGTTCTTCATCGAGTCCTGGTGCGCCAGTTCGCCAGATACGACGTAAGAGAAAATGTTGGCCTCGCGGTGGGCGTGGGTCGGGAAGCCTTGCATGGGCTCGACGCGGTCCTCGTTGATGACACGGAGGCAGCCAAACTCCTCAAACGCCGGGTCATAGTACGAGGCGAAGGAGAAGGTGTGGAAGGTCTTGAGCCAGCCATGGTTGGCCTGACCGCGAGTCTCGGAAGGGCGGAATTGGAACTTGACGGCGGACATGTTGGTGGAGTTCAAGGCGGAGGCCGGGGCTGAGGTTGAGGAGTAGCGGGCGAAAAGACTGCGTGCCGCGGAGCGGGCTGTGGATGGGAGTGTAGGGCGAAGTATGATGGCAGTGAGGCCGATGAAGATTGAGAGGAGGAGGGCGCGGAAGGCGCTGTTGAGGGCTGGAATGGTGAAAGTTGTCTTGTGGAAGTCGCTGTGGAAAGCTGATAAGAATGGAGGGCGGTTGGAGAAGCGTCTTTTATACCTTGCGGCAGTCTCGGTTGAGGACGCGGAAGTCTGGGAGTGCTGACAAGAACGGGGACGACGAGGGCGACATGGTGATCATGTTGGCGCAGTCGGTTGGTATGGATTTTGAGAGTGATGTCACATCACTGGGAATCCATCGCCCAAAGAGGCAATTTCCGTGGCCATTAACAGGTCATAGCTTTGATAATCGTTCTCGGCCCCGGCTGCCCCCACGTTGCTCATCACTCAGCCGAGCAGCGCGAGCAGGCCAAAGCAGCTGCGAGTAGAGGCCTCTCGTACATTCTACTCTATTACGATACTGTGCAATGATCGCTGGAAGCTGCCCGTGACGTGGAGTTTTTATAGTCGTTTAGAGATCAGTGACGATGCCCGCAGCACTGTGAGTATTCAAACTGCCTAGAAGTATGCATACCGCAGAGTAGGAATAATAATGAGTGACTCACCACCCCTTCATACAATACTAATAAATCACTACTATTGGGCGTGTCTGGCCAGGCCCGAGGCACCTCCAGATACCTAAAAGTCACGTGACTACTCTGCTGCCCATCGTTTCCGCCGCTTTCGGTTGGCGCAGAGAATTGGCTTGCATGGCTTGATGCGGGATATGCGGGCTCGGCGAGGAGACTAACACGCGCAATGTGGATTGCGCCACGAGCGCCATTGAAGCGAGCTTGTGAGAGTTTTGAGCGCTCAGAGCTGATTGCGGCAGCCAGAGATCGCTGGGGAGGTACCGAGATGCAGCGGAGGAGAGCAGCTCGGGGCAGAGCATAATCCTGGAGAATGCGAGGGGACTTGAATTGCATCCACAACGCCACCCAATTCAATAAGGCTCGACCAGCTCTCCCCGCTCACGCCAGCCAAGCCACTGCCCCTGGAGTATCGTCGTTTAGACCAGGCTTGCGAAGCGGGCGTGCATGTGTCAGTCACTATTCACTTATTACTCTTCATCCTCCATCGCCGTGCGTTCACACGCGTGAACGCGTGAACGCGCGTCGCCGCGTCGCCGCGTCGTAGCATGCCTCATCTCACCTCTCCTCCCCGTTCACGTCCCCTGATATTGAATTCGGTTCACCGTGCGCCACGCCGGCGCCAAACTCATCCGCACCAGGGCACGTCGCGCGCGCGGCGCGCGCCGTGACGCGAATCCGGTCAATCGGACAAAGCGGCGCGGGCGATCTGGTCACTGGTCCAAAGTTGAGCTAGACCTGCAGGAGCGCGATCATCGTCAACTAATGGACGGTGCAGCTTGCAGGTGTAGCGAGCTACAAGCGGGGCGAGAGGACGTGCTCACTCTCCTGGAATCCTGCAATTTCCTGCAATACAGCAGTTGAAAGAGGGAGGAGGCCGAGGAGGTCGAGGGGGCCGAGGAGGGCCGAGGGAGAGTGAGAGAGAAAGAGGAGGAGATGTGCGAGGAGATCAAGCTCGGAGATCGGAGAGGATCAAAAGCAAAGGCGCGAGGAAGCGAGGCATGTGAGTATTCTGCCCTTGGATCCTTTGGAGGTGGTGGCGTTGACTTGCGCCTGTTTTGTCTCCTCTCTCAACCTTCCCTGATCAACTGCTCTGCATGCTCCGCTCTCAACGTCGCTCCGCGCGCTGAAGCGATCAAAGCCAGCTCAAGCCATGCAAGCCAGGCTGACCACCACGCTCTCAACTCGATCCTCGAGCTGCATGAACCACATCTCTTTCAGAACATCCATTGTCTCACTCTCACTCGCTTGATCGCTTGATCGCTTGACTCTTCACTCCAACTTGTCTCACTTTCAAGATCCATCTCCAGCACATCTCTTGGCACATTGCCCCCATTTCGACGCGACGCGACTTCTTCATCTCCTCCTTTCTCTCACTCCACCACCATCACAATCATCACCACATCCTCACTCCTCACTGTCACTTAACTATACCCCGCTCGGACCAGGCGCGACCAAGCTAGAGACTGACATGGTGGCCCGTTCATCAACGCTGGCGGCCATCGCCCAACGCCCGAGTATCAGTGCAGGCGCGAGCGCGAGCGCGAGCACAGCCTCGGCCCCGACGATCCCGGCGATCACCAACGCCAAAGCCCCTCTACCTGTTCGCACACACTCATCCTCCACAGTCAGCTCGGGTTCTCTCTCCAACTTCTCTCGAGGCTCCTCTCACACCACTCTCCCAAGCAGCCTCCCCAGCAGTGCTTCCCCTCCAAAGACTTCTCCCTCCATCCTGCCACCCTCCTCACCACTTCGGAGCACCGACAGGATGTCAACTGCAAGCAGCTCGGCACGTGGCTCAGTCCGCGGCAAGTCTGCTCCGCGTGACGAGCTCGACCGACTCGGATATATATACACACTGCGTGTCGCGTGAGTTTACCACATCGACCTCGCTTACGCCAGCGCTCTTCAGCACCGTCTCAAAACCCCGTCGGCCGCCTCGCCCAAGATCACTCTTGGCCCGGCAGCTATCATAGGCACATTTCCCTCCAGCCCCAGTGTTAGTATGGGTGAAATGACGCCCAAATCGCCTGGCTTTGGCTCGTTCCGCTCCCCCGAACCCGTCGACCTTCCTCTCCCTATGCGGCGAAAGAGAAGCGTCCTCTCACTTCGATTGGGGCGGAAGGACGAGCTCAAGCTCCCCCGCGAGTTTCTGGCCGAGTTCTGGGGCGTGCTCTCCGCCGAGAGCGGTGACATGGGATGGACACAAGCCGTGCGCACCTTTCTCGGTATGCTCAAGAAGGGCACAAAGACCGCCGGTGGCGCCAACATGCGCGAGATCCCCACATTATGTGCCAGTGAGTAACCCATGACTGACGTCGCTCATTCAGCGTTCACTTCTTGCCTTCCTCCACCCGGGCTGGGCTCGGCACCTCCGGCTCAGCATCAGAGCCACTTCCTAACGCTGCTCTACAATACTCTGCCCACAAGCACATTCTTCGCCGCCCCAGACGAGGATGGTCGTGATCTGCTGTTCCGCCTCCGTGCAGAAATCCAGTCTCTCCTCCACGGCCCGGGGTCACCCACCGCGACTTTGAGTCCGACAAGCGCACAATTCTCCCCACAGCTCGCTGCGCAAGGTATCGCCGCCAAGGCCGGCCTCGGCATCTACCCAGCTAGCCCAGCCAGTCCTACCTCTACACTGAACCCGATGACTCCCACAAGCCCGATACCGCCAACGTCACCCCGGCGCGCCACCAGGCCAGCAAGTGATGCCGGCAGTGTACGCCGGAAGCCAATCCCGATGTGGACAGGGAGCGGCGAAGGATTGGACAACATGGTCGAGGCCGTCGGCGTGATCTGGGATGTTCCTCAAGACGCTTTGGAACAAGATGCTGACGAACTGGATCGCTTCGTGCTAGAAAAGCTGTATCTCGACCATCTGAAGCGCGAACTCAGTTTAATCTCGCGGCAATCGGCGGACATGCGGCGATCTCGTCACGTTGAGCTATCCAAAGAGCTTGGCGACCTCATGGCAGGCTTCCCTGAGCTCGCCATCCCGACGTCTCCTGCCGCGTTCGGACAGCAACAGGAAAGCTTCTTCAAACCGCCACGCTCTGCCGCTGTATTCGCGCGCTTAGTCCGTCGCGCCGAAGCGTCTAGTAGTCGGAGAGCGCTTGAGCTCGTGGACCGCTGCCGCAAGGTCTGGGGAGTTGAGAAGCGTGAAGCGAAGGAGCGCGATGTCGAAACCGCGTTGCGGCAATGGGACGCGGCGATCGGATCTTCCGACGAGATGCCCCTTGCAAGGCGGCTCGCAGACGTTACAAGCATACTTGCCGCGGTCTTGGACCCCGATGAGGATGTCCCAAGGCCACTGGAGGAGGTGCAGAACTGCCTCATGGAGCATCTTACCAATGCAGTGCACGAAGTCTTCCCCCTCTCCGCAGACACCCAGCCTGCACTGCCACCTTCCCTCGTCATGGTCTTCCAATCGGCCCCAAGTGTCCTCTTGCATCATCCACGGGCCTTGGAAATGCTTGACAGACTAGCAGACGAGCTCCGCGGTCACGCAGTCGCAGAATATGTCACGGCGTCCATGGAGCTAATGGGGGACGCACACGCGCAGGTCATCGGCTCAACCACGGGAGAAAGCGGCAAGGACGCAGTGGTGGAGGGCTTTGAACGTGTTGCCGCCTGGATTGAGTCCGAAATCAAGAGCGTTGAGAAGGCCTGGCCGCGCAATGGGCCAATCGACCCCGCGGCCATCATTGCGAGCAAGCAGCTCCCACTATTCCTTGCCGAGTTGCAGGTGTTCGAGACCGCGGTGGGCGCGGCGGACGTTTTTGGCGTCTTCGAAGCCACCCACCATCTGTTGCAAGCCTGGGAGCGTCTATGTCCCGGCGTGAGCGACTTTGACGTGGACACATTCTTCGAGCCACATGTCCGCGCTTGGCTTCGCGAGACTGAAGCGACGGAAACGCACCAGTGGGTTGCACGCACGATAAGCATGGACCAGTGGCAGCCAGAGGGCGAGGGACGGCACTCCCAAAGCGTCGTCGATCTCTTCGAGTTCCTTCGTGAAGCGACAATGGTCGTGCGCAACCTTCCCGTCAAGGAGCACAAGCGTGCGATATACATGGTCGACCTCGCACGGATGGCCTCTGCAGCACTTGAGCTGTACGCAAGTACTATATCGGACCAGTTCCGCGCAGAGATCGCGCCGCCCAAGACGACATCAGACGCCGCAGTGCTCAACAACAAGTGGATGACGAAGGGCAAGTTTGCGTACGGCAAGCTCGATGCCAAGATCGATGCCCTGGATCGCCGCCGCCGCGGCCGCACTGGATTTGTGGTCCAACCTGCTGCGCTCGTCAAGCTCACCAACCTGGGCGCAGCGGGCAGCTTTATCGATGACCTCGTGCATGCGCTTGAGGCGGAGCAGACCGCAAGCGTGTTGGGCCCTAGCGTAACTGCTGCATCAGCGAGGCAGGTCTTCTCCGTGCAAGTCGTGCGCGGGCAGGGCCTGCTGACGCGGTCGCTCAAACCGGCTGACGCCTTTGTGGCTGTCCTCGACGGCCCAGTGCGCCTGTTCAAGTCTCGCACTGTGCTGAGTGCAGAGGACCCCGCCTGGGCGCAGGCGTTCGAGGTGTCCATCGCAGCTGCCAAGCCGCTAGAGGTTATTGTTTATGACCGGCAATTGGTCGGCAAGCATGAGCGTCTGGGTGGGGCGACCTTCACGCTCGACCCCGCCCACTTTACGTCCGAGGCGGAACGAGAGGTCGTCATTCTGCTGAGCTCGCGCGCGAGCGTTACGCTGCGGATCTCCAGCGTCGGTCGTGAGCGGAATGATGTGGCGTACCATCTCAACTCGTCGCGGCGCGTGTTGAAGCGTACCGCAGGCGACATGCAACTCGCGCTCGTTGAACGACTGGCAGAGTATCTCCGGGAAGTGCTGAGCCCTTCCACGCTCTCAAACGTCACCAAGCTTGTCAGGGCTCGGAAACGCGTGGCCCTCTCCGACGCCGATATCGAGACCTCCCTGGCACCTGTGCTGGAGTACCTCGACGAGAACCTGGCCGCACTAAGCGCAACATGTACGCCGACCATGCGGGAGACACTGGCACTTGCGCTGTGGGAGCGGTTGGTCGACCATTTGCTCTCCCTCCTGGTCCCGCCACTCTCCGACCGCCCTGCCCCACCGGGCCTAAGCCCGCCAGAAGTGGACGCTGTGTTCAAGTGGCTGCAGGCACTCAAGACGTTCTTCGCCGTCGGCATCCCCATCTCAGCGCTGCAGTCCGGTTCATACCGGGACATGCTTCTGCTCGGTCAGGTGCTTGACCTTCCCACCCCGGCGCTGCGCGAGCGTGCGGCCGCGGCAGTCCGTGCCACATCAGGCGGCGCACCACTCCGCCACAACCCCCCCAAGAGCAGCCGCGCTCGGATCCAGGCAGACAACGCGCGCGTCGCGGAGCTCCTCCTCCGTGTCGTCCGCCTACGGACGCTGGACGACGATTTCCTCCCCACCCAGCTAGCCGCGCTCACTGGCGCGCGCGCCTCATGAACAGTCGCCAGAAAATCAGGGATTCTGTGCACTTAGGTTCCATTCACTTAGCCGAACAACCCACCCATAAATCATAATCACATGCACACTGCTTATCACTTCAAAACTTTTAGAGTAGGGGCGTGAGGGGCCACGGGGGTTGCATGCGCGTTGATCGGCGACGCACGCGGAAAGTCGCAACCAGCAACAGCTGCCACGCGACGGCGGCTTTCAGTCCGAGGGGATGCTCTGCGGGTCGGAACCGGTCCGTCAAGCGCGGTCAGCGCGGATGGCAAGCTCCGGTCGCTCGCCCACATAGTCCAAGTGCCGAAGACGCGGAGGTGCGTCCAGCGCCTGGCACCTGTACATCTCTGCTCGCAGTTCACATCTGGCCATCAAACCGTGATTCCGTCCGTCGTCCGTGCGATTTCCTGTCACCGGTTACTTCCCGCGCCTTCCCAATTCCGCGGATGTTCTCGTATATCTGTCCTCGCAATATCGCATACGGATATTGCGCCCACTGCGCGTCTGTTTCTCTGCCCTCAGCAGCGGACATGCCACGTCCGCATATGTGTACATGTACATCGGCTGAGCCGCCCTACATCCTGGAAGATCTTCAACACTTCAGGCTAAACTTCTTATCGGTATCTGCCGCACTCTTGTCCTCCACCCATCGACATCTCCGCTCGCTGTCGCCTAGCTCGTCTTGGCTGCCTCGACCATGTAGCTCATGAGCGCAGCGTAAATGGCTGCTTGGTCTTGCGGACCCGAGTGCGGCCCCATGACCGGCGCGCCCGCCCACGCCGCCGAGGGCGGGATCAAGGGCGGCTCGGAGCCATTGGTGTGTGGCGGGTGGTTGGGTGGGTAGCGCTGCATGTCCATATTGCGCACATTGTCGCTCGCGCTCGGATGCATGCCTCGCACCCCCTCGTGATACTGCATCGGCGGGGGCATTTCGGGAGTGTGGCCCTGCGCGCTCTGGCTATGTAGATCGAACTCGAAGTCGAAATCGCCCCGGTGTTCTGGCTCGTTCGCCATGCCCTCCATCGGCACGGTGGTTAAGTGGTTCCAGTAGAACTGGGGGAGCTGGAACAGGCTTGGGCCCGGCGTCGATGCGGCCTCGGGGGGCGCAGTAGGCGCCGGTCCTGTTGAGCCAGGTGTCGTCATTGTGCGCGGCGTAGCGCCCGTTACGGAAGAGGGGGCACGCCCGGTCGCGAGGTTGCGCCCCATCACTCGCAGCTCCTCTGGCATGCTCGGCGTTGCGGGGGAGAAGGCGGCCTCGGGCGAGTCTGCCTCCAAGTCGCCGGACGAAATGCGCAGGCCACCTTGGATCAGGCCCTCGAAGAACACCTTGTGCATCGAGGCCGCCGGCCAGGACGCTGAGAAGTCCCGCAGCCAGATGCAGCACTGAGCAAAGTTGACCTTCGCGCGGTGCGCCAGTGACTCGTCCGGGTCGGTGGCATCAAATGCTGCTGTCAGTTTCCGTTGATGATGAGGACTCACCTTCGAACAATGTGATGATGGAGAGCAGGTGAATCACGTCGGCGCTGACCTGCGCCAGCAGCTTGTGCTTGTCCAGATGGGCAAGGAGGTCGACGCATGCCTCTGCCGATTCCGAGCAGTTCCTGTGTGCGCGCTCGGCCAAAGCAGCAGCATCGGTGTTTTGATTTAGCGGGTTGCGCTGCTTGATGAAGCGCGAGTAAAGTAGTATCCTGACGCAATGGTACCACGCCATACCAACCACACAGTGAGGTAGCGGCGTTGTTTGCCCCGTCACGTCGATGTCGAGGTGCTTGGGCAGAAGGCGGCGCCAGTCATCGAGGCTCTTGCCAATGCTTTCGGCGCGCTGCATCACGTCGTGCTGTTCCTGCAGGCGGGCCGCGAAGCCTTCATCCCATTTGTCGCTGATGGGTGGACCTGTCACCTCCAGGTCGAGAATATCCTCGACGAGCATGGCGAGGCGACAGGTCCACACGAAGAAGCTCATGACATGGCCGCGGCGTGGTGGCACTCGACGCACGCTGCGCGGCAGCGGCGCGCTGCTCGCTGTTTGTGGTGGCCACGGCTCAAACTCGTCCGCTTCATCCGTGCTTGGCATAGGTGTCGACGAGCGGCGGTATGGCAGCAGGATGGGGCGGCCCGTCTCCTCGGCGAGGATCTTGTCCAGAACATACGCATTCCAGTACACGCGAGAGCGAAGCTCAAGATCGCCGGCGTCCGTCGGGCCGGATGGCGTGAGGTGCAGCCCGAGATTGAGGGCCATGATGCTTGCGCGTCCGGCGTACGAAAAAGCGCTCCGCTTGTTTCCGCACCCTGTCTGGCGCAACGACAGCACCATCAGCGCCTGGAGGATATCGATGCGGCTCTCGGTGCGATCATGCTGAAGTGCCCTTTCGGCCATCTCAAAGAGTTTGTCGCTGTCGAGACCGTCCTTTCCAGCCGGGAGGGTCACACACGCCGCAATACTCAGCATGGCGAGGAGAAGCGGAGCGCTTGTTGCGTGTGGGTTGAACATGGGTTTGTAGATGAGTGGCCATACGTTGTGAACGTGTGTAAAGTAGACTGCGAGGAGCTCGTCGACCAATGCCGGCGGCAGACCGAGCAAAGGCGCACGCCGCCTCCTTCCCGGCGGTGCGACGAGTCTTTCGGCTGGCTTTGGACCGCTTCCTTCCCCGCCGCTGCCGTTGGGTGCGCGCTCACCCTCGCCGCTGCCCTCACCCTCTTCGTCGCTGGCCTTGTTGCGAGGGCTGCCAGCACGTCGCCGGAAGCCTGGGGCAGGTCCGCTGGCGTCAGCACGGACCTCGGCGTGACATACCGCTTGCGCACAGGGGTCTCGAATGTGCAGTCGACGCCGGACTCGCGGCACAGCTTGCACGTCGGCTCGTTTGTCGTCGGGGACGGCATGATGTCCTCGCACTTCATGCGGCGTTGCTTACATCCCTGAAGTCAGTACACTCGATTGCGCAACAGCCAGCGGGACACTGGCATCCAAAGGACTCACGTCGCAGGCGCGCGAGGATCGCTTGCGCGTAGGCGGCAGCGCGCCCATGTTGGCGAGCATGCTGCCGCCGGGGAGGGGGCGGGATGGGTCGAGGCCGAGGGGGTCTCGTTCGGTCATGGGAGATGTTCGGCTGATCGATATGTGAAGATCGGTTAAGAAGGAGCTGGTGCAAGTAGTGTGAGGCACAAATGGCCGCGTCGAGGCAATTCACCAGATCAACAAGGGGCTGAAGTGGCCGGCGACGGTGGAGGGGCGGAGCAATCGGCGTAGTGTCGAGGTGCGTGGGGGTGTTGAGAAACAAGTCGAGCAAAGTGAGATTGGAATGGATGGGTGGGTGGAAATGGTGGATGGATGGAGAGTCGAGAGAATGCAAGATGCAAGATGAGGTGGGGGGTGAGGTGAGGGGAGGGATCTGAGGCAGGGTGGATGGAGGTGACTGTTCCAGAGGTCACCCTGGGCGAAGCTGTAATGCTGCAATCCGCAGCAAGCGGGGGCGGGGCAAGAGCGCAGTACAGGCAGGGGCACCGAGTAGAGCAGTAGTGCAGAGTGAGAGAGAGTGGCGAAGTGGCGTCGTCGTACTGCGCAGGGTTTAGAGCATAGAGCGTGTGTCTAACTGGAGCGGCCAGCGGAGGAGGGGGGGTGAGATCGACGGCGGCGGCGGCGGCGGTCGGCTCAAAGCAGACATTCCCGCATCTCTCTCTTTCCCTCCCCCCTGCCGAACTTGGCCACCCACCCGGCACGCACTTGGCATCCACCGAGGCTCGAACCCCGGCACTCTCCTCAATCCCCACTCAATCCCCGCATTCCGTACCGTGGGAGACTCAATCCGCATGCAAAAATATGCGGGACATGCGGAGACCCCGCCGGCCACTCACCAGTGTCCGCCCCGGATAATCATCTCCTTTCAGTTGATCCTCCACATTCGCGCTCTCGTACGCGCCTGCCCTCTCTCCGTCCTCCACTCTCTCTCTCCATCTCTCCCGGCATCTCGGCACGACCCCATGTCACTCTCGTTCCTCCTGCGCCGGCGCCCCGCGTCCCTGCGCCTCCCAGTGCACCGCGCGCTCTCCACAAAAGTCGACGTGCCCACCCTCGGCGAGATCGACATCCCTACCGGCCTCCACATGTAAGGAGGCCTTGGCAACAACAGCCGCTGAATTGCAGTGATGGCAAATGGGAATCTGGAAGCGGCGATAAATTCTCCACTGTTAACCCTGCTACGGGCGAGAAGCTGGTCGATGTTGCGCATGCGTCACGCGAGGACGTCGATCGGGCTGTCAAGGCCGCGAGGCGGGCCTTCAAAACGACATGGGGGTTGAATGTCGACGCCACGGAGCGCGGGAGGTGTGCGTCGTCGTAAGGCGGAGCTGACGCAGTGATCAACCGGTTTGCGGACTTGCTTGAGCGTGATGCGCGCAAGATTGCAGCGGTTGAAAGGTGAGTCATTCCAACTCACCGTCTACTGACACCCAGCCTCAACTCCGGCAAGGGCATCCGCATCGCTCGGTAGGCCGATCACTGAAGCAGATTTAACCACAGCGATGCCGATGTGGCCGATGCGGTCGCGTGTCTGCGCTACTACGCCGGCATGGCGGACAAGATTCACGGGCAGACGACGGACGCCTTCGGTGGCTCCAAACTCGCCTTGACGCTGCACCAGCCCATAGGGGTGTGTGGGCAGATGTGAGCTCTATTTATATCAACGCTCACGGCAGTATCCCCTGGAACTACCCACTGGGGATGTGGGCGTGGAAGGTCGCGCCAGCGCTCGCAGCGGGCTGCACGATTGTCATGAAGCCATCCGAGCTGACGCCGCTCACCGCGCTCATGATGAACGCGTTGGCCGTCGAGGCCGAGCTGCCTGCGGGTGTGCTCAACACTGTCCCCGGCCTCGGCGCGACGACGGGAGACGCCATCGCGCGGCACATGGACATTGACAAGGTGGCATTTACCGGCTCCGTACCGACCGGCAAGCGCATCTCCGTCGCCGCCGCCGAGAGTAATTTGAAGAAAGTTACGCTCGAGCTGGGCGGCAAGTCGCCGATGCTCGTCTTCGCCAGCGCCGACACGGACGATGCGGCGCAGTGGACCGCCAACGGCATCTGGTACAACTCGGGCCAGGACTGCTGCGCGTCCTCGCGCGTGAGTCGCACTCGCGGCGCCATCACTGATCCCAGATCTACGTCCAGGCGAACGTGTTCGACCGCTACGTGAACCAGCTGCGCAAGCGTGCGCTCACGGTCGCGATCGGTGCGCCGTCCGACGAGAAGACGAGCTTCGGCCCCCTCATCTCGGCCGCACAGCGCGACAAGGTGCTTGGGTATATCGACTCGGCGAAGCAAGAGGGCGCTCGCCTCGTGTCTGGCGGTCGCGCGTGGCCGCGCTCGAAGGGTTTCTATGTTGAGCCTACGATCCTCGCCAACAGCGCGCACAAGGACTTGCGCGCTGCGCGGGAAGAGATCTTCGGCCCCGTCGTCATCGTCACGCCTTTCCGCGACGAAGAGCATGCGCTCGAGCTCGCGAATGATAGCGAGTACGGTCTCGCTGCGGCCGTCTTCACCGGCGACACCCGCCAGGCGATCCGTGTCGCCCGCAGCCTCGACGCTGGATCCGTGTGGGTCAACCAGTACGGCGCCGTGCACAACAACGTGCCGTTTGGCGGGTTCAAGCAGTCCGGCGTAGGGCGTGAGCTGGGATCCTACGGACTAGAGGGTGAGGCGCTTGTGACATGTCGGAGCTGACCACAGGCTACCTGCAGATCAAGGCCGTGCATCTAAACTTGGGTGTAGAGGCGCCGTGGCCCATTTAGCTGACATCCATACATACACATCACTTTACCACACTCTTGCATGCACCGTCTGAGCCTTTCTCCTACTCTGTCTGCGCCACCTCCGCCCGCATAACCACGGTGTATCCATGCTGATGGGAATGTACAAAAACCTTTCTACAGCGCTACAGTTTTACTCTGGATCTCCCTCGTCTCTACGCCTTGCCAAAGCCCTCCGTCTCCGTGACCGCGAACAACAGGCGCTCGCGCAGCTGCTCGTAGCTCTCGTACGGTGGTAACAAGAGCAAGTTGAAGCACGTGCTAGCCTGCGGGAGGATGCCTGGCTTGCCGAACAGTTTCTGGATCTGGAACGGCTGGATGCCACTTGCGCCCTGCAGCTTCTCAAATCCGCCGAGAGGCACGCGGCTTGACGCCGTTACGAAGATGAGGAAACGCGCACGCTCCTCTTGGGAGAAGGAGCGGAGTGCGCGCCAGAACCACATCACTTCGTTGTCGTTGTTCTTCCACCCCGAGATCTGGGTCGAGTTCTTGAGCTCGTCCACATCAAAGGTGTTGACGCCAGAGATAAGCAGTTCGAGCTGCTCGGGCTCGAAGATCTGCACGAGCTCTCGCGGCACTATGTCGTAAAAGCCTGTGAGGAAGGCCTTCATCTGCTCTTTGACGCTGTTCTCAAGACGGTATGCGCACACGAGGCGCACATACTCATCCTTGTTGGCCTCGGTAACTGGTATGGTAGCACCACCCGGTTTGAGCTCCACAATCTGCTTGGCGCCGAACGACTCATCCTCGATGGTGAATTCCTGGTCGATTACATCGGTGATGTCGTTCTCCAGCATCCATTGCAGCGACTTGTGGTACTCGGGGTCGATCGCCTCGAGGTCGCGGATGTCACACCCGCGCCCAAGAATCTGCTTGTAGAATGCGCGGTTGAAGTAGGCATCGAGCAAGCGTCCGTCATAGATGGCTTTACCGATCACACGTCCCACGAATTTGAAGTACGACAAATGGTCCGGATTGATGCTTGAGTGCTTGTTGGGCTGATACGTTTGGTTGTCGGCGGCGCAGGGCTCAAATAGCGCATAATCTGGGTCGAAGATCTGCTGCGCCAGAACGTGGTACCACTCGCGCGTGACGCCACCGGCGTCGACGCCGTCCTCATTTATGAACTTGACGTTGATCTTACCGTACTTGATCTCGTCGCCTGCACGGTGTAGCAGCGCGCTATACGAATCCTGGAACACGTACTGCCGACGCACATTGAGGTGCAGCGGATGAACGCCCTGCTGTTCGCTGCGCCTGCGCTTGAGCCTTTGGAAGAACCAACTGCGCTTATTGTCAAACTCTAGCACGCGCGAGTTCTGTACAAGCAGCGAGAATGAGCCGCTCAATAAGGCCGGGTTGCTGCGGACGATCGAATTGAGCACCTTGCGGTGTGCAGTGGTGAAGGAGAGGAACAGGTCATTCGACTGTGCTGGTAGCGTTGGCGACAAGACTGGTGAGACGATCTGGGAGACATTCGCCTGTCCGATCGGTCGCGTGTACTTGCAAACGACCATGAGCGACTCCACCAATGGCAAGAGCATAGACGCGGTCTGGTCGATGCTCCCCCGCGTCTCCGCGAGGGAGAGGCAGTCGCCGAACTGTGTCCAGAGCTGCGCAAAGTCGAACGATTGATACAGTTCGCGCGCACTGTTCTGAACAGCAGGATCCTGCTCCTTGCCGGCGGTCGACTTTGGCGAGTGTAGATAGTCAATCGTCTTGAGGAGCCTCAGCAGTTGCGTTTGGCTCGAGCCGGACGCCGAAAAGGCGATCAGGTCATAGGAAGTGATTTGCCGTGTGGCGTCTGCAAGAACCTTGCTGAGCTTGGTGAGCTCCTCCAGGATGACTGAGCCAAGCTTCTGCGAGCGCATGAATAGCTCGCTCACGAGCACCTGCTTGGCATCAGGTATGCTGGAGAGGTGTTGCAGAATCATGATAGTTGAGGAGAACGTCCTGCTCGTCTGGTCACCGATCGTGAGCCCGTTGACGACCAAACGGAGGATGGCAGGCGGGAACATGGGTCGCTCCATCTTCCACTCGATCGGCTTCGGCGCAGCCTGAGTCGCGGTATCAGTTGCAGGAGTTGCCTCAGAGGCGGTGGCAGCATCTGCAGGCCTCTCCTCGCCCTCAGCGGATTGGTCGGACTTAGCGAGCTCCTTTTCCACTCGCTGGCGCCAATTTTGAAGCGCCGTGAGTGGCCTTGTGAGCGTGGCCAGAAGGGTGGTGAGGGACTCCATCATGCCTGGAGCCTGAAGCAACTCGGTGCGGTCCAGCAAGCCCATAAGGACAACGATCGGGAACTGCTTCTGCGGGAGGAATTTCTCCTTGCCCTTGCCCTTCTTCGAATGCTTCTTGAGGCCGACGGGCAGCTCATGCTCGGTGAGGAAGTACGTCACCGCCTGGCGGTTGGAGCTGACGATGTGTTGGAGCGCCTCAAAGCAACGCTGCGCGATAAAAGTGGGCACGTGCTCGGGCTGCAGGTCCGCAAAGAGGCTGATAGTCGTTGGCCCAGGCGTCTCGGCTGCTTTGCTGCTCGGAGTCGCCTTGGGCGTGGTGGTCGTGAGCGAGCGCAACGACATCTGCTGGAAGCTGCGGTCGACGAGGGGCAGGTCGCCAGTGCCATCCTGCACAAGGCTAAGCAGCGTGTTGAGAAGCTCTGTGCGCGTCTCGCTGTTCTCACACAGATTGACGAGGGTCTTGAAGAGGGAGGTCTCACGGAGAGGGACACGGACGAAGAGTAGGCGAAGAAGCGCCCAGATCCCAGGCTTGTCCAATAATTGAAGCGGCTTGCGCTCTGTAGTGGTCGCGGAGAGCTCAGATTTCTTCTTGGTGGGCGCCTTGCGCGAGAGTCCAGGAGGCAGACCTACCGTGTGCGCAAGCATGTCACGCAGATCGCCGCCGCGCAACGTCCCGCGAATCTCGGTCTCGAGCTCGCGGATGGTGCCAGCGACAACGCCGCCACTGCTGCTAGGCTCCGGCGCCCTGGAAGAAATACTGTTATGCTCTGGAGGCTCTGGTGCCCGGAATCCGGTGGCCTGAGGGGGTGGAACAGCCTGGCGACGCGCTTGCTCCATGGACTCGTGCATGATCACCTCGGCGCGAATCTCTGGCGGAAGGGCGTTGAGGAACTCAGTGTTAATGTGCGAGGACTCAGGGACGTTGGCCGCGGCACCGGGCATGAGGAGGTTTTGCTCGCGCAGGTGGTGCTCGACAACCTCGGCGCGCATGTCCTCCGGCAGCGCCTGGAGGAACTCGAGGTCGATCCCAGTATCAGTGATGTCGATTTCTTGCCCGCGAATGACGATGAGAACGCGGTTGGAATCGTCGGGCATGTCATCTTCGTCCTCGCCCACATCTTCATCGTCCTCATCCCCTTCTTCCTCGTCCTCATCGTGGTCTTCATTGTCCTCGTCGTGGCCTTCATCGTCTGTGGCTGCAAAGTAAGCCGCACCCTTGCTCATGGACTCACCCATGTCCACGTCCTGGTCAGGGACCAAGCCTTGCGAAGTTTCAGGCCTCGACTCGGGCAAGGCAGTGGATGTCGCCTCTAACAGGTCCCCTTCGCGCGCTTCCGCTGAGATGGCGGCAGCCTCTAATTGCCCCTTCAGCCGAGCTTCAGCTATCTTCTCCTCCTCTTTGCGGAGACGCTCTGCCTCGCGGGCCGATGCCTCACGCGCTGCGGGAAGTAGACGGTTTATGATGTGGAGGACAACCCGGCTGACCTGCTCTGGCGAGTTGTACGGGAAGAGATTCATCTCCTCCTGCCAGCGGTGCAGGGTTGGGCGCGGCTCGAACTCAGGCTGAATATCTTCGGCGGTCTGGGGCAACTGGCGTGTGGGAGGTGCAACTGTGAAGGATTGGCCGCCAATGGACAGGCCAAAGCTACCGTCTTGTCTGTGAGCAAGGTCAACGCGGATGCCGTCCGCACCGTGATTACGGGTGCGTTGTAGCATGTTCTCAACGACGGTAACGGCTTGGGGGCCCGCGAAGCTTTCGATGCTTGCCAGCAAGTCTGTGATACTCGACAAGGGCCCGAACGGAGTATTTGGCCGGTTAGCATAATGTGGCCGCGCTTGGGTGAGCAGTGGATGCTGCGAGTTGTCGGCGCGGGTGGTGCGCGGAATACCAAACAGGGACGATGCGGCCGTATCCATGTCGAGCAAAGAGCGGCTTCGGCCGCTTGGAATTTCGGACGCGCGCACGGGCTCCGTCCACCCCCAGAAGCCGCCGCCCTCGCCCAGGGTAGGCCCGCCTTCTAGGTGGCCAGCAGCAAGGGGGTCCATGCCCATCTCGTCGATGCTGTGAAGTCAGTCATCGCCATAGAGAACTCAACTCACACCTCCTCATCGTAGAAGTCCTCCATCGCCTCTTCCTCCTGATCAAAGTCGGCACCGCCGAAATGCTCCCCATGCGTGAAGGTCTCCTCGTCCTCAGAGTCGAAGCCTTCGCCGTCCTCATCGTCCATTAGGTCGGCATCCTGGATGTCAACAAAAACAGAAGCTGTCATTACTTACGTCGTCATCCCAGGGAACGCCAGCCTCGTCATCCACGTCGACTTCCTCAAGTCCGTCGATAGCATCGATAACATGGTCAACTTGGTCGTCGTCCAAATCTTCAGACCCGTCGTCGTCATCTGTGGTCTGTTGTCAGCTGCGAGCCAAAATTGTAACCAACCCAGTCTCCCTCCATGGCAGAGCCGTGGCCGTCAAGGTCGTCCTCGTCCTCGTCGGAGGAAGGCTCGGTATCATGGTCCATATCGTGATCCATTTCCTCATCGTACGCCTCCATCTTTCGTCAGACCATACTGGCGGCGCGCACTCACGAGATCATCGTCGTCGTCCATATCGTCGTCCATGTCATCGTCCTCGTCGTCGTCAATGTCGCCGCCGAGGATTCCAAGGGCCGAGTTGCGGTACAAATCGGGTGGATCTGCCTCTTCCTCCCCCGAAATGGACATGTCGATGTCCTCCTCGCCCTCGGGAACCTCGGAGGACTCGCTCTCGTCATGCTCAACCTCCTCACCCGCAATGGGCTTGTTCTCGGTCTTGCTCCACTTGTTAGAGATTTTGGTGAGATGCTCAACTGCTCTTAAGAGGGACTCGAGGACGCTGCGGATGTCAGGATAGTTGAGGTCTATGTCGGACAGGGCCGTGGTTAGAAGCCCGACAAAGTTCTTCTCGAGCATTGTCTTCGCGAGTTGCAGATTCGTCTTGTCGTCTGGTGTTGTTGGCATTACGCCAGGCTTTTGTGAGATGAGAAGGCGGATGAGCTGCCCAAGCGCCCAAAGGCGGCCATAGCGAGTGTTGGCCTCAAGGTGTGCGGACGCGCTCTCCTTTAGAGCCTTGGCGATACCATCAAGCACAATCTTGCGGACGGCAACGAGGTCTTCAGGCAAGTCCGTGCCATCCGGAGTGCGCGCAAAGTTTGCGCAGAGTGAGATCATGAGAGTCGTGGCCCAGCTGGATACAGTGACTCTGCGGGCGTTGTGGGTCACTTGGTTACGGCTCTCCTGAACGTCGCGGAGTGTGACGCCGCACACCAGGTCCGTGAGCACGGTCGAGAATCCAACCTTGCCCTTGCCCATGCCATATATCGTGGAGCGGCGAACAGCGGCGATGAATGCAGTCTTGGCCGACATGTATGAGCCGGTGAGTTCAACCACCTGGGCCAAGAGTAAGCCCACGTACGCGTAAGCCTGATTGGCGGGCTCGGAGTAGGGCGTGCCAGCACGGTGCGCCGCCTCCTCCTGGTGGACTACCTGCATGGTAGTGCCAAGTTCAGACACGAGGAAGTCCATGACGGGATGATGTTCGAATGAGTCGACGGCCGACTTCACAAAAGGGTCATTGATTGCCGGCGCAGCCACATTATTGCCGTTGCCATTGTCAGCCTCGTTTGCGTCGGCACTGGGAACTTTATCTTTCGTTTCGTCCTTGGCGCGGAGGTGATACACAGACGAGGCGGGGCCGGGATCGACGAGTGACGCTTCCTCCTGCACGGCGTGCAAAAAGACGTTGGGATCACGGTACATCAACTGGCGCAGCTGTCTGACAAAGTGCTGCACGTCCGATACCTTGTTGCGCTGCGGCGTCATCCAATCCGTGATCTCCTTACGCATGATCTCCTGCAAGGCATTCTTGGAGTCAAAGGCGTGGCGCGTGATCATCGAGAAGTAGCCATAACAACCGGTGATTGTCGAGTTAGTCCTCTTGAAATGCCTGACGATGCGCTGGAGGAAATCTTGGGTGACCCACATGGCACTGGAGCGCGTGAGGATTGCAGCGAGCCGAAGGCTGCCCATGAATTCCTCGCGCGAGAGCTCGTCGGAAGCCAGAGTGGTCATGCACAGGTTGAACATTACGCTTGGGAAGTTGCCGAGGTCGACACGCTTCACAATGTTGAGCTTGGCCTCCTCGCCAAGCTTAGCCTCGGCGATTGTTGTAGACACAAGCAGCAGCGCCTCCGCCGCGATCATATATGACGCGAGGAAGGCTGGGCGTGGCTCGTTGGGCGAAAGGAGGCCTTCCAATAGAGTCTTGAGGTGCTGACATTGCTCGGCGGGAAGCTCGATGGGCCCTTTAGTGCGCGCAAACACAGCGAAGAGGCGCAGGCGCGCAGAGAGTGCGGCAGGTCGTCGAGGCGACTCTTTAACCGCCTCCTCTACTCGACCGAGGATGATTGTGGCAGCCTCTGGGCCTGATCCAAAGGCCGGTATAAGGTCGTGGACGAGCTCCTCGTTCGCATCGAGCAGCTGAAGTGAACGCACCTTCACCTCCTTCCGAGCGTTTTCGCGAAGCTTGTCGAGCTCTTCGCGCTGACCCTCCCACAATGTGGTTGGGCTAGGCGCCTGGTCCGCCTCGTCAATCTCCATGCCGCCCCCCTCGCTATCGGCAGCGGCAGGGACTGCGGCCCCGACGTCGGCAGCCGACTGTGCGTCTGCAGATAAGGGCTGAGCGGCAGGAGCATCAGCAGCGGGTGGAAGAGCTGGAGTGTTGGCAGCGTCCACAGCGGGAGCAACTTCTGGTTGAGCAGGCTGTGCGGGTTCAGGCTCATCGGGGAACAGGTGGGGCATTGAAATTAACAGGTCAGCCGCAGATGCGATGTTGTTACGGGCGCGAAGGAGCGCTCGCTCAGCTGCACGACGCCCGAAGCCCATCTCAACGAGCTGGGTGACAGCTGCGGGGTTGGCAGCGGGTGGCGGGCGTGGTTGGAGAAGGTCGCGAATTTGCGGCGAGGCAGGCCGCGGTAAAGTGATGGAGACTTCCATCTCCTCATCCTTCCCCGCCAGGATCTCAAAGAAGGTAGAGATGGCGGTTCTTTCAATGTTGAGTGGCAACCGGGGGAGCCATTCGGCCATGAAGATCTTTAGCACCACAGGGAGTAGGTCACGGCGGATGCGGATGAAGGTGACAAATGGGTCAAAACGCTGCTTCACGGGAAGGTTCTGTTCGCGCTGGCGGATCGCGTGGGTTTGGCTGCTACCAATCAAGGAGCGAGGGGAGGCGTACGCCGAGAGGACCGAGGTGGCGATGCGCATGCCCTGTACCAGCTGCGCCACCTCATCCTTCTGCTGTTGGGTCTGCTCGTCTGCCGGCGTGGTAGGATACCGGTCCATGCCATAGACGAGGCGTCGTACGTTGTCAAGCATGACGGCCATGCCACCCTTCTGCTCGAAGGGGATAAACAAGGTTGTAGAGAGGCTGCCGTCTGCACCCCGCTCTGTTGTATTAGACGATGTAAAGGGCTGGCAACGTACCATCAAACAGCAATATTGTGGTCAGGCCGAGTGCGACCGTGTCAATAGCGTACTGCTTTTGTGGGACCTGGGCAGATGCTTCACGTTAGCCAACTTCGACTCAATACCGCACCTTGCAGATGTCCAATCAAGATCTCCGCAATGCAGTTGGCGAGGGCTGTCGCCTCAGTCTTGTGCGCCGGTTCTGGGATTCGCTTGTTGAAGATCAACCGAATCGCGCACTTGAAGAACCGCGTTAAGACGGCGTGCATGCGCGTGACAATCGTCTTGACTGTCATTACTCGCATCTGCGGGCGCGCATCGAGGCTTGAAAGCTCGACGGCTGGAGCCGAAGTCTGCGCTGCAGCCTCGGCCGGTGCAGCGTCTGCGGCCGCTTCAACCGCAGCGGCAGCCTCGGAAGACCCAGAGCCCTCGGCAGTGGCTGTGGTGTCCTCGGTGGCGTTCTTAGACTTGTCCTTCTCCTCTTCCACCCCCACGTCCTTGAGGAGCACGTGCTCGATAAAACACTGGCGGTGAAGCTGGCCGAGGTCGGTCATGAACGTTGAGCCGGACGTAACACCAAAAGCCTTGATCAGCTGTGTAACGGTGCGCTGCTGGCTCATGCTTATGCTGAGATAGTCGCTAAAGGACGAGAATAGGAGTGCGAGGGATGCGATGCGGCGTAATCGCACATAGTCCGCCGGCGTGGCGTCCTCGGTTTTAGTCATGCTAAGCCAGGCGTCGTGACAGTCAGCACCGTTCTTCCAAAGCTCGGGTATCTCGTTGAGCTCCCGCTTGATGCACGTGATCAAAGTCTCGCTCATCAGCATCTGGTCATGCTCGCTGATGGTGCGCAAGACGCTGGGGAGTGCGACGGCGATCTCGGCGCCGGAGAAGCTGACGGGAATGCAAGGGAGCTGCGCGATGCTGATGAGCAGCTCGACGCCGTGGTTCTCGTGCAAGAACTCCTTACACAAGTTGTCGTTGCGCAAGAGCACCGAGAGCAGCTTCAGGACGTTGGTGAGCTTAGCCAGAGGCGCATTGGTAATGAGTTCCTTGTCGTTATCGTTTTCCTTGTCGTTGTCCTTCTCGTCTTTGCCGTCAGAGTCCACATCCATTTCGGGCGCAACGTCGTTAGGGTCCACGGCGTATTTGTTGACCTCCTTGGCGGTAGGTTTGAAGGCCTTGCCCTCTTCGATAGCTTCCTTCAACAGGGCAACAACGGCCTCGCGGATTTTTGGGCGGAGAACAGGATGGTGGCGCACAAGTTCATCCATGGATTGGGCGATGGTCTGCACGGGATCCCTCTCGGGAGAGACTTCGTCCACATTCCACGACGTGGCGACGCGGAAGATGTTGTCGATAACACTGAAGTGCTTGACGGCGTCGGCCAGGCCTGCCGCATTAAGGCACATAGCGCCAATGGCATTAGGAAGCGTGTAGACGACTTCGAACGCATCTGGCATCTTCATCTCCAACACTTCGTAGAGTGTCTGAGGTAACTGTGCCTCTTGCAGGATACCAAGCGAGGTGGGCTCGTTGTGCACAATCGTAGCCATGATGTTGATGGCAAGGCCGAAAATGCGTAAACCGAACTTATCGCTGTTGGTCATGATACGCTTCAAGGACTTGGGGAGATCCGTGTCGACGACATTGCGGAAGCCCTCCGAGCCGCCGGTACTCTGCAGCATGCGGTAGATGGAGCGCAGCTCTGCCTTGACCGGGTTGGTGTCATAGGCGATCAACGAGTCCCGGTTGAATAGCTCGGTATCGTCGGGCAAAGGAGCCTCTTCGATCGCTTGAACCTCGGCCTTGATACGCGCAACCAGCACGTTCAGGCCGTCTGCGTTTATGAATGCCTGTAATGCTTGAGTGTGGGCGAAGTACGCCGAGTCGATGAGGCCAATCGCGCGCGGGATGTACTGGCCGCGGCGCTCACCCTTGGTGTTGAGCATGTCAAGGAGTACGGGCAGGAGCCCAGCGCCAATTAGCTGACTGCCGTGCGTTGGCGCCGCGTTTATGTATGCCACGAAGCCAAAAAGAGCGTCAACAATGTCGTGAGACACGTGCTCGTTTGCCACCAATTTTGATGCAACGGAGCGGAGTAGGCTCATGATCACACCGTGGCCCGCGTGCGCACCAATCGAGCTCAGCACATCGTGTCGGTGGTGGGACGCAGCGTCCAATGCGAGGATTGTTGACGCAACGACATTTTCGCCGATGCAGTCATCAACTGCCAGCAGCTCTGTCAGATCGCTGACGAGCTCGGGGTCTCTGAGAAAGATGTCTGATGCGACCTGGTCTTCGTCGGCAAAAGTGGCTGCAAGTCAGCTTGGCCGTAGAGGTGTACGCACTGTAGCAAGCAAGTGCCAGGAATCTGTTGCTGAGCAGCTTGCGGCGTGTCGCGATATCCTGCGTCAGCACGACTAGCCGCACCCTATTGAGGGCGCTCAGCTGGTCGTCAACGTTCATGTGGTGCTCCTCAAACGTCTGGGCGAGACGGTCGAGGTAGTTTGCACCCATGGTCTTGGAGACAATGCCCAGGTCCACAGTGACGCTACTGTTGTCGACAGCGGGCGCTGTCGCCTTGGCTGCAGGTGTGACGGCGATGCGAGACTCGGAGCGCGCTGACGCCAGCGTGGGTCGAGTGGGCGTCTCAACGGTGTCCGGGGGCGCAACCTTGTCGGGCGTGGGCTCGAGGGCTGTTGAGGGCTGGAAGGGCTTGTAAAACTGCAGCTGAATTGTTGCAGCAGCGTCGTTCAACTCGATAGGGTCTAGACACGACGCATAGTTGAGGATGCTGCAGTCTGCTTTGCGGAGGCTGTCCCAGCCGCGCGTGAGAGCGAGGAGGCGGGCACGAATGCTCTTGCCTAGTTCCGGGCTGGTAGGCATCTGCGTCAAGTACTGCTGTAGGGGTCGGAGAAAGACATAGAGGGCGCCCTCCAGTACGTCCATGTCGTTGGTGAGGAGCAGGTCGTTGATCACCTGGCTGTCAGGAAGATTGGGTGTCAGGACTCACGTCGTATCCGTCGAACAGCTTACGGCTTGTGCTGTTCTCCATCAGCAGGCGGATGAAACGCAGGATCTCGATGATGAGCTCTTTGTCCTTGGGCGTGAAGTCGTTGATCTGGATCTTGCACGCCGTCTTGGCGCCGCGACCCAGGCCGTAGGCATCCCGGAGGCGCGTGAGGATGTCGATGAACTTCTTGAGGACGTCCACCCACGAATGCATGTCCCCACGCGGATAGCGCCATATCTGGAGGGGGCGGGTAATGGAGGGAATCTCCTCGTCCCTCGCCGCACTGAGGCGCTGGATGAGCGCTGCGACATCGGGCGGCTGTGGTGGCGCAGAAGAAGGAAAGGAGAGGGTAAACGAAGACAGGAACCAAGAGCAGCAACAAGAGGGGAGAAGTGTCAGCTATCTTCTTTGCCACAGCACTGCAGCTTACCGGAGGCACGACCTTGCGCTGAGACTTGCGCGGCCGCATGTTTGTGTGGGCCCAGTGGGCCTGAAGAGGGAGTGTTTGACTGGGAGGCAGAGAGTATGGCCCCGACGACGCGGCCTAGGCTGCGCTGGGGCTCTGAGAGAGAGAAATGAAAGGGGTAAGGCCAGACGGGTGGCGGGAGATGCGCGATGGTGAAGATGTGATGAAGGGCGATGAGCAGAGCAATCTCAACGACAGAGGTGCGAGCGGCAGTCGTTCAGAAGTGTCTCACCGTGGGAGACTACCATGTGAGGGGACGTCATGTCCAGCCGTGCCTGAGCGCTCTGGCGAGTTCCACGGAGGCGTGAGGTGGAGGTTGTCCATCGCAACTCCATCGTCTCCACCCGCGCCATGCCTCAGATACAGGAGATTCATGAAGGGGGCGAAGCTCAAACGCTCCGCGCCGCGCTGTCCGCAAACGACGGGTCAGCCACTGGCATTCTCGACGGCCTCGCGGTCAAGCTCCGTGATGGTGAGCTGTTTTTCAGGAGGTCGCTGACAACAGCCAAAGTGCGAGAGGGCATTGGTGCAAGCGGTGTTGCCGATGTCGTTGCGGAAATTGCAGGGACGACACCGTTAGATGAGGCGTTGCTCTTTCAAGCTGCACGGGTGGCGGGCAATCTGGCTGCGGACTGTGGTAGGGCGACAGCTAGTAGAGCTGCGGTGTTGGCTAACCACAGACGCCAATCGCGATCGCCTGGTCGCTGCAGGCTATCCCCAGAAAATCTCGGCGTGTCTGAAGAACGATCTTGAAGTCAAGACGCTGCAGGCTATAGCAGCGAGCCTGCTTAATCTTGTAACGGATGGGCACGGTAAGTCGCTTCTGGAGTATGGGCCGCTGACTTCAGCGGCTGCTGTTGCTGCACTAAGCGATGAGGCGACACTCGAAAGAATAATTCGCGCGGCCAACACGCTATATACACCCGGAGAGTGGGACGGCTCGCTGCGCGGCACAGTGGCCTCTTGGCTATGGAACGTTGTGCAGCACGTCGTGCCAGCGGAACCGACGTACACACTCACTCTTTCTCTCATCAAGGCCTTCCTCCCTCCACTGCGTGGAGTGATGCCGCGTGCCGCACCACGCGATTTGGAGGATGCAGACGACGCCTTTGCCACTGACATCGCGATTTTGACACACGCGACGAAGGTACTCGAGCGGTTCAATGGGAAGGATAAGCTCGAATACACTGCTCTCCTCGGCGCTCGCGACGCGATCACCACCCTATTGGGGTTTATGGAGGAGGCTGCAATCCCTCTCTGGCTGGAGGAGGTGGAAGAGGACACGACGAAGGCGCTCGGTGTCGCGAAGGCGGACGTCTCGCGTACCCTCGTCAATGCGTTGTCAGAGGGTGGTGACGTGCCTCCTTGGCTGCTGGAAAGACTTGGCTCGTGGTTGGAGCGACCGACTCGCCCGGACCTGGTCAGCGTTGCACTGCTGGCGTACGGCAACGTCGCGAGGGGGGGTAAGCGAAGCTCACTGTGCTGTTTTAAGCTGACACCAGACGCCTCTGCCACCTCCATTCTGGAGGACAACCCCGCGCTGCTCCCACGCCTCACGGCACTTCTAGACCCCTCGACTCCAGTCATAGTGCAGCACGCACTGGTCGGCCTGCTTCGCAACCTCGCGATCCCGCAGCCAAATAAGCGCAAGCTCGGCGACGCGGGCGTCCTCCCCCGCCTGCTGGCAATGGAGCCCTGGGCCGCGGAGCGCGACATGCTCGGCAGTGTGCAGGGCGGCGCGGTGGGGATCGTGAAGCAGCTGGTGCGCAACGGTAAGCCATGTCCTTGAGTCTACTGACCCCAGAAACGAACGCCACACAGTTCCTGTCTCTCCCCCTCGACCCTCTGCACGCGCTGATCACGCGCACCAACGACCCGGCCATCGCGCTGGAAGCTACGCGCGTGTGGGTCAACTGCATCCGGGCGCTCGGCCAGTCCTCCTCCGGCGGCTGGACAACCCTCACCGACGGGAGGGTGCTGGACGCGCTCACGAGCATGTTGTCCCAGGGCGCGCGGCACCCCATCCTGCTCAACGAGGCGGTGCTTGCGCTCGCATTACTCGCCGGGCATGGCGGCACCGAGGGGCCAGGGGATGGGAACAGGGAGGGCGTGCGGGCCGAGATCGCTCGCCGGTTGCTGGATGCCGAGGCCGCACAGCGCGCGAAGAAGGAGCATCCCAACGCCAACCTTGAGGGCGTGAGTGGCGCAGACGTGCTCGCGCGAACCGTGGCCGGGCAAGGGGCACGAGAGACACAGGGGAACGCGCTTGCGCTGGTGAAGCTGCTCGATTCGCCTGAGCTCACTGCTCTCGTGCGAGCAGCCGTGGCGGGTGCAAAGGGGGAGCTGGTGGACGGCGCGCGGGAGTTGTAAACTGCCCATCACCTCTTTCCGTTACAATCGCCTTTCTCACTCTACCGCCACATGCACTCAACAGCACCTGCACCCAACGCAGATCATAATATCCATGCGTGATTCTACCCTCTACATGTACACCGCTAGCTTTTGATTCTCCTACAATAACGAGTTACATCTCAAAGTCCTCTGAGAACACGGCGACGTGCCCGCTCTTATCGCCCTTGAGAATGCGGCCAGGCCTAATGTTGCGCGAGACGAGGTTGCGCACGACGACGTTGAGCTTGACGGGCCCACACGTGCCGACGATGATGGAGCCCTCGGCGAGGCCCAACTCGTCGTCGATCATCTGGCTGAGCTTGGGGCGGCCGGCCCGCGCGCTCTCGCTCAGAATGCTCGTGGCGGCGTAGTCGGCCTCGTCGATCCACAGGCCGACCGAGCCGCGCAGCCCGTCGCCGCCCATGAGCGGCTCATCCGCCGCCTCCTCGAGGAACACCATGCTCTGCGTGCGCGAGAGCACCGACACCTCGTCGCGGTCGAACAGCCCCGACGGCGACGGACTGATCCGGTCAGAGTTGTACGGGTCGTACCGGTCGTACATGGACGACGAGACAGAGCGGTACGAGTGCCGACGCGGGTCGCGCGCCTCGGCGGTCAGGAGGCCCTGGTGCGTCTCGTACAGGCTCGAGGAGACGGAGCGGCCCGAGACGCGCTTCGGGTTGGCGTTGGGATCGGGATACAGCAGGTTGTCGCTGCGGTGCTCGTATGCGCCGGCGGAGAAGGAGCGGCGCTTGGGGTCGACGACAGGCTCGGCGAGCAGGCCGCCCCGCTCGCCCAGGTCGCCGTACGACGCGGCGCCGGGCGGGAGGCCGGCTGACGACGAGCTCGAGTTGTGCCGCGAGTGCCGCTGGCCCGGCGATGGCGGGTACACGGACGAGCCGGCAAAGTGCCCGCTGTTTGAGGGCTGGTGGCGCGCCTCGGCCTTGCGCGTCTTGGCGCGCCGCAGCTGGCCCTGCTTCTGGATCTGGCGCGAGAGCTCGCTCTCCGCCGGGTCGTTTACGTCGTCCTCGTCCTCATAGTTGGTGTAGTCCATGATGTTGCCTCCAGCATAGGCCATCTCCTCGTCGGTGTAGTCGAAGTTGCCGCGGTTGGTCGACATGCTCTCGCGCGGGTCGCCGCTCATCATGCTGCCCATGCTGTCCACCGAGTCGGTTCGCTTCACGTCTCCCTGCGCGTAGCTCGGGCGAGGAGGCACGAACTCCGAGTCGCCATATGCGCCCGCATGGTACGTGGTGCTCGAGTATCCTTGCGGCGTGGCGTTGGTGACGTAGATGTCGATCTGGAGCTGTGCGGAGGACGGGACCATCTGGCGAGCGCGGCAGAGCGCCGACGCCGCCCACGCAATCTCAGCGTACTCGCGCGCAACCCAGAGGAAGCGAACACGGCGGATTTTGGACTTGAAGTCGCCGCGCTGAACCATCTTGCAAACATGCTCCAAGATGGCCAGGCCAAAGGTCACACCAGTACCGCCACACACGAGGAGAACGGTCGCGAAGTCGCCCCAGCGCACACGGCCGGCAGAGCCCATGGGCCCGTCGACGAGCGCGCGCAGATAGATGGGAGCGACCCGGTTGCCAACCTGCTTGTCGGAGGCACGCATACTCGCTTCCGAGCGCTCGCGGACCAGGTTGTACAGTTTGCGCGTGAGGCCCTTGCGGGCCTTGACAAGGACGACGATCTCGCTGGGGTTGTTGTTGCTGATGGTGAAGGGGTGGGCCTGGAGCTTGGACAGCTCGGGAAGAGTGAGGAGGAGGCTCTGGCCGGGGGCCCACTTGAGGGGGTGGGGAGTGCGGATGGTCAGACGAACAGTACGCGAGGGGAGGAGCTGTGCCTGCGCGTAGCCTGGAGGGATGACTGGAGGGAGGCTGCGAGTAGTGCGGGTGGTAGTGACGGACTGCGCCGACGTCGAGCGAGAGCCGAGACCTGGTGGTTGGAGAGACGCACTCCGCTGAGGAGGCCGGGCGACTGGCTGGTCGTAGCTCTGGCTTTCGAATGTGCCCGTGGGCAGGATCTCAGGCGTCCCACCATATCCCTCGACGACGCCGTACGGCTGCTCGTCGGGGTGCGGAGTGCTGTAGCCAGTAGGAGAGTCGTACCTCCGAGGCGTGGGCGGCAGCATCTTGTCGTGGACATTCTCGAGAACCACGTCATGCTGATCGAGGCCGGAGTACATGCCACTCCCCACGGCGTCAGCCTTGACGGCGCCACGGTTGATACGGGCGTAGCGGATCGCACGGAAAGTGCGGTCGGCGATGAAGATGAGCAGCGCAATTGCGATCCACCACCAGATGGCCGGGTGGTGGACGCAGCACATGACGAGCGTCAGGACGGTGAGCGTCACATGGGCATGGTAGAAGAACTCGTAGCCTGCCTTGCGGATGGGGCGCTGGCTGAGCACCACCATGAGGGTCATGAGGCCGTACGCCACGCAGCCAGCAGTGAAACGGTAGATCTGGAAGGCGGTGAACCACATCGCGCGTTGGGTGTGCGTGTCCTTGTCCTTGAACAACTGGATGGTCCAGAACACGACGTGCGCGGTGGTCAGGCCCCAAACCAGCCAGCCGGCGGCGCGGTGGAAGCTAATGAGCTTGTCCGAGTAAAGGTGAGTGAACCACTTCCAGGAGAAGATGGCGACTGGTGGTGCCTTGGCGGCGAGCAGGACGACGAGGGGCAGGATGGCAAAGGCCATGAAGCCGAAGCGGTTGCCGAGCGTCCAGCCCGACTTGGAGATGTTGTACTGAACCAGAAGGGTGCTGTCCATAGGACCGCCGACCCAGACACGCTTCGAGAGCGTGTGGGTGGCACCGTATGCGCGTTTGGCGAACTGGAACGTGCCGGCCGCTGGGGCAATGTAGTCGTTTCCGACAATCGAGAGGACGAGGGAGATGGCGACAACAATCGCACCCACGAGCAACGTGCTCGTGCTGGGCAGCGCGTACGAGCGGCCGATGGAGATACGGCGCATGCCCCACTTGCTGTAGGCGGCTCCTAGTGATCCGCCAGACAACCTGAGGTGATGTGCGACCGCGTACACGATCGCCATGGCGGCGATCGCAAACCAAAACAGGTACTGGTACCTGTATGAGGGCCAACTGATCGTCAGCATGCATGTACACACGTACGGGTCTGTGCACTCACCTCGTCATGTGTGTCATGAGGTAATACAGTGCATACTGCTGCGTTGGAACGTTGACTGGGATGATAGGGTTGGGCTATTGTTAGCTGGCGCTTTCTTGGATGTTTGATCTGCTCACGTCACCTGTCGCCGTTGCTGTGGTCAGCGGAGTGATGTGTGTGTTGACTCACGAACTGCACCAGTGGATACGCCCGTCCCCGTGACCATGGGGCGCTGTGTTGGGGCAGCACCGAACTTGAACGGGGGCGTGTACGCGCCCGCCGCGGCCCACTGGGCAGTGGAGTCTCCTTGGATCATGGGCATGGTTTAGAGAGCCATGCGGCGAGTGTGTGGGGTATCTAGAGGAAAGGGAGAAGTTTGGGGGCGAGGTCGACGGTGGCGACGACGCGTAAGGATGGAGCGAAGATGCGTTGGGATGTGGTGAGCAAAGGATACAGCAGAAGCAAGATGTAGAGGAAGTTAAGTGAGCAGCACTGCTCTCCCGAGGTTTGCGGGCTGTGTTGATCTTGTCCAGCTGCCATGCACCATCGCTGCTTTTGCCTGCTTTGCCTGCTTTGCCTCCTTCCCGCTTGCCTGCCTCACCGCCCCAGCCTCTGCTGCCTGCCCGGCTGCCCTCGCGCTGCTCCTCTCCCCGTATGCGGTGTGGATTTTAGCAGTGGCAGGCGAAAGGCATGCATGCTAGGGCCCTGCACCAGAGTGCTCCCATCAGGGATTCCGCACTCTTTCTCTCTGCTGCTCGGGATGCCTGGGTCCAGAGCGGTGCTACTGCCCACCGCTCCTCTCGACTGCTCCAGCTGCCACTCCACGGCTGCCCTTCCCACTTCTGTTCGGTTCATCACTTGTCCCCAGGGTGACTGAATGTTTGTCTCAGGGTCAAGTCATTCGGGGCGAGGGCCTGGGCAACCATCGGCGGTATGAGGTCTCGAGCTCCAAAGCCTCAAGGCTGAGGGGTCATGTCCTCTGTCCCTGGAGTTCCCTGTCCATCTCCGCCGACCCCCTTCTCTGTACCTCAGCTTTCCGCACAGCGAAACATTTAGGAGGATTTAAGGGTAGTTTGAAGAGGCGAGGGATGCTTGCGAGAGCAGCAGCAATCATGACATGTGGGTAGGCATAACAACGACAAGGTCTCAGCTTACTTGACCTTTAGCTTTGTGGGACCCTCCTACTTCTCACACTCAAGCACAGCCGCGCGCGGCCAAGCCCAAATGCCCGCACAACATGTCTCTCGTTTTCCTCGGTATCCTCCCATGATTTGCTCGACGTTCACTTGTCCGTGGTTGGCAGTTTCAGCTGCCCGACCTACGACGCGTTTCGGCTTCCCGGGTGCTCTCTAGCTTAAAATGTTGCGAGTGGGATTCTCTCGTAACAAACCTCATCCCTGCGTTGTAGCAGCTATCCGTGCGCACCCCGCAAAGAAGGTCAGAATGGCGCGACAGCACACTGCATCTCTATTCGGATGCAGCAATGGACATCCTGGGAGCATGTGATGTCAGCACGCTCCCACGCTGCACAAATTGGGCGTGTTTGAGATGCCAACATGGCGATGATCCCCCTGGATATTGCAGTGCAAATCACGTTGGGTGGCGGTGTGGGCGGCGCGCCAAGGCCCAAGGCTATTCGCGTCCTTTGCCTGCTCAAGCTACCACCACCACCCTGAAATGTTCCCTATGACATGCCACGCGACACCGTTGTTGAAACATGCACACATCGGAAATGGATATCTGATACCAAAGAATTAAGTTCCGTAAACCCTAGAGACATCTCAACGCAGCCTTGTTTATGATTCGAACCCCCGACTTATTAATCACCAGTGTCGCCCAGAAGATTCCAGTCACGTGCACTGATTCCGGTTCAAGGTGTCGTAGATGCCGCGCGCCTGCCGCGTCAACCTCGGCCAGACGATTGTTGATCTGTTCCAACCACCTACTCCAACATGTCCGACGACTTTGAGCCCCTCGACCCCACCCTCCAGAATATCCTCGACCAGAAGAGTCTCAAGTGGATCTTCTGCGGTGGGTGGACCCTCGTTGTTCCTCGCTTACCGCAGGTGGAAAGGGTGGTGTTGGCAAGACCACAACGTCGTGTTCTCTCGCCGCGCAGCTGGCGCGTGTCCGCGAGTCGGTTCTTCTCATCGTGCGTCGGCGGTTCAATCAACTAGACTGACGCCTAGTCCACTGACCCTGCACACAACTTGTCCGACGCCTTCTCCCAGAAGTTTGGCAAGGATGCCACCAAGGTCAACGGCTTCGACAACCTGTACGCGATGGAGATTGACCCCAACTCGAGCTTGCAAGAGATGGTCGAGTCCGGTGAGGTTGGTAGATGGTCACAGCTGACCGCAGCGGACCAGTCTGGTGGCATGGGCAGCATGATGCAGGACGTCGCCTTTGCGATCCCCGGTGTAGACGAAGCGATGGGCTTCGCCGAGATCATGAAGTGGGTTGAGACGCGCGACCAAGCTAATCGCAGGCACGTCAAGTCGATGGAGTTCTCGGTGATTGTGTTCGACACCGCGCCGACGGGTCACACGCTGCGCTTCCTCTCGTTCCCTTCGGTGTTGGAGAAGGCTCTTGGCAAGCTGAGCCAGCTCAGCGGCCGCTTTGGGCCGATGCTTCAGCAGGTGCGCCCAGCTTACAGACCAACAAGTCCAAGCTGACGTGCAGGTGCAGTCCATGCTCGGCGGCGGTGTGCCGCAGGAAGACATGTTCGCCAAGCTTGAACAGATGCGCGAGGTCATCACCGAGGTCAACACGCAGTTCAAGGACCCCGTGCGCACCCCCTAATGACCACACTGACCGCAGGAACTGACGACCTTTGTTTGCGTGTGCATCTCCGAGTTCCTCTCGCTCTACGAGACCGAGCGCCTCATCCAGGAGCTCACAAAGTACGAGATTGACACCCACAACATCGTTGTCAACCAGCTTCTGTTCCCAAAGAAGAGTAGGCCTCGGGTGCAACAAAGAGCTAACAGCAGCCGACCAGTGCGAGCAGTGCAGTGTGCGGTACAAGATGCAGCAGAAGTATCTGCGCGAGGCGTACGACCTCTACGAGGACACATTCCACATCGTCAAGCTTCCGCTCCTGACCGAGGAGGTCCGCGGAACGGACAAGATCAAGAAGTTCTCCGAGATGCTGGTCAAGCCGTACGAGCCGGCCGAGTAGACCTAGACCACTCCCCTATAGGTTGCATGTATACATGTATTTCGATGCGCGCAGTCGACAAGGCTGCGGAGGTGTGTCGTGCGACAACCGTGGGAGACTGTATTTGACAATGACGCACATCGGCGCTTGACTTTCGCACCACCTCCACATCACTCACCAATATTCCCATGTCTGTCCCTCGTCTCCTCGTCGTCGGCGGCAACGGCTACCTCGGCTCTGCGGTATGCAAGGCGGCCGTTGCAAAGGGCTGGGACGTAGCGTCTATGTCGTGAGTGTGCGCGAGCTCCTTCATTTAGTCCGCGTTGGTGGAAACGCTGACACCAGCTCATCTGGCAAGCCATACACCACGCCAGCAGGCCACACGCCAAAGTGGGTGGACGCCGTGCAGTGGCACCGCGCCTCCGCCTTTGAGCCAGACACGTACCGCGACCTGATCGCGAACAAGAGCGCGGTGGTGCACACGATGGGCATCCTCTTCGAGGACTCGGAGTACAAGAACGCGATTGCGCGTGGCGACATCCTCGGCTTGCTGGGAAGTGTAGCACGCAGCGCAACAGGCAGCGGGCCCGCGAGCAACCCGCTCAAGACAGGCAAGGAGGCACGCATGACGTACGAGGCGATGAACCGCGACTCGGGTGAGTGAAGCGCAATGTGGCGTGGAGCGCAGTACGCCATGCTGCGCATGCTCCACGCCCTGGCGTGGGCCTGGAAGCTCACACCAGCCCTCACGGTGCTCGACACGATGCTCGCGGCGCCGTCGCCGCCCGCCCCGGCCGAGCGGTCGTTCGTGTACATCTCGGCGTCCGGCAAGGTCGCGTTCGTGCCGGACCGCTACGTTGACACGAAGCGCGAGGCCGAGCTCGGCATCATGGGCCGCTGCGCTGCGAACGGGCATGTGCGACCTGTCATCATGCGGCCAGGTGAGTGTTACCGAGTCCCACCAGAGACGTAGCTGACTCCAGGTCTCATGTACAACGCCCATGTTCGCCCCGTGTCCACGATCCCGGCCTTCGCGCTCTCCATCACCGCCGGGCTGCAGGACCGGCTGCAGCTACCCAAGCCTGCGTCGCCGGACAGCGCGCTGGGCAAGGTCGCGGACTCGCTGTCCACACACCCGTTGCATGTTGATCATGTGGCGGACGCGATCGTGCGCGCTATCAGCACGCATGAGGAGGGCATCATTGACGTGGAGACGATGCGCGAGTGGGCCGGGTTTAATGTCGTGCGGCCCAAGGCTGAAGCGCGCAGCTAGAGGACAAATGCATAGCACTACTGATCCTTGGGCGGCGAATGATTGTTTGGCCCAAGTTGCGTGCGCGTATCCTGGTGGACATCATCTCCGACACGGCTGAGTTGTGCAACATTGTGTGAGAACTGGGGCTGTGTTGGTGGTGCTTGACTGTTTGATTTCACCGGTGATTGTCCCCAGTAGACTTGCATCGCGTCCAAACGAGCGAGTTCTCCAGACAATCGGCGGACTCAAATGTGCGTCACAATAACAATTTCCGACTTCGCACCTCCACCTCTTCTCCTTCCATTCTTGGTCGTCAATCGTCGAGTCGCTCCGCTCGCATACGGAGCCTTCACGACCGTTCATGTCGCGCATCGGCACCCCGGCCTCGCTCTCGGCCTCTGCCAGCCGCGCCCCCACTCCAGCCTCGGGCGCGGCGACGCCAGTGACCACAGACCTGTATCGCCCCCTCGCAGCCCAGATCCAGGTGAGCTAGCCCGCGTTACCCATTGCTGACGGCAGCGCACCGTCGCCCCGCTTGCAGGTCCATCCTCTGCCTCGGGCACGCCGTCTCTGGCCTCGCTCCTCGGCCTCAATACGTCGACGTACAACTCACGATTGAGCGGCAAAACGCTGCTCCTGACCGATATCCCCTCGTCGGGCTCAGAGCTGGTGACGGGGCGCAAGAAGAATCGCGGTGATCCCAAAGCCCTGGCGGAGACCAAGGCCGCCCAGGCTGCGGTCGTGAGCGAGCGGCGCAAGAAGGGCCTGAGGAGCGTGAGGAAGGCGCGCGCGGTCACAGGGAGAGAGACGCGGATCGAGTGAGTAGTCCCCTCCCCTAGCCGGAGCCAAAACGCCTGCTGATGCCAGATACGCTGCCCTCCTCCCTCTGCACTACCTGCACTGCAGGTATCTGTCCCAGCTCCTGCCCCTCCCTCCGTGTCCTTCGCAACGCCCCATCCCATCGCCAGGCTCAGAGGGTGTCGCTCGCTCCCTCCTCCCCGGCCTGTCGTCGGAGGGGTTGCAGAGCAAGGTCGTGAAAGCCGACCTGACGGGCGCGAAGCTGCGCGTGCGCGCGGCGCGCAACCACTCCCTCTCCGGCGTCACGGGTCTCGTCATCGAGGAAACGGCAGGCAGCTTCCGCCTCCTCTCCCCGGACGGGAGGGTGCGCGTCGTGCCAAAGGACGGCGCGCAGTTCACCCTCTCGTTCCCAGCGTACGCGCCGCCCGAGGAGAACGAGGAGGTGCCCGACTATGGCGCATTCGTCGCGCAGTGCCCCGCCATCGAGGTCGACATTCTCGGGAGCTCGTTCGCGTTCCGCTCTGGCGACAGGGCGGGGCGTAAGTTCCGGCCTGCGCAGGGGTGGGGTGGGAGTGGGTGGGCTGAGGAGTGGGTCCAAGGGGAGTGGTCCTTCCTCAAAGGCCTTGGCGAGGCCAAACCGTACGCCAGCAGTAAAGCCCGCAAGCGAGGGAAGTCGCGCCGGAAGGACCCACTGGTGCAGGGCTCTATCCAGGTGGTGTAGACGAGCTTCCCGTGTTGTATCATAACTGCAGTGGCGATGCATTTCATATTCTTGTTACACTCTTCTACTTTACAACTTGCCAGATACTGCCTTCCATCTCCTTCTTCTCCCCAAGCTACGCAGCATACTCATACTTGGTCGTGGCGCGACACACCACGTCCAGCTGCTGCGCCACGGTTGCCGTTGTTTCCTCCGCCTTGTCCGACGCGAGCTTGACAAGCCATGCGAAGTCAGCCTGTGCGGGAAGCGGCAACGCGCTTTGCCGCCGCGACTCGAGCTTCTCTTGAAACGCTCGGAAGAACTGGGCGGACACCTCATCTGCGCGAGCGATGACACTCTTAGGAACGCCCGCGAGCTTCGCCACGTCTGCGGTTAGCTAGTGTCAGAACTAATGAACTCACGCGTGCCATGGGACGACTCGGCATGCCCAGTGATGAGCTTGTACAGGAAGACAACGCCGTCTGAGTCGTCAACGTGCACTTGCATATGCATGTTCCGGATGTTGGGGTGGTATGCATACTCGTCAGTGAGCGAGCCATAGTGAGTCTTGGGGTCAGCTCAGTCCAATCAAGGTAGTGCTCACGGCGAAGAACCCAAGGGGCAAAGTGTGCGTGGCTAGCTGATGCAGAACAGCGCCAGCAATAGCCATACCGTCGAAGGTTGAGGTCCCGCGACCGAGCTCATCAAGAATCACAAGCGACTTCGGTCCGGCCTCCCGCAAGATCTTGGAGCACTCGTCAAGCTCGACCTTGAAGGTGCTCGCACTCGCGAACATGTCTGTGGTTGAGCTTGATTTCACTTGCAATAGCTTACTGTCATATGCGCCCATGCGAGTCTGGATCTTGTCGATTGGGCTCAAACGAGCATGAGCCGCGGGAACGTAGCAACCTAGCTGGGCCATGATTACGGCTGCCGCTGTCATGCGTAGCAAAGTACTCTTGCCCGCCATATTGGGACCGGTGAGGAGAGTGGTACGCGCCACATCGGCGCCAAGCTGTACATTGTTCGCAATGAAGTCGCGCTGAAGACACATGGAAGGGTGTCGCAGGTCGCCAAAGTCGACGAACGCCTGCTCAGTTTCCATAAACTCTGGGCGGCACTTTGGCTCATCCATGTCGTGCGATGCCTTGGCGAGCGACACGAGGCAGTCCAGCTCAGCAACGACACGAACCATGCTGAGCCACGCCGTCCGGTCGCTGTCGAACTCGGCGAGAAGCTTGCGGAAGAAATTCCTCTTCGCCGTTGCCTCAGTCTCACGTGCCTCCTGCATTTCACGAATGACTGGTTGCGTCTGCGGCGTGATGTAACGGGTTTGCTTCTGCAATGTCAGACGTGCATAGGTAAACGCTTACCTTGGTCCCGCCACACTTTGTCCAGTTTTTGGGAACCTTGGCGCTCGCTGGTACCAGGAGGTGGAAGATCTCCTTGTTACTCTGCGCATTACTCCAGAAAGACACATCGCGGGTGCTGATGTCAGCGAGTCCAGACAGCTTGCCCACCCTAATGTCTTCATCGCCTGCTGTTTGAGCAACTCGAGCTTCTGCTCAATCTCCTCAACAGCCTCTTTTGCGTCGTCGCAGTCGGGATCAGCGCCCGGAGTTGGCAGAATCGTGATCGTCTTCGTTGTGTTCTCGACCTCGTACATTGACTTCAGGTGGGCGATGTTAGCAGACAAATCTGGCGCTGTGCGCAGGAGGCCGCGGACACTCGATGATGCAAATTTCTCGGACTCGCCAACAAGGAGATCGATGGCCGACTGAATGTTGCTAAATTGATCAACAACCTTGAGGAAGTCTGTCTGGCGGATGGAGCCTGCGTGGATACGCGACACGAGACGCTGGGTATAAGTGCGAGCAAGGTTTATGGCTCACCTCAAGATCCGGCAGCCCTCGCACTAGCTGCGTGAACTGTCCGGTGAAAGCAGGATTCGCGATCAAGTCATCCACAGCGTCAAGTCTGCAGTCAGCTAGTAGCACAAATTGAAATTCACCGCTCATTGATGGCCTTCACGTCCCTCAGCGGGGCGGTAAGCCAAATGCGGAAGAGGCGCTTCCCGAAGGGCGTCAGGCAGCGCTGAAGCAGGCTGAGCAAAGTACCGGCTTCCGTACCCTCGTTGTTCATTAACACCTCCATATGAGCCAGCGTCTGGCCATCCAGCACAAGGCTCTTGCCGTTCCTGATCGGATCGTAAATGTTGAAGTTCTTCTGCGAGATGAGGTCCTTGTCGAGGTTGAGGGAGCGGAGGTAGAAGATCATGCCGCCGAGCGCCTCCATTGCCAGAGGCTGGTCCATCATTGCAGTGATTGCCTCGGGAAGCTCCGGATCGCCAGATCCATCAGAGGAGAATATCTCGCGGAGAGCCTCCACTGCGTCCTCCTTGGACATGAACTCCTTGCCAAGCTTGAACGACTGCCACAGTGTGCTTGCTGGTAGAATGTTGCGAAGCAGCCGAGTAGTGGGCACGGAGAGGTTCCCCTTAGCAAAGACAAGCTCTTTGGGGCGAATCTGGCGGAACATGGTCTCGAGGCGAGTCCTACAAATGTCGTCTTCGAAAGCAGTGAGATTGAACTCTCCAGTTGACGCATCCATGACACAGATGCCGAAAGCGGAGGGCGTATTGGCATCGCCAGTGAACTCCTGTTTGTGAGCGCACCTCCAACACGTTACTGACTTTGATGGAAACGCAGTGATTGGCCTCGTCAGAGGTCAAATACGAGCCATCAACGATCGTGCCGTTGGTGAACACCTGCGCGAGCTCTCGGCGGACGATCTCCTTGCCGCCTCCCTTAGTCCGCATTTCCATGCTGCTGTTAGCGAGGGCAAATCAAACAACCAATCTCACCCAATGGCCGTCTCAGCTTGCTCGACTTTGCCAACCTTGTAGCCCGCTGCGAGAAACTTGGCTGCCCAGAACTCGAAGGTCTGCTCGGGCACGCCGACCATCTTCATCTTGACACGGTCCGTGAGCTTCAGGTCGAATTCCTGGTGTCCGATCATCGCGTCGTTCTCGTAGAGTTCGTAAAACTTGCCCTTCTGGAAGAAGAGGACCGTGTCGTAATGGTTCTGCTTGATTTCCCAGAACTGCTTCTCGAAAGGAGTGAACTCATTCCACGCCCGGCTAGGAATGTAGATAGTTCGGGGGTCGTACTCAGGATCCTCGGGGCGGTTGCCTTCCTTGTCCTTGATGTCGTTGAGGAACGAAAAGCAGGTCTCCGCTTCCCGTTTGTCCTCCTTGGCCTGAAGCTTCTTCCGCTCTGCCGCAGTGAGGAAGAGGCTAGAGCCACCACCCGACGAGCTGGTGCGTGACACCAGCGGCGGAGCGCGAGAGGCTGATGCGGGGGTAGACCCGCCTGAGGTGGTGGCCTTCTTCGACGCCGACTTCGAAACGGCTGTCTTCTTCCGGGCCGGCTGCTTCACCGGTGACGCCGAGCGGGAGTAGGTAGACGCGATCGAAGGGGAAGGCGCATCCGAGATCATGGCATCGTACTCGTCGGCCGCGGCAGCTGAGGATCAGCCAGACACCTCACACTTGGAAGCTCACCAAGCGCAGCATCATCGTCCGCGTCAAATACAAACTCGTCTTCGGAATCGTCAGCCTTGAGGCTTTTGCGCGGCTTGCGACCGTTCGCTGCTATCAGGTCACTGCTAATGCTCGCAACGTACCCTTTGAGACGTCCTCGTCGCTCGAAGCATCAGACTCGACATACACAACCTTGCGCTTGGCTCTCCGCCTCTTCTCAGGTTAGCTGGGTCTCAAAACCAGGGAAGGTGAGTCGAGGGACTCACAGACACCAGTGGAGAATCCTGGTGATCGACATCCATAGCGTCATCCGTCACGGGCTCCGGCGAGGGTGTAGCGGGAGCGAGAGCGGGCGCGCGCTTCTTCGGAGACATCACAGGTGGGGGAGTGAGATGGTCATCGTTGACGGCTACGACGATTGAGGCCCTCTTTGCCCGCTTTGGGAGGGAAGGCGAGTCAATGGGGTCAGACGGCGGGGTGTGGAGCGACGACGACGGTGGAGACGACGTCGGGGGTGGTGCACAACTTGGCTTGGACAGCGCCGGTGTGGACGGCTTAGGAGCTGGCCCCTTCTTGGGCACGCCGAAAAAGGAGGCCAGCGTTGTCTGCTTGGTGCTGGGCATGAGCAATGGACGCGTTGCAAGGACAGTCGCGTCCGAGATGACGGATCACGGATCAGTGATCACGGGCCACGCGTTGCGGTGCGCTTACCTCTGCTGCGACGCGTTCTTTCTCATGACGCTTCGGGGGATGGGGGGGACGAGCGATATGACAAAGAGGATGAGACGACGCCAAGAGTGAGTTGATGTCGGCCGAAGGAAGTTTAGTGTGGGAGGAGTGACAGGGGGGGTGGAGTGAAGTGACAATGTCAGTGTGCAGGGGGAATATCAAAAGGAAAGTCGCGTTCAGCCGCAGTGCGCCAGTGCGCGAGTTGCAGCCTGGGCCATCTGCGATCAGCCAGCCTTCAGCCTCCACCCACGCGTCACGGGCCTCCACTCGCAGTCTCGGCCGGTGGCTCTCAAGCTCATCAATATTCAAATCGGAGGGTCCAAATAGGGCCCGCGCTGTGACGCGATCTCACTCTGCGCGGTTGATCACGGTTGAGTCATCTTGACTGTACATGGCCTGCCCTGAAAACACACAGCCCTGCATCTTCGGCGCGTGCGTATATGAGAGCGTCGTGACATGCGATGTGGCGACACCATCCATCTAGCCTCGTCGGGGCCGATGTGAGACACATGCATGTCCGTGGAGTGCGGCCAATTGACGAGCATGCCGAAGTGATGGTCGCCATATGACCGCTCTGGCTCCAACGCCTGTCTGCAGTGTGGAATGAGAGCAATAACGCCCAGGACGCGTTTGCTTTCTGGATCAAAGCACGTGACTGGCGAGATTGGACTGGCTTTGATCCAAATGCAATGTTTGCCCGCCATCTCTCTCGCACCAACTTCGCGCCTACACGCGTCCAAATTGCCCTGAGTGACCCTCACTTCCTCACCTTTGCACCAGCGCGCCCACACGGCCCAGAAACCACCCTGCCTAGTATATAAGACTCGAAGGCGCGTCCCCCTCTCCTTCATTCTCCATCCTCTCCATCCACTTCATCCCGCTGCTCTCAAGCTCCACGCTACCCCCCCTCTCGTACTTCTTGGACCTGTTATCCCAGCCTGTCCACCTCTTGTAACTCCTCATCTGCCCCCATCCACGAGACCCCACCTTCACAATGTCCACCGTCACCCCATCCAAGGTCGCCGCGTCGGCCCTCGAGAACATCAACCTCAACACCCCTGTCAAGACCGACGTGATGGCCAAGCTCAAGGCCGCCGCTGCCGCCGAGGCTGGTGTCAAGGAGCTCGAGGAGACCAAGACCGTCACTGAGGAGAAGCCCACCGAGGCCGAGCTCCGCAAGCGTTTTGTCGGCGACGTCTTCTGCGAGGAGAAGGACGAGCCCCTCCTCAAGGAGTCGACCGACCGCTTCGTCCTATTCCCCATCAAGTTCCGTGAGGTGAGTTTTCCAGGGTCTCACGCGACGTGACGAGTCTTGATGTACACAGAGCTGATCAGTGCAGATCTGGCAGATGTACAAGAAGGCGCAGGCGTCCTTCTGGACCGCCGAGGAGATCAACCTCGCGCCCGACCTCCACGACTGGGACAACAAGCTCAACGACAACGAGCGCTACTTCATCGAGCACGTGCTCGCCTTCTTCGCCGCGTCAGACGGCATCGTCAACGAGAACCTTGTCGAGCGCTTCTGCGGTGAGGTCCAGATCGCCGAGGCCAAGACCTTCTACGGCTTCCAGATCATGATGGAGAACATCCACTCTGAGACCTACTCTCTTCTCATCGACACCTACATCCGTGACGGTGCCCGCCGCAACTACCTCTTCAAGGCCATTGAGACCATCCCCTGCATCAAGAAGAAGGCCGACTGGGCGCTGCGCTGGATCTCGGACGACAGCTCGTCGTTCGCCGAGCGCCTCATCGCGTTCGCTGCCGTCGAGGGCATCTTCTTCTCGGGCTCGTTCGCCTCGATCTTCTGGCTCAAGAAGCGCGGCCTTATGCCCGGTCTTACCTTCTCGAACGAGCTTATTTCGCGCGACGAGGGCCTCCACACCGACTTCGCATGCCTCCTCTTCACCCACCTCCGCCGCCGCCCCCACCCGGACCTTATTGAGAAGATCATCCGCGAGGCCGTCGAGATCGAGCAGGAGTTCCTCACCGAGGCCCTTCCCGTCTCGCTTATCGGCATGAACGCCAAGCTCATGTGCCAGTACATCGAGTTCGTCGCCGACCGCCTGCTCGTCGCCCTCGGCAACCCCAAGATCTGGAACTCGACCAACCCCTTCGACTTCATGGAGATGATCTCGCTCCAGGGCAAGGCCAACTTCTTCGAGTCGCGCGTCTCGGCATACTCCAAGTCGGGTGTCAACCAGTCGGTCGGGCAGGACTCTGCCACCGCCACCGCCAAGCGCGCCTTCGCCCTTGACGAGGACTTCTAAAAGCGCAGCCCGCGACTGTCCGTACAGCCCCGCCTTGTGGCGTAATTGTAGCATCTCCATAGACTCGTAAGTAGAGCCCCTGTTGTCATCTAGCATATGAATTCCTTGTCATGACGTCGAGGGTCCTGAGCTGCTGCGATAAGTCACACGCGACGTTTGGGGGGCATGCGATAGTCGCTGATTGACACTGACCCTCATTTTGAATTGCAGAGGCTGACGTTTCAGGCATGGTCCGCTCCGCCTGGAAATACGCGGTTCTGTGGTTGACGGAATGCTGTCCCACTGCATTCCAGCACGCCGCTCTCATCGTCGTCGAGCGGCATGCGTCGCGCTCCTTAGCGCCACTGCTGGCGTGCTGCAATGATGCATGCCATCCATCGATAATGATACAACCATGCTCCTAATCTCCCCTCGCGCGCCGCTTGCAATCGTCCACCGCGACGGGAGGCGGCATGCCGACGCCACGCAGACTCTCGACGGAACGCTCATCGCGCGTGCGCACACGCGGCGTGAGTTGCTTGGGTGGGCTGCTGTGATCGAGCGCAGGTGATGCGACTGGCCGTGATCGCACTGTGTGCCCGTTGCCGTTCCCGCGCACCGAGGACGGCGTAACGGTCGCCGACGTCGCCGCCGACGGTGGGTCGTGGGCCTGCCCTGCCATTGCTTTTGGCGGTGTCGGTGTCGGATCCTGGGAGTGCGAGCGGTCACGGCGGTGGAACAGCCCGCCGACCAATTGCTTCAGTCCGTTGCCCTTGTCTGCGCTTCGCCCCCGCTTCGGCTCGGGTGGGTCCACGTCCATTGCGTCCCGCTGTCGTGGTCTCCCTCTGCCTTGAGCTGGTGGTGGCGGCACTTCGATGACATCAACGTCCTCGTCCTCCTCGACTTCATCGTCCTCGTCCCCTTCATCAACGGAACCAAGCTCGGACCCATCTGCTTCGGCTTCATCCTTCGCGCTATTGGCCGGAGTGTCAGGCTCGGACTGCGGCGCCTTGCCGGCGTCCGGAAAGGCCATGAAAGGCGACACTTCAGGTTCGGGAGCTTGCACAAAGCCGCCGTGCGAGCGGATCAGCGACGTATAGTAGCGCTGCAACAGATCGGCGTTGCACTGGGGTCAGCGTCCGTAAATCCGAGCAGCTCCGCGCTGCAGCTATCGCGGTAGGACTCACACAAAGCGCCCATGCTGTCACTCGTAGGAACTCGCGCTCAAGGGAATTGAGTTCGCCAACTTTGATACCCCCAACTTTGGCGTAGTGTGCATTGGTGCAGAACACATCGCACTGCGCCTTGGATCCAGCTGTGACGCCTGCAATGAGGAAGCGGTGCACGGTGAGGGAAGAGAGTGTGAAGGTGGGAAGATTCTGGCATGTGAGGTCAATGTATGCCAGAAGTGAGAGGAGAGGTATTTTCTGCCAGTCAGCAATGTGCATGGTTGGCGCCATCAGCGCCTGCGGCGCGCGCATGGCGTGGCGCGATTCCTGTGCACGCGGTCACGGAATCTCCTCGGCGCAGCGCTGCAAGTGCGCCCGCCTTCACGCCTGGGGTGCTAACCCCCGTGCCGTGCAGACCTACCTCAAGGTTCGTATACTTGACGATGCGACGAAGGTAATCGATAATGGTGATGCCAGGGGGTGCGCGCGAATGGAAGCGAGTGAGGGCGTCGGGGGTGAGGAGGACCTGATCGTTGTGCTGGCACAGCAATTCGAGCATGTGCGCGATGAGGACGACGAGCGTTTCGGTGGGGCAGTCGATGAATGCCCATGGCAGCTCGGGTCGCGGGCTGGCGGCCGCCACGGGGGAGGCGGGGGCCGGCGAGGGCCCGCCGCGCTGCGTGGTCATGATGGGCAGTTACACCGTCGCGGCCATGAGGTGGATGGGCGAGCAATATTTTGTGCGTCGGAGACGGCGGTGGGCGGGCGAAGGCTGCGACTGCGCACGGCTTCACGGTGATGCGCACGGGCGGAGGCGCTGAGATGGATGAGAGGGAGATTCTGTGAGGGCGCAGTGCTAGCGTCGGACCGAGGTGGATGAATGACAAAAGAGAGGAAGAGAAATGCGATGGTGAATCAATCAGGAGGCGAGATGGAGGATGGGAGATTGAGAATGGAGGATGGAGGAAGGAGTGATGGGTGACGGCGACGAATACGACGGAGTTGAAAGTCGCTGTAAGTGCGGCAATTGAATCCACTTCAAAGTCGGACACGTGCGAAACCAAGGACAAGTCCAGAATCTGACGCGAGCACTCCACTCCGTTCGTGGCTCTCCTCTCCGCCTCCGCACGGTTCTTCTGCGCCTCTACATCCCCTCCAAGATCTGGCCTTCATGTCCTATCGACGCATGGGCTGCACATAGGTCATGGGTCTGGCCGGGCTCGCCGTCCTCCTTCTGGACATTCAATGTCAGGAAATAGCACACCAGTGGCCGCCACGAACAGCCGGCCACCGGCCTCGTCGGAACTGCTGGCCTGCGGTGTCTGCCGTGCCTTGGGGATCTGGCGCCATCACCCTCCTGGAATACCCCATCCCTCTTAATGCACCTCCAGACACGTTAAAGCACGTTCGTCACAGCCCGCGCGGGCCGCTGGGTAGCGGCGCCCGGGGCCTAGGCGGCTCCACATTTGTGTTACCGAGGCCGCTTTACTTCAGATGCCAGCCGGGGATTAATCGGCTGTCTGGGCCACTGTAATCCGCTGGCCATGACCGGTGACCAGCAGAGCACCAGTCACGAAGAGCGATCGTGACTGCGGACCGGAGGATTTGGAAGACTCGGGAGCGGGCAAAATGTGAGACATTACGGCTGAGACACGAACCGCAGAGCGGGATACGCTAAGAGCCGAGCAGCATTGAATCATGGGACATGGTGTAGATCGCGCTCGAGCGCATTACGCAGCAAGCTGAGGCCAAGCCTTTGTTTGTCCTCAAAGGTATGCAGTGAGACGCCACCACCCGGCGTTATTCTATTCCCATGATGTCCGACGCCCGACCCTCGAGATTTTGCCTTGGCAGTATCGTCCAGTTTAATTTCTCGGTCTTGCACACATCGTCTCGACATAGCACGGCATAGGACTCTGGTAAGTCTCTATGTTCTCACCTTTTTCCTTCCTTGTATAGCGTGGGGCGGCCTCGTGAAGATGGCTGCTCCATGCTAGCGCGCTGCGCCGATTCCCGATCATCGCCGATACCTTGACGAGCTCTCCTATCTCGTCTGTTCTCTTTGCAAAGATGCTTTTTACACTGAAAATTCTTAGTTGCCGGGCCTTCCACGCCCGGCACAGGCTGCCAACTATCATCCTGAGCAATTCCCTCCTCCCGATCTCCCAGCTGTACCTGTGAATGGCGCTGACGAAGACAGAGGCTGTATACGCGTGAGTCGGGCGACGTGTGACCAGCCATTGTACACCAAGGTGCATTGTTGTATTGCAGACAAATGCGCGTCGGGAGTCTGTGAGGGCGAGCCTGACAGCTCCCAGAGGGGCTGCGAGTGGAGGTGCGAGCTGCAGACATAGCAGAGGCGGCCAGAGGCCCGAGGCACGAGATGGGCCAAACGGACTTGGCGTTAACTGCTTGACTCGCGAGATTGACAAGAGTAGGCGTCAGAAAGAGGGGTGCAGTCGACTTCCCAAACGCACTGAGGATGCCCATGTGCACAGAGCCTCTCGAGAGACATAACAAGGGAGGAGCGAGATAAGGAGAGCCGAGATAGCTCCGTTAGCAACGCGACTGCATTCTAATCGCATCCCATCTCGTTCCGTACATCCAGCCAGCCATCGGCGAGTCCGTCATCACGCTCTCTGCCGGCAAGTAGCGCTCAGCGCTAAGTGTGTGCGCGCGTGCAGCATCGTCCGCGAAGGCATGAACTAAGCGCGGCTCACATGCGGAACATGCACTGAGTCGCCTGCACGACCATTGTTGATCGGCACTGGCCGAAGAGACCGCGTGGTCACCTGACGTCGTCGGTGGTGGAGGTACCCTCTCAGCACTTGTCCTTCCTCCATCTCTCGTTCTCATAACCTCGCCACAACGGCGAGCCACCACAATTCTCCCCACCCGTCGACTCTTCACCATGGTCAAGGACGCGCGTGCGCGCCTGTCCTCCCTGCGCCAGCTGATGCGCGAGCGCAACATCGGGGTCTAGTGCGTCGCTCTCAGTCGCAACTGACCTCCAGTGTTGTTCCCTCCGGAGATGCCCATTCGTCCGAATACCTCGCGCCTTGCGATGCCCGCCGCGCTTGGCTTACGGGCTTTACCGGCTCTGCGGGTCTCGCGGTAGTCACGCAGACTGAGGCACTGTGCTGGACCGACGGCCGCTACTTCCTCCAGGCTGGCAAGGAGCTCAGCAGCGAGTGCGTTCAGACCTTCCTTCTGCTCTGACGGTCAGCTGGACACTGATGAAGGCCGGCCTGCCCGAGACGCCGACCTGGACCAACTGGCTCAAGGACCTGGGACCGACGACGCGCGTGGGTGTCGATCCCACCGTCATCTCTGAGAAGGAGGCGGCGCCACTTGCCACGGCTCTCGGCACAGACCCGACGCGCGCTCTCGTCCCTATCAAGGACAACCTCGTCGATGCTATCTGGGACGAGCGCCCACCCCGACCTGCGAACCCCGCGTTCCGTCTGGGAGACGAGTATGCTGGGCAGAGCGTCGGAGACAAGATCCTGGCGCTGCGCGAGAAGCTCGCGGCGATCGGTTCACCGGGCCTGGTCGTGAGCGCCCTCGATGAGGTCGCGTGGCTCTTCAACCTCCGCGGATCCGACATTCCGTACAACCCCGTCTTCTTCAGCTACGCCATCGTGACTCGTCATGATACGACCCTGTTCGCCAATCCGGCCAGCATTACGCCTGAGGTCAAGGCGTACCTGCAGAAGAACAACGTTGCGGTGCTTGACTACGAGAAGGTGTGGCAGGCACTCGACAGCTGGAAGGGCCAGCTGAGCGCTGAGCGTGCGCAGAAGGACGCGGCCGCGAAGGAGGCCGCTGCTGCGGCTGAGCGGGGTGAGGTCGCCAAGATGCCTGCCAGCGAGCCCGCACCGCCCAAGAAGGAGGAGAAGAAGGACCCCAAGATCGTCAAGACTGACAAGGTGCTGATTGGGAACAGCGCGAGCTGGGCCATCGCCGACGCGCTCGGCAAGGACAACTGCGAAGTGCGCCGTTCGCTCGTTGAGGACGCGAAGGCGCGCAAGAATGCTGTGAGTTGAGCGGAGCAAGTCGCGCGAGAGGAGACTGCAACTAACCGCAGACCGAGATCGAGGGCTTCCGACGTGCGCATATTCGCGATGGTGCTGCTCTGTGCCGATACTTTGCGTGGCTGGAGGAGGTACTCGCAAAGGGAGAACAGTGGAGCGAATTTGACGCGGCGACGCAGCTCGAGAACTTCCGCAAGGAGAACAAGCTGTTCATGGGTCTCTCGTTTGATACCATCTCCTCCACGGGTCCGAATGCGGCTGTGATTCACTACTCGCCCTCAGAAACGGAGTCAGCGACGATCGACCCCAAGCAGATCTACCTTTGCGACTCGGGCGCACAATACATGGACGGCACGACGGACACGACGCGCACAGTGCACTTCGGCACGCCTTCTGCCGCCGAGAAGCGCGCCTTCACGCGCGTGCTGCAGGGCCACATTGCACTCGACACGGCCGTGTTCCCCACCGGCACCACGGGTTACTTGCTGGACGCGCTCGCGCGCCGTCCGCTGTGGATGGACGGCCTCGACTACCGGCACGGTACTGGACACGGCGTCGGGCATTTCCTCAACGTCCACGAGGGCCCGCAGGGCGTGGGTCCGAGGCCGGCGTACAACGAAATCGGGCTTGCGGAGGGCATGGTCATCTCCAACGAGCCGGGATACTACGAAGACGGCGCGTTCGGGATCCGCACCGAGAGCGTGGTGGCCATCCGCCACGCCGCTACGCCCCACAACTTCGGCGACAAGGGATATCTGGAATTTGAGAACTTCACGACCGTCCCGATCCAGACTAGCCTCATCCAGCTCGACCTCCTGAGCCCTGCTGAGCGCGAATGGCTCAACGCGTACCACGCTGATGTGCTCGCCAAGGTCCGCCCGGAGCTTGAGGGGCACGGCGACGAGCGCGCCATTGCCTGGCTTAAGCGTCAGTGCGTCCCCGTTTAGAATAAGGTGGCTGTAGATGGCAATGTATAACGTGACATGAAGGAGACTGAGAGATGAGCTTGCTGCTGCGGCCCAGAGATGCTCTCGACGTCTCTACTTTGTCACATCTGATACTAAAAGGAACTCGACACTTCAATCTTTGCCGTACAGTTGCCATACACATACATGAAGCGAGCGAGTGATAAGCTGAGGGCGGCGGTGGACAACCTCGACGATAGCCGCGGACGATCAATCCCATTAACGATGCATATACTGCTACAACCACCGGCGCCTAGGGCTTCTGGGCCTGGACCTTGTCGTTGTACTCTGGGTCGTTCTCCTGGTAGATGTCGTAGTAGGGCTCGAAGTCGTGCGACTGGTCGCAGACGCGCTTGTGGGGCACAGAGCGCGCGATCTTGTTGACGGCCTCAAACTCGTCGTCGGTGAGGTCGATGATCTTGAGGTTCTGGTCAATGCGCTCAGGCGTGCAGCTCTTCGGCAGGGGGTTGATGCCGCGCTTAACGAGCCACGAGAGCATGATGGTCGTGACCCCGACGTTGTGCTTATCGGCAATCTTCTTGATTTCGGGGTTCTCGCGGAGCGCAGAGCCGCCCGCGCCGCCGAGAGGCGAGTAGCCCTGCGGCTGAATGTTCTGCTTGTGGAGCCAGTCGACGAGCTCGAACTGTGGGCACTGGATTGAAAGTTCCACCTGGTTGGTCACCGGCTTGATGCGCGCCTCCTTGAGAAGCTTCTTGACACGGTGGATGTTCAGGTTAGACACACCGATCGACTTGACGAGGCCCTGGTCAACGAGCTTCTCCATCTCGCGCCAGGTCGGCATGATGTCATCCGAGAGCTCGACGTCGAGGAGGACCTTGCCCGACTTCTCCGACTTGACAGTGTGCTCTCTAGTGGGAAGGACGCCCTCGGGCGCATCAACCTGCCAGTTGATCTGGTGTCAGAAGTGAGTCACGCAATAACGGGCCAGAGAGGCGGAGTTCTACACCAGGTGGTAGAGCTTGGCGCCTTTCTCTCGCCATACACATCGGTACTCACGTTCCAGTGGAGGAGGTAGAGATCGAGGTACTCAAGGCCGAGATTCTTGAGTGTGTCCTTAATGGCGAGCGAAACGTGCTCCGGGTGGTGGTGGAGCTCGAAGAGCTTGGAGGTGATCCAGAACTGGTCGCGGGGAAGGCCAGCCTTCTTGATGCCCTCACCGACCTCGGCCTCGTTCCCTGTCGTCAGCGGAGTTCAATTCAGCCGCATGATGCGGACAATGCAGTATGGTTCCCGGCGGGCAAATGCAGCCGAGGACCGCAGCAGAACGTACCGTAGGCCCAGGCGCAGTCGATGTGCTTATACCCGTTCTGCTTGTCAGCATGCGTTTGGGGAAGGAGTTGGTGAGGGGGAGGGTGACAACTGCATCGCGGGGCCGCACTCGTCTGCCTCGTCTCGTCACTCGAACTCACCTTGAGAGCGTGCTCAACGGCCTTGGCGACTTCGCCCTTGGGCGACTGCCACTGTTGTGCAAAACCAGGGTGGAGAGGGCAAGGGGATTGGCGAATATGGACATGGGGCGTGAAGCGGCGAGATGAGTGATGTCGGTGCAAGGGTTGATGGCAGAGAAGAGGGCGTCAGCGCTGTCACCCGCGTCATTGGAACCATCCGTGCCATCCGCTCATAGAGCAGTAACTCCCAACCAGCACAGGAGTAGACTTACAGTGCCGAGACCGATGGCGGGGAGCTTGCGGCCGTCGCTGAGGGTGAACTCGGTAGTGGGCATTGTGTTTGGACTGGGAGAGAAGAATGGGAGGAAAGATAAGTGGACGGGGAAGAGCTTTATACAGCCTGCGGCCTGGGGCTGGCGTGAGAACAGGTGGGCTCTGGGTGAGCGCGGGTGAACGGATGTTGCCCTCGGGGCGTTTTCGGGGAATAGCAGCACACCACACACGCGGACATTCGTCGCGAGCGTGTCGGGATGACGCCGACAGACTTGCACTTTTTTATCGAGCGAGAATGTGCACATGTGCTGCTCGAGCACTGCTCGTTCGTCCCGCCCTCGCTACCATGCATAATGAGGTCGGAAGGGGCACCAGCATCTGTCACTGACGAGGTCGTGTTGATAGTCCCAAATGTGGTGACGTCGAATCACCCGGGCATCTACCGACGCCCCTGACTGCCGTGAGCTGCCGCCGGGCCGGGGTCTCGGCTCATAATAACGAGGAGAGTCCAGCCCCGCTTACTCCCTCTGTTAGCTGTGTTGGTGGATGTACGTTTAGAGCCTTCGACATGTCGTCTAAGTGTCCAAAGCTCTAAACTCGCAAAGTGCGCGCGTCCCATCTCATACGCACAGAGGCGCACCCCTTCACCCGAAGTGTGGTCCACCTACATGCCGGAAGTTCGTCCGGACACGCAGCGCTTCTGCCCCGACGATGAGTAGTCCAGCCCCTCTCATGCCTCCTGGTTATGCAGCGGATTGAGCTGTTCATATGCGACCGAGAGAGACCTTTACAAACTCGGCATGCGGGACGCGCAGGGCGCCTCTATGATTGTGACGACCATCTACAACGCTTACTGCTCCACAGAATAGACCAAGAGCATCTACTCCTCGTCGCTCGACTCTTCGTCTGAGCTCGACTCTTCCTCGAATGACTGAGCCGGACCACGGCTGTCGAACGCCTGGAGCTGCGCCTCCATCTTGCGGATACGGTCCGCCTCCTCCTGCTCGTTGAGGTGCTTGCGACCGGGAGCGCCGCCGAAACCGCTCTTACGCGGCTGGGGCTTGGCCTTCTTGCCGCGCTTGCGCCCCTTGCACACGAGGTTATACAGCTTGACGACCGTTGCTGGTGGCAGGGAATTCATGTCCAGCTCGATTTCCTGATCCTGCGAAATGTCAGTCATCTTCCTTGACGAATGCTCAAAGGACTTACACCAGTAATGTTGGTCGTCGCCTGGATGATAGCCACAGCCTGACCAAGAATATCGGCGTCGGCAGTCTGAATCTTGTTCGCCAATTCAAGCTGCTGATCTATCGTGATGGACTCTGGTTCTTCCTCGCTGTCGTCGTCTTCGTGGTATGTGACCTCGGGCTTGGGCTTGCGCTGCTTCTTCATCGCACCATTCACGCTTGGCCCGCCGGGCGACGGCTTGCTCGTAGTGGAATATTTACGCGGTGCCGCCTTGGCTTTGGGGGCCTTCTGCTTGCGCTGCTTGGCGGGCTTGCTAGCAATCTTCCGCTCGAGCTCTGCGATCTCGCGGTCAAGCTGAACACGCTCCGCCTTTGCCTCACGCAGACGGACCACTAAAATTAGCTTCAGAAAAACAAATTGAGACTCACCGTCCTTGTCCTCGTCTTCAGAGTCGTACTCGTCGGCAACCACCTCCTCGCTCGGTTCGCGCAGTTCTTGCTTTGGTGGCAACGAGCGCCACTTCTCAGTCCAAATCTGCAGCAGGGCGTTGGCGGCGTTGTGTACAGCGTCGCCGGGAGGGTTGAAGGTACGAGCGTTGTTGCACATGAGGCGCACGTCGGCGTCTATCTGTGACACGTCCTCATACTCGTTGTCCTCCAAACGCTGCTTGATCATCAGGAAATCAATCGGCTTCTTGATAACCTGTGTGTAGGTCGAGATTGCAGCGATGATTTCCTGTACAGGATAAAGGAAGGGGGCGACAATGTCGTAATGCTTCTGCGACTTCTCAAGCTGATTGAGTGTGCGAGCAGCCCATTGAATCTGCGGGTCGTTGCGGCGCTTAGGCTTACGCAGAGAGCCGGGTGAGTTGTAGTCCAGATCCTTGGAGGGAGGAGGGTGAATTTCACGCTTCGGCCTGCCCGACTCGGCGTCACGACGAATGGTGGGGGTCTGAGAGATGGACTGGCGGCGCGAGGAAGGCCCACCTGCCGGCGATGCAACAGCGGCCGCAGCAGGGGCATCGCTGGGGAGAGAGCGAAGCGCCTTCTCATACTGTTCCTCGAGCTTGGACGCCAGTTGAGAAACGACATGATCGCGGCCATTGAATTTGCGCGTGTTCTCCCAGATCTGGCGCACATCGGCGGTGAGTTCCGCCACGCACGAGTAGCTGCCTTTGGAAGGGTCCCACCTCGCAGCCTTGCTCTTGTCTTTCGGTGGTCCGCGGGGATCAGAGGCGATAAGCTTGGTCTCAACGGTGCCGAGGTCCATAGGTCGGTCGATGATGTTGGGATAATGGGGGATATTGAACAACACGACGTCGACCGGTTGCCGGAAATTGACCGAGTTGTTGGACTTGAGCATCGAACGCACAGCGCTTAGCATATACTTGTGCTGCTGTGGCGTCCAAGGTGTCTTTGGTCCCGGCCCTTGAAGATACTTCGTAGGCTCAAAGTTGGTCCACGGATAGACAACAGGCGGAGCGTTGGGGTCATCTGTCGCTGGCGCTGCAGCCGGCGGCTGATCGGGAGCTGCTGTTGACGGAGCCGGAGGAGGCGCCTGGACAGGGGGAGCGGGGGCGGCAGGAGGCTGAGGCGTGCCCGAGTGGGAGCGGCGCGGGGAGCCTTCCTTGACACGCTTCGTGTCTTCAGACACGAGCGAGTCACCGGGGCGCTTGATCCCGGCCGGGCCTGGGCTCGCGGAGCGATCGATGTCCATGCTGTCACCACCTGCGGGTGGAGCGGAGGATGAGGCAATGGGATCGAAGGTAGTGTCAGCCGGAGTGGGGTGGGCGCCTGGCAATGGCGAGGAAGCCTTAGGCGGATAGAGCGTCGGGAGATACGACGTCGAGCCGTTGGGCTGTTCCGGGGCCAGGGCAGAGGCGGGAGGAGTGGGGAGGCGAGAATGCGAGGGCTCAACAATTGTGGACGAGGGAGGGGGACCCTCTGTCTGGAGGGGGTTGATAAGGGGCTTCTCTGGGGAGCCGCCGGCAATGGGAGCGGGCGACTGCGCAGTGACCTCGGCGGACATTTGAAGTGATGTGATGATGTGGCGGACTGGAGTGGTAGGAGGAGGAAGAAGAAGAAGAAGAAGAGAGTGGTTGATGAGTGCACGCGAGTGATATCGAGAAAGAGGAACGAAGAGGAAAGTGCAGCAGCAAAGGTCAGCATTGACATAACGAGGAAAAAGGTATGGACAAATGCGTGGTGCTCATGCATAAATGTGCCATGATCACCCACCTTTGTGGTGTTGCGCTGAATGACCGAATTCGCCTGGGATCCAAGGGCGGCCGGTCACCAGCGGTGGGTGGTGGTGGTGGTGGTAGTGCGGGAAATTGGAGAAGAGGGAGGGGAAAGGGAAAGGATTGGGATGAAATGGATGATGGCGAGGAAGGGTGGATTGATGATGTGGAGAGGTATATTGATGGCGATGCAAGGGGATTATACAGTGAGTGTGGGTTGGATGACAGGGCAGAGGGTATCTGGATGATTGTTTTGGTGTAGGGGGATGTGTTTGGGGAGTGTCGCCGCTTGACAAGGAGAGGGGGGGGGGGGGAGGTTTAAGATTGAGGGACGGGGCACGGAAAGCGGGAGAAGGGGTGGGAGGAGAGGCGGCGACGTTGGTTGGGTGAGAACGGTGGTGAGGGGGGGCAGGCGCAGGCGAGTGAGGCGACTTTTTGGGTGTCGACCGACTTGGGGGACTTTTATGGGCCGGCAGCAATCGGGGCCCAGGGATTATATACGCATCTTGTTTTCATCGCTCCTTTGCCATCCAGGCACGTCCAAACATTGACATTGGTCCACACGCTTACGGATCCCTTCCGGCGTTATAATTAAATCGCCGGAGTGGCACCTCTATGATGGTCGGATCAGACCTGATTGAGTCAGGGAACAAGATGCGACGATCCGATTGCAGGGGCGACAAGGAACCGTGGGGCTTCGGCCGCGTACGGTGACACCGGGAGAGCCAGGGGACGGACGACGTGTGTGGTGTGTGAAGGGCGTTTGGGACGTGTGTGGATGGATGGGTGGTGAGGTTTCACCCCCCATGCATTGTTCGCCACCCGCGCCATCCTTAGCCGCCCTCCCATGCCTGCGCATCGACGGCCCTCCGCCCATCCCGCCTGGCCGCCTGGCTGCTGGCCGCCTGCTGCTGCCGCCTGGATGGCCGCCCTACCCTCGCCCCAACTCGACTGACCAGCATGAGCTTGCACACTTGCTGATTCCCTTTCCTTTGTGTGGCTGTCAGCGCAGCCGTCGGGGCGTGCACTCTCGCCCTCCTTCAGCCTCGCACCCGCACCAGCATCTGCACCCCCACCTCCAGCTGCGCGAGTCCAAAACTCTCGCGCTCCTCGCCGCGCCGAGCGTTGGACGGGCTCTTGTTGCCACCAGCCGCAGCGCGCGCATCACCGGCGCTCACACCAGACCACGCCCAACGCGAGGAGGTTGTGGCCTCGCCCGTGTCGCTTCCTGGGTTTCCCCCCTGCTGTCAGTTGGTCGCCTGCAAGGCCGACCCCCCTCTGGTGTCGAAGTGAGAGGATGAAGGACAATCAGGAGCGTGAGCTCGCCCACCTTCTCCACTTGGGGGACAGCATTTTGCCACCGCTCAGATTCCAGCCGGAACCAAATGAATCATGATCCCACGCGTCACTCGCGCGATGACGCCGGGACCTCAAGTCCAACGTACGTCCACATGTCTGCGCGCGATGCGGGACGCGTTGCACTGACATCTTCACAGGTCCCAGTCCCGATTTACTCCTTCACATAATCAAGACTTCCCCGGGCACCCGACACATCCGCCATGGCGACGTTCTCGGCCTCGGCGGCGGTGGGCGAGGTGCTCCGGCAGCCCGACGACCTCGTCAAGCTCAGCGCGTTCCGCAACAAGCTGCTCAAGGAGAAGGCGACACTCGATGCCAAGCTCCAAGAAGGTGTGCGATCGCAGCTCGACGCGACCCGTGACGCGCTCCTCAAGCTACAGGAGAGCCGCGCGGCCGTTGCTGCAATCCGCGAGGAGATGATAGAGGTCGAGAAGCTGAAGCGCGACAAGGACGAGGGCGAGGTGTTTGAGAAGATCACGCGCGTCAGTGGCGTGCACCGCAACTTTACGCAGACCGCCAAGATGGTCAACGAGCTACAAAGCATGGCCGATAAGGTCAATCACCTCGGTGCGCTGCTCGAGGACGACCGCGCGCAATCTGGTGGACCGATAGGACCAAGCCCCAATCTTCTCCCGATTCATTTCGAGCTACAGAAGCTCGAGACGTTCCGCAACGAGACGATGCACGAAGCCAAGCGAGGTTCTAGAGAGGACAAGGCGATTCTTGCGCGCTGGTTTGAGCCTCTGGACCTGCTCACGCACGCGTTTGAGAGCTGGCTTTGGGAAATCAGTGCCAACATGATCGAGAACGCCGGCGCCGGATATGGCGGCACAGTGGTACGCTTGCTCAAGATCATCGAGTTCGAGTCCAAGGAGGACGAGAAGGCCGTCGCACTCCGTCTCGTGCGCAAGGTCGCTGCCAACGACGCCGCGTCCAATTTCCGTTCCATGCAAGCCAACGCCCGCGTCATCAAGAACTACCGACACAAGATGCTCGACGCAATGGAAGGAAGAATCAAGTCCAAGTTTGAGGCTGAATGGGACGGGTGCCGCGGCGACGACCTGGCTTTCATCCACGGCCTTGACGAATGGCTATTTGCCGACGTTGTGCGCATCAAGGACGACCTCGAGTCGCTGTTCCCGGAGGATTTCAACGTCGTGGAGTGGTACATCAAGCGCTATCACAGAACACTGAACGGGATGCTCACGCGCATCGTCGAGGCCGGGCCAGACGCCCAGGTTCTCCTCCAGCTGCATGCGTGGATCAAGAAGTACCGCCAGACGATGAAGGGCGAGGTGCCGATCGACTGGCTGAGCCCACCGCTGCTTGATGGGCGAGCGCAGGACCTCATTGAGGACTACGTTAAGCTCATCATCACAAAGCTTGACGAGTGGACAATCAATCTGCAGAAGGAGGAGACAAGCAAGTTCCGCCTGCGCGAAGCCGAGCCTCAAGTCACCCCGGAAGGGCTGTTTGGAATGGACGGCGTAGTGGACTTCTTCCAGCTGGTGAATCAGCAGATCGACTTGTCGCTCGAATCGAATCAGGGCGCGGTCCTCGCGCGCGTCGTCACCGAGTGCGGGCGTGTCATGCACCGCGTTCAGCACGAGTGGACCGCGCTCGTGGCTTCAGAGCTGCGCCTCTCGACTGAGAAACGGCCCGAGGAGGTGGCACCTGGCTTGGTGGAGTACACGATGGCGTTGGCGAACGACCAACTGCGCGCGGCCGATTACACCGAGGCCCTGCAGGCGCGCCTTGAGCCCCTCGTCAGCGACAAGTACCGGACGACGATTACGGAGCGCCTCAATGAAGCCATCGACGGCTACCTGGACGCAGCGAAGCGATGCACGAACACGCTCGTAGAGTTTGTGTTCAACGACCTACGCCCCGCGACCTCGAAGCTCTTCACGCCCGAGTGGTACTCTGGCGCGCTGAGCACATCGATTATCGCGACCATGGGCGACTACATGTCCGACTACCAGGCGCACCTGAACGGCTCGCTCTTCGACCTGCTCATTGACGACATGCTCGACGCCTTCCTCATAACGTACTTGACGGCACTGCGCCGCGCGCCTGCCAAAAGCCTGCGCATGCCCAAAGCGACGGACCGGTTGACGCAGGACGTGGGCCAGGCGTTTGATCTGTTCCAGAACTACCGCGCACCGCAGGACATCGAGGCGTCGTTTGAGATCATGAAGATTGTCGGAAGCATGCTCGACGCCAGCTCGGAGATGTTTGTGCTGGACTGGCACGGGTTTGCGCGCGTGCACGGCCCACAGCTCGCGTTCACTGAGGCACTGTTGCGCGCACGAGACGACCTTGACCGCGGGGACATTGCGGATATCATGGACGCGCTGCGGCGGCGCGTGACGGAGGAGGGGTTGGGCGAGCCAGAAGAACCGACGATCATGGTGCGTCGCACGCCAAGACAGACTGACGCCAGGTCCGTATCCATGGGCACTCGGGCGCGGCGGGGCTCATCCGCAACATCGCGACGTATGCCGACAACGTGGCTGGCCGCATGCGGCGGCGCGACTAGACTAGAACAAAGTAGTAGGGCAGGCCCTGTATCATGTACACCATTGCTACGCCGTGGGCGGGGACGTCTCATACAATCGTCATACATATAGTCTATGCTCTAGTCCAGATCTTCTGGCACCACCTCTCCCTCGTCCGCGCTGCTCGTCGAGAATCCTCCACCAACACCCATGATGCATGCGAGGAGGAGCATGACGACGAGCAGCCGCACCCCCGTGCTCTCGCCCTTGACCTCTTCGTCGAGCCGCGCCGCGCCAAACCGCTTCTCGCGGTTGGCCTTTTCCCTCGCGCTCTCCTTCTTGCCCCACCGCATCCCGCCGAGGTCGCCGGTAGAGCCCCGTCCGCCTGCAGTCAGTTCGCCGTTATTCCTTGCACTCCATCACGCCCTGTCTTCTGCGCGCCCTCCTCCCCGGTCTTCCTCTACCTCCTCCCACTCTCTTCTCTTCTCCTCCTTCTCCTCCTCTCTCTCCTCCTCTCCCCGTCCTCCTCTTCTCTCCTCATCTCCCCCTTCCCCTCCGTACTCACCAACACCCCCCATGCCCATCCCAAACCCCAGATTCGGATCCACCCGCCTCCGCCCACTCCACTGCGGCCCGGGCGCCGCCTTGCCCCACGTCCCGCGCCCATCGCCCGTCCCGCCCCCGCTCCACGCGCGGTGCGGCCCGGCACCGCGCCGCGCCTGCGGCGAGTGGGGGTAGAACCCGGCGCCGGCGCTGGCCGCCGGGCGCGGCGCGTGCTGCCGGTCGTAGGCGGAGCGCGCGGCGTCGTCGCCCAGCACGGCGTACGCGTCGTTGATGGTGTGGAAGGCGGCGGGAGAGCCGCCGGGCGCGTCGGGGTGGGCCTTTTTCGAGAGCTGGTGTTAGCAAAGAGGGGGAAGGACTCGCTTCGTAGAAGCGCGCTTTGATCTGCGCTTTCGTGGCGTTGCGCGGAAGCTTGAGCGTCGCGTAGTGGTCTTGGTGGCGCGCCGAGGGGCGGGACGAGGTCGCGAGCCCGCGCCAGCAAGGGCAGCGGAGGAGTGAGGGCGGGCGCATGTAGATGAGGGATGCAGACGCACACACACAGAGTGGAGAGGAGATGGAGATGGAGATGAAGTGACGCTCGTGTGGCTGATAAAGTTGGTTGCAACCCTCGGCTGAGATAGTGCGGCATCGGCCGACATCATCGGCATCATCCACTTGTAAACGCCACCGACGCATCCGCTCCAACTCCGCTCACGCGCTCAGCCTACAATCATCCCGAGTTCAATGCCGCTCGACCCATTCTCTCAACTTGTCATCTAGACACTATAGCATTCCAACGAACATCAGGCTACAGACTCCATCTGCACTTCTACTTCTCTGCATCCTCCATCTCCACGTCACCATCATCCCCGGCGGTGGGCTTGGACTGTGCCTTGTCGTCCTTGTCCATCACCACGTCCTTGGGACTGCCCTTGCTCGACGGAGGCTTCTCGCCAGCCACGCTGCCCTTGCTCGACACTGGCTTGTCGCCGACAGCACTGCCCTTACTAGAAGGCGCCTTCTCGGCTGCAGGCGAGCGCACGACAGAGGGTGAGCGAGGCGCGGCGCGGTCATCCGACGCGCGGCGCTTCACCGGTGACTTGGGCGACTTAGCCTCGTCCTTCTTCTCTTCACGCTGTTCTCTGAGCTCACGCTCACTGCGCTCGCGGCGATCGCGCTCACGCGCCTCCTCCCAGGGCGAGGTGGGCGCAGACGCACGCGCCCCAGGGCGCTCAGGTGAGCGACGCTCCTTGTCTCTGCCAAACTTGATAAAGTCGGCGCTCGACTGCAGGCGCGGCGCATTCAGCACCTCGATGCTAGCGTTCGACTCAGTGCGCTCAATACTCGGTGGCGCCGGCGCTCGTGGAGCGTTGAGCACCTCGATGACAGTCTGGCGTGTGGGACTGCCAACGCCGGGCGAGGCCTTGGACTTCTTGTGACTCTGCATTTCCGGGGACGACGGATCGGGACGTTTGGTGCCAATGACAGGGCTGGGCGCCTTGTCCGTTGCAACGGATGGGGCACGGCGCTCATTGTGCAGTGTCATGAGAGCATCAACTCCTTCGTCATAATCTGGCGTTAGCGTTGGCATGAATGTGCTACTCACCCTCGTCGACAGTGCGGCTGGGTGCCGCGACACGTGAAGTAGAAGGCGCGGGGCTGGGACGCGGGCTAGGCTCCTCACCGTTGAGACGGCGGCCCTTGGAGTCTGGAGCTTTCTTCATCTTCCTTGATGGATCTTCGCGCTTGTCAGACACCTTGCGACGCCCGCTTGCCTTGCTGCTTGTCGACGCGGCTGGTGATGGAGCACGCATCTCGCCGTGCTCGCGTGCCAGCGACGCCTGGCGGCCGTTGCCGAACTCGATGGGAGGCTTAGTCTCGTGTTCCTCAAAACGCTCGCGCGCACGCGGATCCCGAGGGTCAGGGAAGCCGGGCGGGTAAGGTCCGCCACGCTCATACTGCGCGCCGCCGTAGGGAGGGTACCCATCAGGTGAGCGAACAAACTCGCGCGGATCGCGAGGGTCACGGGGGTCGCGGGGGTCGCGAGGGTCGCGTGGGTCGCGGGGGTCACGTGGGTCACGAGGGTCGCGAGGGTCGCGGGGATCACGAGACGGGCCTGCGCGCGGGTCGCCTGGGAGCAATCCAGGACGTGGTGACGGCCCACGGTGGTCATGAGGAGCCATGGCACGCGGATCACCGCCTCGACGCTCCCACTCTTCGCGCTCGCGGTCACGGTAGCCCGGGTGGGGCTGAGGTGGATAGCCAGGTGGATAACCAGCTCCGGGCTCTGCCTGGCGCCGACGAGGCGATCCTCCTCGGGCATCATGAGCTGGGTCGAAGCGATTGGGGCCAGGCGGGCCAGTCGCAAAGTTGGGACCTTCGGGGTAACCCTCCCGCAAGTCGCGCGGGGGCTCCGGGGGGCGCTCTACGTCGATTGGCGCCAAGGGGGCGTGTCGCGACATGCTACCGCGAGACTCGTCGACGTGAGCGAGCGGCGGGGGAACTGCGCCACCCCGGAACGTTGCCGGCTCCGGTCCGCGGTAGTCTGTTGGGAGCGATGGCAACTCACGGCCTGGACCGGGAGGTTGCTCACGCGCGTCCTGTCCAATTTGTGGACCAGGAGCAGGAGGGGCTCCATGGCGAGGTGGAGGAGGAGACCCAGATTGGCTGCCGTTGGGCGCATACCCTCCGCTGGGAGGCGCGCCGCTATATTGAGACGGGTGCACATCCACAGGGGGAGGGGGAGGTGGAAGTGGCTGCGAGCTGTGGCTTTGGAGAAGGCGGAGGCGCTCCTTAATTGCGGGGTTCCGAGGCTCGAGCTCCTGCGCTCTCACATAGGCATCGACCGCATCGGTTATCTGGTTGTTGCACGACTCGTACAGACTGCCCAGGTTGAACCAAACCTCGGAGATGTACGGGTTCAAGCGAATAGCACGCGAGTATGCGTCCAGGGCGTCCCGATATTGGTTGATCTGGAAATAAAGGACACCGATGGAGCACCAGAATGTCGGATTCCTGCCGTCACGATAGACGGCCTGCTGGTACGCCTCGTAAGCCTTATTGTAGCGCTGCCCAGCCATAAATGCTCGACCGAGAAGATACCAGCTCTGGGCGTCGTGAGGGTCTGTTTCAAGTGACTTTGTCAGATATCCGATAGCTTGCTCATGGTTGGCAAAAGGTGCGCCAGGCTGGTGGTACAGCCAACCGAGCTGCTGGAGAACCTTGGCGTGGTCTGGTTGGTGCCCAAGCACACGCATGTACGCATCGCGCGCCTGAACGTAGTCGCGGTCGAGCTCGTAGACGTGGCCTAGCTGGAACCATATGTCCCAGGACGTCAATGGGCGGGGAGGGTTCTTGATGATGCGGCGGAAGCAGTTCAGTGACTCGGGGTAATTGCGCTGATGCTTGTATATGATCCCCAAACGAAAGTAGATCTCGTTGGCCTTCTCGAAATCTGCTGTCAGGCCACGGATATGCAATGAGACGAGGATGCTCACCAGGGTCCATTTTCAACACGCTGGAGAACGCCTCCTCAGCGTGCTCAAACGACCCGTAACGGTCGTACAGGATGCCAATGCCGTACCACAACTTGGGCTCTTTGGGGTTCGGCAAGTAATGAAGCGCCTGCTGGTAGGCCGTGTAGGCCTTGGGAAGGTCGTCCTTCATCAACAAGCAGTGACCTAATGGTGAGCACGCACGCGCGCTACAGTGCACCACTATCACTCACCCATTGAGCCCCACACCTCCCCGTTATCCTGCTTGAGATTGAGAATGCGCTGGAAGAGGTCGACAGCCTCGTCAAACTTGTCGCGACTGCGCGCCAAGTTGGCGGCAGTGGTCAGAGCGAGGATCGAGTTGGGGTTGTGCTTGAGTGCTCGGTCAAATGCCTTGGCGGCATCGTCGGGGGACGCAATTTGTTCACTGACAGCGCCTGTACAGTCAGCGGGTTGTCCCGTCGTGAACAGTGCACGACCGCTCATGCGGTGCACGTACCGATGAGCATCCAAGTGTTTTCGTTGGCAGTTTTCAGATTTTTGATCAAATTGTCCATCGTCTCCTTGCCTTGCCGGAGAGCTGGGCTCATGGGCATGCTGGGTCCCGGAGTACCGTGATGACCGTTGGATACCGGACCATTACTGGGAGGGCCAATGGGCTCTGGTGGGGCCACGTTCATAGGCATGTTAGGAGGAGGGCCCGGCCCGGCCATTTGGGGAGGGCCACCCCCGGGCATGCCTGGGGGTGGGCCATTGGAGCGGGACGAGTGATGATGAGGATGGTTCATGGGGTGAGAAGGGTGGTTTGGGTAGCCTGGACCAGGCGGGGGATATGACGAGTGCACGGGCATGTGGTGCCCAGCCGGCATGTTGGTTTAGTTGGAGAACTCGGAGTTCCGAGCCGCTTTTGATGCACGCAGGCGCTGTGGGGCGTCAGCTACGATCGGTCATGTTTGCTCGTCGTTGCCACCGCCGAGAAGCACGAGGCCAAGAAGGGGGGAGGGGGGCGGCGCTAGAGGGCGCAGGGGGGAGCCGATGGGCGCAATTGCGCCAAGGTTGCCCTCCGTGGTGGGGCGAGTCAAGGACAAAGTGACCGACTCCACAGCCATGCAACCACATCCTTCTGGGCGAGCCACATGGCGCTTGCGAGCCTACGACGCTCTCACTCCGCGCTGTCCGGCGTGTGTCCGCACAGCTTTGACCAAAGATGTCCCCACTGACAACTGGGATGATGTGTGCGCGCGTCCGCTCGCAATGGGAAGCATCCCGACAAGGTCCGGCTCCACCGATCGGCAGTGACTGAGTCGATGTGCGCGCGGGAGAAGAAGGAAGTAGAAGGCAGTGGCAAAGTACTTAACTCACAGATGAAAGGGCGGGGTAGGCAGGTGTCGGTATCTGTGCCACTCGAACGAACCAGTGGTTTTGAGTCGATAATGGATATGGGTGATTGATGAGACACTGTCACCTGAGATGTGAGGTGCGGCGCCCGATGGTATCGAGGTTGGTTGGTGAAGATAGGCTGCAGTTGGTAAACGATGCGAGTGACGGGACAAGGATGAGAGGGGAGGGAGACGAGGAGGGAGGAGGTGGAGAGGAAAGGAGAAGAGAAGAGACGATGAGAGAGTAGAGAGAGAAGAGCAAGAATTGGTGTGAGAGTGCGAAGGGGGATGTGTGAGGCGAGGCGAGGAGTGACAAGACAGAGGCGAGGGTGCAGAGGTCGGTGCGCAGGCCGAGACACACGTCCGTGTGTTGGTGGGCCGAGTGTGTGCCGTTGTTGCTTTTGTGTTGGTTGTGGATGTGAGGGGATGAGAGGAGGGAGGAGAACGAAAGAGATGTGGATGGAGTGTATTGAGTGTTGTTTGGAAATGAAGAAGAAGAGAAGAGGAGAAGAAGGTGATGCTGCCGTTTTTGCCAGTGTGTGGCTGTATCGATGATAGACTGTGGCGGCTTGTCGCTGCTGCTCAGGGATGACGCAGTGCCAGCAGGCCACCAAGCCAGCAAGCCAACAATACAGGGTGGGGCAGGGCGGGGGCGCAGGGCGCACGAGGGCGCACGAGGGGTGACGGTTGTGGGATTGTGGGGAGGGGGCCTCGGGGGCACGTACCAGGAGATTTCCAGGGCCAGGGCCAAAAGTATACTCTCGAAAGGTCCCAGCGTCCCAGCGTCTTCAAATGTGGCGTACTCGGTGGCGTCTCTTTGCTTCGTCACTCGCGATGCACGACGCTCTCTCGATCTCTCGAATCGCCTACTCTCTCGCTTTCTGTGTCTTTCTCTCTCGTCAACAACAACGAAGCACGAGCCTGGCGCACAGACTCGAGCCTCGCACTCTCCTGGTTGCTGACTCCAACGATCCTCCAACAACAACAACAACGACGACGACGACGACGACGACGACGACGACGACTTGATTCCGCTATGACCCAAGGAATGGATCACGAGCACAGTGGGCCGAGTCGAGTGCCTCTAGTTAGTCGCCCGAGCGCGGTCCTGCGGCTGCGGTGTTGCACAGAGTTTGTGCACAATTGCGCAAAGCTTGCACGGTGCACGGGATTGCGACACGAGACGCGGCAATGGGTGGATGATTCAAGTGGCGCGTCCGTGTCCGGCTGGGGGCGCAGCACGGGCCTCGGAGCTTGGAAGCGGGCGAGGCGGGGCGAGAGCGAGGCGGGGGGGGGGGGCGTGGATCGCGTGGAGACGAGGAAGACAGAGGATTCACGAGGAGACAAGGGGAGGAATCGATCCTTCCAAGTGTTGCTGGGTCGGGGGTCGCGGATCGACTGTACGTGCCGCTCGGCCGTTCGGGAGCTGGGAGATGAGGGAGAGGGGGCCGTGCCGTGTGCTGTGTGGGCGCAGGGGAGGCGCGAGAGGGCGATCGGGTGATAGGGAGATGGATGCAGCACCTGCCGATCGGGGATCCGGGGGTTGCAAGTTGGGAAGCAAAGGGGGGAGACCGGGGAGAAGTGTTGGTTTGCTGCGGCTGCGGAGTGATGCGTGGGGATGCGATGAAGACTCTGCACGGCGATATGTGGGGCGTCAGATGCCGTTGATGATCAGATCCTGCACGAGAGTGCAGTGCAGGATGTAGGATGAGAGGGAACGGCCGCGTGGGGCGAGGGCGCAGGGAGGCGGAGGGCGCAGGGGCGTGGGGCGTGGGTGGAGATGAGGGAGGAAATGGAGATAAGAGGTAGATGTTGTAGATGTTGTGGATGTTGTGGATGGAGCGATAACAAGGGGGTTGAGTCGTTGAGAGTATGAGTAGTGGAATGAAGAGGAGTCAAGAACAGGCAAGCAATTGACGGGCTGCTGACGTGGGAGGGGTGATCGGGGGGGGAAGGCGGCGGCAGCGGCGGCGACGAATGGACGGATTGTAGATGGCCAGATGGGGGGAGGCGGGGGAGAGGAGGATGTCGTAGGTCGTTTGCCGTTGCCGGTGGTCGGCTTGTGCTGAGCTGCTGAGAGTGATGAGTGAGTGAATGGGTGATGATGCAAAGGATCCTGAGATGATATTAGGGATCGGGTACGGGGTTCTGGGTACAGAATGGGAGCTCGACGAGTTGTGAGACACTTTGAGCTATTGAGATGCCGTCCAAATGCCGTCACTCGAGGCTTGCGGATCAGCCTCGAGGATCGAGGCTCCAAGCCCGAGGCAGGGCCAGAGGATCGGGGGCAACGGGGGTGTGGTTTCTCGGCCATACAGAGAGTCACGGTATTGCGGGCTGCGGGATGCAGTGAGCTACGGGGGGGGGCTGCATTTGCATCACGTACGGCCCAGACGACGGAGGCGACATGCGCCACGCTTTGGAGCTCTCGAGCTCTCGAGTCTGATGATAGATGAGAGCGGTATTCTGAACGATTCCAGGGGCAAAAGACGAGAGAGCACGGCCGCTTCCGAATGTGGCGCAAGGCACGCGTGGCGCATGGCGCATGGCACAACCACCCCACCTGACGCCACCTCTTAACCCCCTTGGGCCATATGCCCAGCGGATCCAGGTCCTCAGGAGGCATGTCTCAGTACCTCGGTCGTAACTCAACTCTTCATGCACCGGGTCTAGGCGTTCAGGGCTGGCCCAATTAGCGTGCCCATCATGCCCATCATACGCATCATCCCGTGGGGATCGCACAAGCGTGCCCAGGTGTCTCAACTGGACCCTGAATAATCCCAGACTTGTGCCAAGCGATCCAAGTGACAAAGAGATCGTCAAGAGATCAAGAGACATGGAAAATTCTATTCCTCAATCCTAATCTCCCTGTGACTCCTTTACCGCTGATTACATTCCAGCAGGCAACAGGCCATCAATAATCAGTATTTAGGTCCCGTCAGGCCCGTTCACCGTTCCAGTTGTCCCCAGTTTCGGAAACGCATTTCGGCTGCTTCCCTCCGTACCTCCGTATATTGATTGCCCTTGCGCCCAGACATGAGAAAACCGCAACCACGCCTACCGCTTGCTGCGCCAACCCTCACTCTCACGCGCGCCGATGTCGTGTGCCTGCAGAGCTGCTGTTCCCTCCGTTCCGTCCGGCCGTCCGGCCCTCCGGGATGCCCCTGCGTCGTTCCTTTCTTTTAGCAGCTCAGCCATTCCCAACCCATCCAAACACGTGTCACTCGGCCATCAGGTGCGCAGCAACGTAGTGCCGCAGTCGCGACCAGATCTCCATATCCCCCCATATCCCCGCAATTCACGCCATATCCCACCTCCAATTAATCGTCGATTGCTGAATACTGAATACTTCCATGCATGCCATGCACGCGTCTCTTCCCCCGACTGCATACCTCCACAACAAAACACATGGGCGTGAACGGCGTACGGGCGTAGTGGGCGGTGGCGCGTGGCGCCTCGGACGTGTGCGAAGATCGCGCGGAGGGGAGGGCGAGCGAGAACGCAAAGCTCCAGAGCGCCAGCACCAGCGCAAGAGCGGTAGCAAAGGGCCCGAGGCGCTGCGGCGCCGGGGCCGCACGGATTCAATCCGAGAGCCGTGACCTGATTCGCGGAATGTACACTCACCACGCTGTTGCACCTGCTCATCTGCTCATCACTCCTGACCCTGCTATACTTGGTACGCCCGGTACCCCTGTACGCCTGGACGCCTGCGCGTGCTCCAACAATCCCATCGGCATGCCCCCGTCGGCTTTGGCGCGTGGCGCACTTGGTTCCCCCGCCGTCAGCCGTCCATCACAAACACCGCTCCACCTGGGATTCGCGTCGTGTTCGGGGATGGGGTGCTTCTGGTGATCTGGTTCCTGGTCTTGGTCTCTGGGATGTGATCGATGTGACTGGCGATAGTGAGGTGATGGTGATGCGCGCAGAGCAAGGGCGCACTAGTGCATACAGTATCCACGCACGCGCGCATACAAGCACGGGCGCAGCGCACGCCAGGCGCACAGGCGCACGGGCGCTCCAATCCAAGAGATCGATTGTCGCAGAAGAGCCGGGCGGGCCGCGGGCCGAGAGAAGAAGGTCTTGATGCTTCGCGGCCCCGCACTGACACAGATGTGCCTGGCCTGACGCCACGCCTGCGCCGACGCCCCTGAGCGAAGCAATGACGTGACCTCCGAAGCCCACCACCAACCTCGCCCCTCGATTCCAACCACAGATCTCTCCGTCTCCACGGAGATCAGCCAACCTCCGCCCCGCACACATCCGATCATCCGATCCGCACCTCCATTTCGCGCACCAACGCAGCCGGCACAGCCTGCACTATACACAAACAATCCTCTTCGCACGCACGTCCTCCCCCTCCCCTGTCTGTGATCTGTGAGCGACAAGCCCAAGCAATCAAGAAATAGGCAACAAGCAACACGCACTCGCACCGCACGGCCAGGCCGCAGTCATGGCCACCCCTTCGCTCCTCCCCGTCGTGCTCGCAGCCGACAACTTTCCCGCCTGCGCCGCATACCCCTCGCACCACCCGGACACCGGCGAAGTCTACGTGCCCTTCCACATCGCGCCAGCGGACCACGCCGCACGTCTCTCGCCCGTGGGCCTGCTGCGCCCGGCCGTCCTAGCCGCGCTGGACGGCGACGCCGCGTTCGTGTCCCACCGCGCGGGAAATGCAGTCGAGTGCGTGACGTTCGCCCCGGACGTGCTCGCCGGCGGGCGGCAGGCGATGGACAAAGCCATCGCGGACACGGCGGCGCGCTGGCGCGCTGCCGGCCTTTTTACGCCCGCGTTGGCTGGATGGCGCGACGAGCTGTACGCGATCTACGCGTCGCCGCGGAGCGCGGCGTTCGCCACGCCTCCGCGTGGCGGGTGGCGCAACGCGGCGTTTGCGTGCGAGCGCGCCGCGTGCGCCGTCTGGGGCTTCGCGACCTTCGGCGTGCACATGACGGCGTATGAGGGCGAGGGGGGGAGTATGAAGATTTGGGTGCCCCGCAGAAGCCCGACCAAGGCCACATGGCCCGGCATGCTCGATAATGTGAGCGTCGGAAGGGCAGCGCTCACGTAGACCGTCGCGGGGGGCATTACGGCCGGCATGACACCGCGCGACACCATGATCAAGGAGTGCGACGAGGAGGCGTCGTTGCCCGCCAGCCTTGTCGAGGCGCGCTTGAGAAACGTCGGCCTCGCGACGTACTGGTACATCACCAAGGCGGGGTTCTTGCAGCCAGGTGAGCGGGTGTAGTCTAGCGTTGGCGCTGACGGCCAGAGGTCGAGTAAGCATGTACGCGACGCAGCTCACACAGATACCTTTACGATCTGCCGCTCCCGCCGCGCGACTCGGCGGATTACGTGCTCCCGCGCCCGCACGACGATGAGGTCGAGTCGTTCCACCTCATGACCGTGCCCGAGGTCATCGAGGCGCTGCACCGCGGCGAGTTCAAGCCCAACTGCGGAATTATCCTCGTCGACTTCCTTATCCGCCACTCGCTCATCACCCCCGAGAACGAGCCGGACTATATCGAGATCTGCTGGCACATGCGCCGCCGTCTCGGCGTTGGCATGCCCGCGTAGATGTATTAGAGGGTATACATGCAGATGCAGGGTACAATGCGTCCGTCTTGCGCTTGTCGTTCTCGAGACCGCCTCCTGTCTCCGGCCTCCGCTCTTGCCTCTTCTATGGCCTCTTGCCTCTCACGTCTCTCGCCTTATGCTTTACTTGCGCCGCCGCGCTATGGTGAGCTCCCTATCCCTCTGTGGTCGCCGCAGCCTTCCCACCCTCCTGCAACTTCATCTGGAGCACCTGCACAACGCTCTGCACGTTCTCCTGCTTGCGCTCAATCGTAGTCTGCAGCGTGTCCAGGTTCTTCTGCACGAACGCCGCCTTGTCGCTGTAGTGCTTCTTCGCCTCGTCGCGGGTCTGCAATCAGCTTTGCCGCTAGCGTTGCGGTCGCTCAACCCACCTTGCGCACGTAGTACCCTGTCCCGACGTCGACGATCACGTGGCTCGTGTCGCCCAGCTTGCCGGGGACGTAAAGCGACGACAGCAGGGGAACGAGCACCTCGCGGTCTAGAGTTAGCGCTAAGCGCGGACAAGGCCGGGGTTGCGAGCGCGCGGACATCGTGCTTGAGCACATTGTGACCGAACCCAGCCCAGAACAACCGACCCGACTCACCCTTCACCGCCGACTTGAGCTCATCGACATCGTTGACGCAGCCGCGGAACTTGGCCTGCGCTTGCTTTAGCTGTGCGTACGACGACGTGAGGTGGTCCAGTTCCTGTAGTCAGCAACGCGGCTTGCCAGCTGTGCAGCATCCGCAACCCACCTCGTCAAGCTGCTTCTTCACCTCCTGCAGCTGGTTGGGGTCGAGGTCGGTGAGCGTGATCTGCTGTTCCGCCATGGTGTGATGCGTGCTCGACAACTCTCTCGCGACTTCTCCAGCGCGTCTCAATGTGCGCGCTGATACGAAATTACGTGTCACGCCGCGACCGGCCCGGTGGAGGTGTCCGATCCGCGGATGTGGGGAAGATATCGCGACTCGTCCCACCCTCACCCACACCACCATGCACCTCGTCACGGTCGCCACCTGTCAGCTGCGCCAGTGGGCGCTCGACTTTGATGGCAACTGCAAGCGGATCCTCGCGTCCATCGGCATCGCCAAGGAGCGCGGGGCGACGCTGCGTGTCGGCCCAGAGCTCGAGATCCCGGGATATGGGTGTCTCGACCATTTTCTCGAGGGTGCGTCCAACGAGTTCCAAGCTGACCCCAGGCGACACGGAACAGCACTCGTGGGAGGTGCTCGGCGTTATTCTCCAGAGCGAGGAGGCTAAGGACATCGTCTGCGACATTGGCATGTGAGCGCGGTCGTGTGACACGCTGACCCCAGGCCCATCGTCCACAAGAGCACCAACTACAACTGCCGCGTCGTGATTGCCAACGGCAAGATCGTGCTTATCCGCCCGAAGATGTGGATGGCCAACGACGGCAACTACGTGAGTGTGCTCGTGGCGTCGCTGACGGAAGCGTGAGCTGCGCCACTTCACGCCGTGGGGCAAGCCGCGGCAGACCGAGGATTATTACCTTCCAGACTTCATCCAGGAGATTACGGGACAGGAGGCCGTGCCCTTCGGCGACGCGACGATCAAGACGGCGGACCGCCTGACGATCGGCGTCGAGCTGTGCGAGGAGCTGTTCACACCCAACTCACCCCACATCGGCATGGCGCTGGACGGCGTCGAGATTATCACGAACAGCAGTGGAAGCCACCACGAGCTGCGCAAGCTCAACCGCCGCGTCGAGCTCATCAAGGAGGCGACGATGAAGTCGGGCGGCTTGTACCTCTACGCGAACCAGCAGGGGTGCGACGGCGAACGCCTGTACTACGACGGGTCGAGCATGATCGTGCTGAACGGCAAGATTCTCGCGCGCGGCTCTCAGTTCTCGCTCAACGAAGTCGAGGTTGTCACCGCCACGATCGACATCGGCGCCGTGCACGCCCACCGCACCACGTCTTCCCGCCGTATGCAGGCTGCCGAGGCGCCAAGCTACCCCCGCTTCGGCACCGACGTCCGCCTCGACGGCGGGCGGGGCATGCGCCCCGGCGTGATGGAGACTAAGGCCCCGTATCCCGACATGACTTACCACACTCCAGAGGAGGAGATCGCGCTTGGCCCCGCCTGCTGGTTGTGGGACTACCTCCGCCGCTCGCGGACGCAGGGCTACTTCCTTCCGCTTAGTGGAGGCATTGACTCTTGCGCCACTGCCACGATCGTGCACTCGATGTGCCGTCTCGTCGCCAAGGCCGCGACAGAGGGGAGTGAGTTCTGCTGTCGAAGGACGCTCCGGTCTAACTTCAGATCAGCAGGTCATTGCCGACGCGCGCCGCATGACCGGCGAGCCCGATGATTCGTCCTACCTCCCCGTTGACCCGCGCGAGTTCGCTAACCGCATCTTCCACACATGCTACATGGGGACAGAGAACTCATCCGCGGAGACGCGCAAGCGTGCCAAGGACCTCGCCGAGGCGATTGGCGCCTACCACGTCGACCTGAACATGGACACGGCTGTGTCGGCTGTCAAGGGCATTTTCACGCTGATAACGGGCAAGAACCCGCGCTTCGCGGTGCACGGTGGGTCAAACGCTGAGAACCTGGCACTCCAGAACATCCAGGCGCGCTTGCGCATGGTTGTGGGCTACCTCTTCGCGCAGCTCCTCCCGTGGGCGCGCGGCAAGCAGGGCGGGCTCCTCGTGCTGGGATCGGCGAACGTCGACGAGTCCCTGCGCGGCTACTTGACCAAATATGACTGCTCGAGCGCGGACGTGAACCCGATCGGAGGCATCTCGAAGACGGACTTGAAGCGGTTCATCGCGTATGCCGAAGGCGAGTTTGAGATGCCGATCCTGCGCTCGTTCCTGGACGCGATCCCGTCGGCCGAGCTGATCCCGATCGGCGAGGACAACGCGGTGCAGAGCGACGAGGTCGAGATGGGCATGACGTACGACGAGCTGAGCGTGTTCGGGCGTCTGCGCAAGGTCGAGAAGTGCGGCCCGTTCAGCATGTACGGCAAGCTCGTGCAGGAGTGGGGGAATGCGCTGGCGCCGGCCGAGATCGCGCGCAAGGTCAAGCACTTCTGGTTCATGCACGCCATCAACCGCCACAAGATGACGACGCTCACGCCCTCGGTTCATATGGAGAGCTACAGCCCCGACGATAACCGCTTCGACCTCCGGCCGTTCCTGTATCCCTCCCGCTTTGAGCACCAGTTCTCCAAGATCGACGCGCTCGCCGCCGCCCTGCCAGACATGTCGACGCAGGCGGGGCCGGACAAGGCTAAGGTCGACTAGAGGGGAGGGGCTCTAGTAGATTACAGGTAGAAGGGGCTGCATGGATTGTGTTGCTGAGTGTGGCGTGGGCAAGACTCGGCTTCGGCGTGGCTGATCGTGCGACCACCCCAGGTCTACAACACCACCAAGCATCCACTCTGTGCAACGAACATGATAAATCTACAGTACAAAGAATACAATAAATGAGACGCCTGTGAATGTGGTGCGAAGTAGCGCATATGCGGCGCTACTTGAAGTGCAGTGTGCTGTGGTGTGTGGCATGCAATGGTGGTCCTGGGCTGGATGTTCGCTTGTGAAATGTATTGAGGCGCGGTCCCGTCCCCTGATATGTCGCGCCACAAACTGCTCCCAAGGTGTCCTTCTCCGTCACAAGCGCTCTTCTCACTCTCCCTCGTCATGTTGGCGGCGCATACGCGCGACGTTGAGCTCGGCTAGAAGCCGGTTCGCCTCCTCGTACTGCGCCGCGACGACGGGCTCGTAGAACACCGGGCTCGGCGCGGGCGCATGCGGCGCGTATGGGGAGAACTGTGGCGAGCTGGCCCACGGACTGCTGGCCGCAAGCCCGGGCGTCTCTTGCACCCCCCGCATGCGGTAGGGCGTGGGTACGGCCGTAGAAGAGGGCGCACCCGGAGTCAGGCCCGGTGTGCGGTGGGGCGTGCCCATGTCCATGCGCTCGGGCGTCTGTATTGGCGCGGGATGCGATTCGGCGCGGGCGAGATGCTTCCGTCAGCGCCCAATCGATGTTTGCAGAAGTGGATGCGAGACACTCCACATGCAGCGCTCGCACGCTAACTCACGAGCGAATGTAGAAGACTGTTGGGGCGGGCATACTCCTCGCCCCATTCGCGATTGCGTTCTTCTGGCGTCCACTGGCTCGCGCGGAATGGCGTGCTGCCCGGTGGCTGGTGCATGACAGGCGAACTTGAGAGCGTCTGGCGGCGCGCAACCTCCATCTCGTAGTCAGACGCTGAGCCTGTCGACTCGTTAGTCCTACTCCTCTGCAGGGGCTGATTGCGGAACGGAGACGAGCTGGGGTGGCTCGGCAGGGGCTGGGATTGGGACGGCGCCTGAAGACGCTCCCACTGCCGCTGGCGGCGGCGCTCAAAGTACTCTTCGCCCCGGCGAAGGGGAGAAGATGGGCCGTGTGAGCTGGGAGAGTCGTCCTCGTCCGTGTGGCTACTCAAGCTCGGGGCACCCCACACGGGAGGCGGGGGCATGCGTGACGCTGTGTGCGGGTCTCGCCGGCGTCGCTTCAAGAGGACTTCGAGCGGCGAAGCAAGTGTGTCCCCGTACCCAGGGGAGGGGGAACGCCCACGTTTGCGGGCGGCGACGTCGGCCATGATGGCGACAGCGAAAGCACTTGCGTTATGCGATGGTAGATCGGTGGCGTAACTGGTGGGCCGTTGATAACGGCGATAATGAGCCGGGAGACGGAGTAACGTTGGGATCGTGTTGAGGAGACTAACGAGCTAAGAACGCGGGATAGAAGATAGGAGAGAGAGAAGCGGGAAGATGAGGAGGGTGAGGAGAAAGAAGAGGTGCGAGAGGAAGCTTGAGGAGGCAGGATGAGTGGTTGTGGGATGTGTCATGTTGTGACGCTCAACAGGCGGCCCTAGCACCCTAATTTCAAGGCACCCATTACATTTGTTCCTTACCAGCAATTCCTATTCCATCCATCAAGGACATTTCAACTAATAGGTGAGGCACGTGGTCGTCCGACCTGCCCCACTCTTCTAACCTCCCCCGCAACCTCCACTCGCCACTCAGATCGAGCGACCAAAAGTTGCGACATCTCCTCCACATCCACTCTCGACACAACAACAGCATGGCAGACACGTCCTTCGCCGACGGGGATCTCTTCATCGGTCTGGGATCGCGTCCGGGGTCGGCTGCGAGCAAAAAGGCGCCGCCACCACCACCACCAAAAGGCAAGAAGCGCAAGGGTGAGCAGATCGGCAACGTCAAGAAGAAGCGCGCAAAACATCAGCAGCATCCCAAGCCGCTGCCCGCGACTAAGGGCAACGCCAAGGCCACGCCGTCAAACAAAAAGGCCAAGGGCAAGAAGGACAAGCACTCCAAACGGCCGCACGACTCGTTTCGTGACCTGGACAAGACTACGGTGTTGAAAGGAAGTCCCTGGGCGGAGGACGTCGACTGGGAGCGGTGTCGCGATCCGGCAGAGATGTGAGTGTCATCCTCGCGTCTGAATGCGCCTTCCTTGTCTCCCTTCCAACGCACCAGCGCGCTAACGTACCTCAGGCTCAACGACGAAGTTACAGCTTTCTACAACTTCATCACTCCTACCGAGGCAGAGTATTCGGTGCGCAAGCACATAATCGAGCTCATCACCGGGCATGTGAAGAAGTGGAAGCCAGAGATGGAAGTTGTCGCCTTCGGCTCGTGGCAGACTCAGCTGTACCTCCCCGAGGGCGACCTCGACCTAGTTGTGGTGCCTCCCCCAAACCGCCCGTACAGCAATAGGGACACCTCCAACTTCCTCACCAATCTCTCCGTCGTCTTGCGCAACTCCGGTATTGCGGACAAGATCGCGCTCGTCCTCGGCGCCAAGGTGCCTATCATGAAATTTGTCACGCGCACCCCGTACGGCCGTATTCCCGTGGACATCTCATTCAACCAGACCAACGGCATCGACGCAGGCAAGATCATCACACATTACCTTGACGCGTTACCAGGGGCGCGCGAACTCATTACCGTCGTCAAGTACTTCCTGGCGCAGCGGCAGATGAACGAAGTCTTCACCGGTGGGCTGGGGAGCTACTCGGTCATCTGCCTCGTCATCAGCTTCATGCAGATGCACCCCAAGCTCCGCCGGTCCGAGATGGACGCGCAGCGCAATCTCGGGACACTACTCCTCGAGTTCTTCGAGCTGTACGGTCGCCAATTCAACTACGAGTTGGTCGGCATCTCCATCCGCCGCGGTGGCGAGTACTTCCTGAAACGTGAGCGCGGGTGGGTGAAAAGGGGTGGCAACCCTGCACCCTTCACGTTGGCGATCGAAGATCCGCAGAACCTCGACAACGACATCTCCAGCGGGTCCTATGGCATTCCTCGGGTCAAGTTGACCCTCGCCGGAGCCTATGACATGATCCGTCAACGCATGTTCGACCGCGCCGCGCTCATTCTTGCCCGCGACCAGGCAGCACGGCCAAAACCCAGGAGTCCAGAGGACTATTCGATCCTGTCTTGCGTGCTAGGCGTTGAGGACAACACCATCGCCTTCCGCCACCATCTTGAGGAGCTGCACTCGCGCGGCAATCTCGCTGCCGACCTCGAGTCATTTGAGAGGCGGAATAAGCTCCGTGTGCGACTTGAAAACCCACCCCTGCCACCGGTCATGCGAGGGCGTTGGGGTGGCCCGGGCTCATCCTCGGACATGGAGATGGACAGTGGGGCGTCGCACTCCGCGCATGGAGATACGGAAGACGGCGAGATCCACGATGTCCGGGGCGCGGGCGCGATTGTTGTTGACGACAACGACGTCTCGGATGGCGCGAGCAGCCACACGGACGACTCGTCGGGGTCTGAGGCCGAGGACGCCGCTGAGGCCGGGTTCAGCGCCGTGAACGGGCGAGAACGCAGCGTGTCCGAGGACGTGGATCTATACCCTTCGGACAAGGACGCTGCCGAGACCGACTCGCGGTACGCTGCTGCTGGCGCCAAGCGGCGGAAGGGCAAGGGCAAGGAGCCACTCAGCGCCGTTGAGGTCGTGGACAGCAGCGAGAGCGAGGATGAGGCCGTGCGTAGCGGAGTCCCAGCCAAGCACCAAACGGCCGCGAGCGCGGGCCCCAGCCGCACGACGTCACCGCCGCTGCGGGTACTGGGCGCGGCGGTGCGGAGTGCGCCCGGGAGTCCCAATGGGCGGCGGCCCGACAAATGGGTGCGGCCGGCCGAGAGGGCGCGGTATTGGGCCGCGAAGAGTGCGGGCGAGCTGATTGATCTGACGAACGACTCGGATTAAGCGGCAAGCCCGGTCGTGCGATAGACGAGGACGATGAGGCGTAGAGAGGCGCCGGGGTGTTAATGAGGATGGAGAGAGCATCCTGCGCGCTTCGGCGTTGGGCTAGGCCTGGAGATGGTGACGTTGAAGTCACAAGGTACTACTGCTCATTACTGCACGTACTGCACGGAGAGGATGGCGGTTGGCATTATTTGTTAAAGTGCATGCAGTGTAGTCGGCGCACCCGGCATTTCAGCCTTACGTCAGGATAGCCACCAAAACCGCCCCAATAATGTCCATTCCCAGTGTCCGTTCCGAAATCATGACATAGACTACGATACTCGATACTACGAGACTTAGACATAGGCGGAAACACAGCCCTGCGCTGCCTGAGGCATCCTCGAAATAGCTCTCACTCGTCGTCACTGTCGCTGTCGGCCTCCTCAAGCCACTTGAGGAAGGTGTCGGCCGCCTTGCGCACCTTCTTGCTCTGCTCCTTGCTGACGTACTTCTTGCTGACATGGGTGCCAAAGTTGATGCACACATCCTCGTCAAGCACGTCCTCCTGGTACGCAGCCATGAGAATCTTCGAGACGATACCACTGGCAATGAGGTCGTCGGCATTGGGCGCGAGGGCGACAAGGCGCTCGAGACCACCCAGGAACGACTTCTGGTGCTTCTCCGAGGTGACAAGCTGGGATCAGCGGCATTCAAAAGCGGGCTGTTCAGGATACTCACAGCGTTGAGGAGGCTGGAGCGCTCCTCGATCTCCTTGGCGACATTCTCGGGGGTGAAGAGCTTGTGGCCAATCTCAACAAGAGCCTTGTGTTTAGTGACAATGTCGAGCTCCTTAAGCTTAGCAACAACTTCGGCGTCCGACGGGCCAGCATTCTCCGTCAGCCAGACGCGGAGCTGGTAGAAGGGCGAGTCCTCGTCCTCATCATCGTCGTCAACGTCAAGATTCTTGACCTTCTTGGCAAGCGCATCCGGGTTGTCGAGGATGGGGTCACCGCCGCGGCCCAGCATCGCGTCGATCTCTGTGCCCTCAGTCGGAACAGCAGCGGGCGTGGCGCTCGGGCTGTCATCCTCGTTACTGCCCTCCTTCTCGTCAAAGACGACGGGGCCACCAACGTTGGCCTCTGCAGTCATGCCCTTCTTGCCCTTCTTCTTGTCCTTCTTAGGCGGGTTCTTAAGGATAAAGGCCGTGAGCCTGTGGCGCATGTCAATGCCGGTGTGTGCACCGCACGCCTTGCAGTCACGGTGAATGTCCTCATTGTTGCCGCGGCCGGTGATGACCAGCTCGGTCTCAGGGTTCTTGCATGACGCACAAAGAACAAACTTGTCGATGAAGGCATCGAGGAGCTCGCGCAGGCGGTCAGCCTGGTGCGCGCCGTTCACAATGTAACGGTCGTTCGCCATGGTGGTCTGCGCACCGAGCTCGGTGCCGAAGAATTTGGTCGGGTAAGAGGGCGGCCTGTTCAGGGCGCGCGCAACGTCCTCCATGTTGGGCACGACCGTCTTGATGCCGTTGCCACGGCCCTCGATCTTGGTAAGGAGAACCGGCATCTTGTAGCGCTAAAGAATGTCAGTGTCTGTGCGCAAACACGGATCTTAGATCTCAATCGCACTCACATAGAACTTGTCGTCCACATCGCGGCGAATGTTAACGGTAGCCATATTGGGCAATGTTTCTTAGGTCTGCCGTCAGGTTCGGTGGTCGCGCCTCAACTCACGTCTAGCGTAATGGCGGTATCGAAGTATGGGGAATGCAAACGCGACAAACAGGGTGCTGCATGAACTCGCGTGGCTGTGGTTAGTGGGTGAAAATTACAGCAAAGCTGGTGGTGAGGGTATTGAGCGTGGCGCAGTGGAGAGGAGGAGCGGGAGATGAGATAGGAAGAGAGATGGCAAGGGAGCCAGCCAAGCTGCAAGATAGAGCGAGTGTCGACGCATGACAAAACTCTGACCCTCAAGACCAAGGGCCACAGACTCATCTGCCCACGGTGGAGGCCTCTCCCTCGCGCCCGAAGGGGACCTTGCCACCGACTTGCCACCCATTGTTCGTCTGCAGCACCGTCTCCAACGCCACAATGCTGAGTGTGCAGAGCTGTCCGCCGCTTGCTCTCTCGCCCACGCGTCCAGCTCATGGATTCACTCACTATGGTAGCACGGTGTGCCGTTCCTCGAAGGAAAATTGGTGGGGGACGAGATCTTGACTTTGGAGCCCGGGGCTCGGTTGATGAGTGTATAGCGCGGTTGGGTGCCGGGCAGCGCGTTGCCTGTAAGAACAGGTACGAGTGTATGTTGATGGGTGGGGTTGAAAGAGATGGGGAGAGTGAGTGAGTGGGAGAGTGAGAGAGAGAAGTGGAAGAGATTCAAGATGAGCGATGAGATGAGCCGAGGCGGAGGGAAGGCGAATGTCTCTGACAAAGGGACCGCGTAACACCTCGTCAACCTCCTGAATCCCGCCCTCCGCCCAAAAATGTGTCCGCCCGCACTCGCTCCGATCGTCCACCGTGGGAAAGCTACCCGTTCACCCACCTCGTCGCGTGTTTATCCAAGCCACGTGACGTCCATTGAATTGAGATGGCGATTCGTGCGGAATGCATATTGATTGTTGATCTGGAGTCACACTTTTCGGTCGCTCGAGCAATTGAGTAAACAATATGCCAATTCATAATCCTGCATCTTGTATCTGTGCTCTGTGATATAAATATTCGCTTTCTGCTCAGATTCTCTCTCTTGCATTCTCCTCTCATCCTTGACGTCTACAAACTCATGGCGGCAACGAAGAATCAGCAGGCCAAGGCTCGCTCATCAGCCATCCTCGACCTCGAGATGTTCCCTCACATCGCAGACCTCATCATGAACTTCGCGCCCCACGCATCGCTGGTTAAGCTCCGAGCAACATCCCGTTACCTCAAGCGTCGTTCCGAGGCGGTTCTGTTCCGCCATCTTTTGATCGACTCGAAGGGGAGGTTCAGCACACCCAAAGGACTTCTTCCTAAGCTAGCTCAAGACGAGTTCCTCGACATGCTGCGCAAGTACACTCGCGTCGTCGAGTACGAAGGGTATATCGACTTCACCCGCACCGCGCATTATCTTCCAAGCTCTGTGGCTCGAGATCACTAGCGTACTTCAGCTCCATCAGCACAAGGTTATGGCTCGTCGGCGTCCCAATAGGAACTCGTTCATCTGAGCCGATGTTGCCGTTTGTCCTCTCAACTTCAGTTCCTAAGACTCCAACAGACACATTCCATTCCCAAACGCACCGGTTCCTTTGGTACGAGCGCACCATCTCGTGCATGTTCTTTCCAACACAACGGCAGATTATGGCTTCAAGTGAACCTTATGTGGAGCGCCACAGAGACGTGGGCAATCCACAATCTCCTCCCCCTCCCCCCCACCCCAAGGGAGACCATGGGATGATCCAGATCCAACAGAGAGCGAGGCCGAGGGAGAAGCGTATTCGCGCGCTAGAGCAGGGCGATTCGCGCTGAAGAAGGTGAGCTCGCGCCCCGCTCTGTATTGACGGATGAAGTCGACCAATATAGCAGCGTAAGGGGAAGCAGGAGATGCCGCGAGCATTTGTGACGGTGCTACGTTGGAGCGCGCCATGGTTGAGTTTACGCGAGGTAAGTAGACAGCTTTAGAGCACACGTCATTCCCACAGACGTCGCAAACATCACTCGAAAGAAGTCGTCGGCGGAGAGTAGCAATGCACTGTGAGACATCACCTTCATACTGCACCAAACGTGTCCCGATCTCTCCAGAGCCATCGGCCAGCCTGAGCGGGAGAAGAGACCTCTGAACTGGTGGACGTATCAGTGCCAAGATGGATGAGTCACACAGGTGATCGCACAGTCCCATTCCAGATTTTATCATCGGATACTCACTGCATCATCTAAGGCTTGTGCTCGTCAAGGAAGCGCGAAGGCAGCTCGCCCAGGCGCTTGACAACCGGATCATCACTCTCCTCGGCCTTGCTCCAGCGCACGTTCCCCACACTCGTCTCCCCCTCTTTGCTCTCCTTCTTGAGGGGGCGCAGGCCGTACTCGCGCAACACCCCTTCGCTCGAAACGCTGGGCGAGCGGAACACAGGGTCAGCGCCCTTGCCCGTCTTCGGGAACGCGATCACGTCGCGAATGCTGGGCGCGTCGGCCAGCAGCGCAATGAGGCGGTCAAATCCGATGGCGATGCCGCCATGCGGGGGAGCGCCGCACTCCAGCGCGCGGAGGAGGTGCTGGAAACGCCCTATTTCCTCCTCGTCGAGCTCGAGCACCTCCTTCATGACATACTTCTGCAGCGCGGCGTCGTGGATACGCACGCTCCCGCCACCGACCTCGGCGCCATCTAGCACCAGGTCGTAGTGCTGTCCGCGGATGCGCGCGACGTCGCCAGCCTCCAGAGCCGGCAGATCTGCGGCCACAGGCGCAGTGAAGGGGTGGTGCGTCGACGCCCAGCGGCCCTTGGAGAGGAAGGCCTTGTCCTTGTCCGCCTTGGTGAACAGGGGGAACTGAGTGACCCACACGAAGTGGGGCTCGGTGGGCGGCTTCACAGTGCCTGGTGTCAGCGCCGAAGAAAAGCACGTGCTGCCTCCTGATTAGGTGAGGCGCGACTCACCCTTCTGGATCAGCTCGTCATAAAGCTGCACACGGAGACGGCCGAGAGGCGTCCACCCGCCCTCGGGAATCTTGGGGCGGCGGGATACCCAGATGACATCGCCAGGCTGCGCGCCGCCTGGGAGGTTGGGGTCAAGTGTCAGGCCGAGGGGAAGAGTGAGCACCGACTCCTTCGTCCAGCTGTACTGGTTCTCGGGAGTGATGCGGACGTAGTCGACCTGGTGTCAATTGTTTCTGAGGGACTGTTTTACTCACATATGAGTTCTCCGCGCCGACCTTCTTCACGTCCACCGCATCGGCCCAGGCCTTGGGAGTGACCATCCACTCAACGGTGCTGGGGCTCTGGTCCATGAGGATCTTGTCGAGCGCCTCGTCGCTCATCGTGGGATAGTATCCCACGGGCAGGGTGTACATCTCGAAGCGCGTGTCCGGCTTGTCGCTGCCGTACACGTCCATGGCCACGTCATAGGGCATGACCTTGAACCCGTCGGCGGGGATCTCATAGCCCTTGACGCTCTTCCAGATGCGCCGCACCAACCCCTCGACGACCTCGCGCACCTCCCCTCCGCCGATTCCCCACGTCCCTTCCCCTGTGCCCTCGACGAACGCCATCTCCAGGTCGATCTGCGTGAACTCGGGCTGGCGGTCCTTGCGTCCGTCCTCGTCACGGAAACAACGCGCAATCTGGAAATATCGGTCGACCGCGCCGCCGGCGACGAGCAGCTGCTTCGCCTGCTGAGGGCTCTGCGGCAGAGCGTAAAACTTTGGAGAGGCACCGCGAGTGGGGACCAGGAACTCGCGCGCACCCTCAGGAGAGCTGTTGACCAGCATGGGTGTCTCGACCTCGGTGAAGCCCTTCTCGTGGAGGTAGTTCCTGGTGATGTGGGCGACGTCGGAGCGCAGTCGCAGGTTCTTGACAAGAGCCTCCCGTCGCAGATCAAGGAAGCGGTACTCGGCGCGCAGGTCCTCGTTCGCAAGCGGCGGGCGGTTGGGGTGGAAAGGTACCTCGCCTGCAGGGTTGAGGAGCGTTGCTGTGCTCACGTCCACCTCGACAGCGTCCGAGGGGCTGTTCACAGTAGGAGGCAGGGCTTTGCCTGAGCGCGCAACCACCGTTCCGCGGACCTGGAAGACGCTCTCAAGCGGCCATCGCAACATCTCGGCCGCCAGCTCCCCGCGCGCAACGAGCTGGACAACACCGCGCTGGGTGCGGAGGTTGAAGAACGAGACGTTCTTGTTCGCACGCCGCGCCGCCTGTAGCCAGCCAGCGAGCACAACGTCCTTTCCTGCGGCCTGGGGCTCGAGGTCGGCGGGGTCGTGCGTCACGCGCTCCCGGGGGCCGGAGTGCGCGCGCAGCGTGTCCGAGGGCAGGGAGAGAGGTGCAATGTGGTCGCTTGCAGTGACCGGAGGAGTGGTGGAGTTGAAGCGGACAACAGGGCGCATCCACCGCAGGCTTGACGGACGCAGCGCGCGGCGTGCAAGGACGCGAGCCAGCATTTTAGAAGTGGTGTATTGTTGTTGGATGGTGTGGTGACGACTAACTCGAAGCTGAAAGTGGAGGGCCTGACTTTTGCCGGCGTCGCCGAATTCCGCGTCTCATCTTCCGCATCTTCCACCAGCCAGTTATGTCCCTCCGCTCCGCGATTCTCAAGGCCGCCATTCCGCTGGTCCCCGAGGCGGGCTTCAGCCGCGCGGCGCTGACCGCGGGACTAGCGTCGCTGCCGTCCTCCTCGTCCAAGGTGTCGGACGAAGCGGGCCGCGAGGCCGTCATCGACACTCTCTTCGGCGGAAGCGCGGCGTCGGACGCACCGCGTGCCCTGGTGCAGGCGTGGGAGGATGCAGGACGCGCCGTGATGCACGGCGCCGGGAAGGGCGACGCATTGGAGCGTCTCCACACCGTTCTGGGCCGGCGGCTAGAATGGAGTGCCAGTGTCGGCGAGCACCTTCTCGACGTGAGTACAATCCGACAATCCTGGGCTTAATCTAACTGCAGGCTCACGCTCTTCTTGTCGCGCCCACCACATCAGCACCTCTCCCACGACCCCTCCTCGCGCTCCTCGATCGCCTTCCTTCCCCTCCCTTTCCCCTCAACCGGGTGACCGACCCCCTTCCGAACAAGCCGACCCTCGGCGCGACAGGTGGACGTCTCCCCCTCCCGGGGCTGCATGCCGCTGCGCCGCTCGCTTACGCTTGGCGGGTGGCGGACGAGGCTGTGTATGCTGCGCAGCCAGACAAGGGGAGACAGGGGGTCATGCGCGAGCCTGCGGGCGCAGGCGTAGAATGGTACAGCCATCGGGCAGGGCTGGCGCTTGCGTATCTTGAAGCTGGTGAGTGCAGGCATAAGGGGGGAGCTGGGCGTGTTGCAGAGGGTAAGGGAGGGCGATGGCGGGCACTTCTGCCTTCCGCGACGGCTCGAGCGAACCGCCGAGAGATCGGCTGTTTCCTCGACAGCCAGCGTTCCTCTGTCAACCGAGCTGACCTGCAGAGGCGCATCTTCTCCAGCCCATCGACACGGCTACGAAGCCTCCGACACCCGGGCACAACCCGCACCTCTCGGCCGCACTTGTGTCTCTCCGTGACAGCCTGAGCAAGTACGCGACGGCTCGCCGAGGCTTGGGAACGGCGGAGAGTGCGACAGAGAGCGCCATCTCATTCCTCGAACTAATGACGAGGAGTATTGCTGGTATCGTGCGCAGCCGGGGATTTTAGAGAGAACATGCAGTTCATCGTGGTGTCGTGCAGTGCCAAAGGTGGAAAGGCGAGCTACGAGCTACGGGGCTAGTAAGGCAGGCTGGAGTGCTAGGGGGGATGTCCCATCACATGTCCAAGCTGATCGGGGCGAGCCATGGGGCTCCATGCATACAGTCTCTCGACTCAGCAGCACTCGGTCATGCTCTTCCGCCTCCTCGGTGCAGCAGTCTCGGAACTCGGAGTCTGGAAATCGCGTGTCTCCACGGATACAGAAGGGCCGGTGCCACCTCGGTTTACGCCGATCTGTCGAGTCTTATTGGTGGGGCAGCGCTACGGGAGAGGGGCCGGGCTTAGCCGGTCACCACCGGGTCAAGTCCCACTCCACTTAGTCATCGTTTCTACATTCTCCATCACACACCAACCCATCTCATCGACAACATGCAGGGGCTCATGAACGGCGCAGACTGCAGCGCGGGGGCCAACCCCCTCAACCAGGTTCTCAAGCGCGAGGGTGTCGACAACTCGCTTTTCCGCGTGAGTAAGCTTGTGGGGGAAGGAGAGGAGATATTCGCCACAGCCCACCTGAGACTTTTGGTCGTCTGCACTGGCTTTCCGCATGACGGCGGCGACGACATGGGAGCAGCGCCGAGGTGTCTTCGCATGAGCAGCTGCCATCCCAAGCTACAGCTCTACAATTTTTCCAGAGCTGCGGGGTCGTGCACATCGCACCTCTTGTGCACTTGCCCATCTCCTACCTCTTCACCCACCTTCCCCACCCCAATTACCTCCGTTTCTCGCTGACATCAGGATCGCATGGGCACGCCCGGTGCGGGCTCGTCGGCACAGGCAGCCTTCCGTCCGCTGCAAGGCTCGTCGCAGGCCGGTCCCGCGCAGGCAGCACAGGTTCCGCACCCATTCAATCTCTCGCACTTGTCGCAGGCGCTCAGCCAGCCAGGCCCAGTGCCCCTGCCAGTGCAGCAGGGCCCCGTGCACCGCGCAACTCCCGACTTGTCAGCTGAGTGGGAGCGATTCCAGTCCCGTCCCGCACAGGGGCAGTGGCACCAGCCTGCGGCCGCGAACAACGCGTGGGCCGAGTCCTTTCACCAAGGCAAGGGTAAAGGACGCGCCGCACCTCCGCCTGCACAGGAGTACCAGCACCAGCAGCACACGCCAATGATGGGTATGGGCGGTATGGGCATGATGATGCCGGGTAATCCATTCGGCGGAGGCCTCCAGACATACCAGCCTCAGTTGCAGCCAATGTACTCGCAGCCTCAGCAGATGGCGCCCGACCATGCCAAGATGGAGGCGGCATTCGAGCAGGCGCTTGCAGACGCGCGCGCACAGAGTGCGCCTGCCCAGGAGAAGGAGGAGGTGAAGGAAGAGGAGAAGGTCGAGGAGCCGAAGGAGGCTCCGCCCGCCGAGGAGCAGACCGACTTCAAGGGCGACCTCGAGGCTGTGTGGGAGAGCCTCAAGCCTGAGGCTGAGCGCTTGAACCAGCTCGCCGAGTGGGAGAAGGAGTTTTCGCAGGTGAGCAACCACGAACAACGCTGGCGGGACCTCGGCGGATGTCTCGAGGTGCTTCCCCGAATGAATCCAGCTGACAGCAGTTTGTCGACGGCGAGGACGACACGTTCGATATTCTCGAGCGCGACCTGAACCGCTCGGACATTGGGCAGACGCCTCTCGACGAGCAGATGGAGTTTGGCACGGGCTCGGGCCTCGAAGGCGACTTCACGGCGGAGAACGGTCTTCCCCCGCAAGTCCAGTACCACTTTGCGAACCCGAACAAGTTCGACGTCATGTCGCCAGTGCAGGCATGGAACGAGGCCAACCGTCTGCTTTCAGCTGGCGGCTCGCTGTCGGACTCGGCACTCATGATCGAGACGTTCCTGCGCCGCGCAACGGACGTTGAGTTCGAGCAGACGGGCGTGACTCGCGCCGCGGCGTGGGCGGTGCTGGGCCGCACGCAGGCTGAGAACGAGATGGAGGACAAGGCGCTCGCTGCCTTCGAGGAGGGGCGCAAGACGATAGCGGACAACCCAGCGGCACGGCAGGTCGCCGGCGAGTTGCTGACCAACCTCGCCATTTCGTACGTCAACGAGAGTCTGGATCTCGCCGCCCTCACCACCCTCCACCAGCTCCTGGAGACGCTGCACCCGACGCACGCGGGACAGGCACCGAGCCGGTCCGAGTTCATCGCTTCGGACAACCCGTGGGCGCTGCACCAGCGCATGACGAACCAGTACCTCGCGCTCGCGCGTGAGCAGTACGCGAGCGCGGGGAATGTCGACCCCGACGTCCAGGTCGGCCTCGGTACCTTGTACTACATGCAGGGCGAGTTCGGGGAGGCGCGCTCGTGCTGGGTCGCGGCGCTCGGCGAGCGCCCCGACGACTACCTTCTCTGGAACCGCCTTGGCGCGACGCTCGCCAACGGCGGCGACCCTGAGGAGGCGGTCGACGCATACCGCCGCGCGCTCGAGATCAAGCCGACGTTCACGCGTGCGATCGCCAACCTCGGTGTCGCGTGCCTCAATATCGGCGTGCACCGCGAGGCGGCCGAGCACTTCCTCGCCGCGCTCGCGCTTCAGCCCAACGATGGCGGCGGCGGCACCGCCCCCGAGGCCTACTCGCTGTGGGCGACGCTGCGCAGAGCCCTTATCGCGCTCGACCAGCCCCAGCTCGCGGAGCAGGCGCGCCCCGGCACCGACCTCAGCATCTTCCGCAACGCCGGGTTCGACTTTTGAACCCCGCCACCAGCATGTACATGTATGCGGGCTGCGCCACCTCCCGCCGCAACGGAGGCAGGAGCTCCTCGCCAAATTCCACACCCGGCGCGCAGCGGCCGCCGCTCGCCGATCCTCCCGCGTTTTAGAACTGAAAATGTACGACGTAGCGTCTCGACAAAGCATATCCCGCTAGTGTACGAATGGATGCATCAAACTCTCCAGTCGCTCAGGCTCCAGTACAGATACAGAGTGCTTCATACTAATACTACTTACTAAGCCTTACGGCTACGCGTCACACGCACGGGCAGTGCCGTCTTGCGCTTGGGCTCGGGATCGGGCGTCGCGCTGTTCTCCTTGTCGGCGACGCCCTTCGTTGTCGACGTCGTCTTCTCAGTCTTGGGAGCAGCCGCCTTGCGCGGCGCGGCCGCCTTCTTCTTCGGTGCGGCCTTGGGGGCCGCCTTGACAGCGGGCTCCTGCTCCGGCTCAGCGTCGCCCAGCACACGGCGCGAGCGGCGCGTGACGGGCTTCGGCTCCAGCCGGCGCGTGGGCGCGGACTGCGCCTCCTCCTCCGGCTCAGCCGTCTGCGAGCGGGTCACTCGGCGCGTGGGTGCAGAGTGGGTCTCAGGTGGAGAGGCGGAGCGCTTGGGGGGTGCGGCCTGGCGGCGAGTGCTGCGCGCAGGGGCAGAGACAGGCTCCGGTGACGCTGCCGCAGTTTCCTCAACCTTGACACGGCGACGGGTCTTGGGAGCGTGCTTCTCGACCTCACGCTCCTTCGGCTCGTCCTGGGGTTTCGAGGCAGCGCGCGTCGTGCGGGCGGGGATGGAGCGCGTGGGCACGCGCGAGCGAGTTTGCGGCTTAGGTGTAGGCTCTGATTCCTCCCCGCTCTCGCTCGCGCTTCCCTGGCTCTCCTCATGAGAGTTCTTCTCTTCAGGCTCCGGGAACACGTCACCCAGTGCCATGTGCGGTGTAGGGGGCACGGCCTTCTCGGCAAACAGCTCGCGCATGCCGCCCAGCGCAGGCGAGGGGTGGGGCGCTCGGAACATCTCGCGCATGCCCGCGAAGCTCGGCGTCTTAGGCGACGGCGCCTTGGGCTCTATGAGGTCATCCAGGCCCAGTGTGGTGGGCTTGGGCGACTTGCGCGAGAGTAGGTCGCGTATGCCAGCCATAGAGGACAGTGAGCGGCGGCGGTTGTTGCGGTCTGGTGTGGAGTTGGCGGGGGCAGGCTGGAGGGGTGGGGACGGAGACTCTGATGGGGAAAGGGGGTACAGGACGCGCGCTACATCCTCCACTGCCGTCGGTGTTGGGGGAAGGCTGTCGACCTCCTCAATACGGTCGACGCGGGGCGTGGGCATGCGCTTGCGCATGCTCCCGAACTGCTTCGATGTCGAGCTTGAACGCGCGGGAGTCGAGGTATTGGCGTCAAAGGAGACTGTGCTCTTTTTCGCGCTCCGCAGGGCCTCGAGGAACGTCGAGCGGCGGGGCGTTTCAATCGGGCGCGGGACCGAGTCGCGGAAGCTCTCGGATGGCGCGGCGGGCAGATGCAGAGGAGTGGCGAGGGCGGCGCGCTGCGCAGGGGTAAGGCCGCCCCTTGCCGGAGTCTTAGACGGGGGTGTGGCTGGAGGAGGAGTGGTTGGCGCCTGCTCCTCTTTCTCCTCAGGCTGTTCTTCTGCCTTGATCGCGCGCCCCGGCGTATACACGCGTTCAGGCTTGCCTAACCGGTTAGGCGTCGGAGGGATGCGCATGCCCGTGGGCAGGTGCTCGCTCACGGAGCTGGGCTGCTCCGCAAACCGGACTGGAGCCGCCCCGATTCCAGCAAGCGACAACCGCGCGCCTGCGTACATTGTGCGCTTGGGCTGCGGGGTGTAGAAACGCGCTGCGACGGGAGAGGGCGAGCGCTCGACGTCCTCTGGCGGACAGACGAGTGAGTGGTCCACTTCGTCATCTATGTCGCTCGAAATATCGCCCATTTCTTCGTTGTCCTCGTGCGAGACGTCGCCTTCGTGAGAGTTGTCGCCTTCGTGGCAGATGTCGCCCTCTTCGAGAGGGAACTGCTCTTCGTTGGGCTGATCCCGCTCGTCGGCATAGTTCTCCTCATACTCTTCTCCGCTTTCCTCCGTCACTTCCTCCTCCTCGCTTTCGCTGGGCGACCCTGGGTCGGGCGAGGTGTGGAAGTCGAGGATACGTGCTCCGGGCTGGGGTCAACTTTACCTCTTCAACAGCACTCACAATAGAATACTCCGTGTCCAGACTCTCGCGGTCCGAGTCCGAGTCGTCCACAACTCCCTGCCCGTCCTCATACACCCACTGAAGCCCGGGCGTGTTCTCCTTGTCCTCGTCCTCACTCGCCTCGCTTGAGTCCGAGTCTGGTTTGGGCGGTGAGAGCGTGCGGCCAGAAGAGCGCCGCCGCCGCATCTCCACATGGCCCGAGACGATTTCACTCTCGACGGTCTCCGCCTCTAACCGCTTGCGAGCGGAGCGTATAAGTAATGCGCGGCGAAGAGAGTCGGAGCCAGGTCCCCGAGGAGTTGCGTAGGCCGCGCGAGGGGTCACCACGGGGCGTCGTGGACCGCCCATAGGTGATACTTCGGGAAGGGGGATAGGCGCGGGGGTAGGAGTCGCGGGGGCGGGAACGTCGTCATCGACGCCCTCGTCCACTCCGCCGTACGGGTCTTCCTCCAAAACCGCCATCTCGTCCTCGGAGACGTACTCGTTCTCGTCCTCGTCCATGTTGCGCTCAAATGGGGGCTGGGTAGGCAGCGCGAAAGTGATAGTCCGTGTGCGTGGTACCGCGCTTGTATTACGCAGCGGTGCCCGACCCTTAGGCTGCGGGGTCATAAAGGGATTCTTGGGCTACAGTTAGCACTGGGGTTTCCCAAAGGACACCCACCTTGTCATCGCGCTTCTCCAGGTAGATCTTGTCACCCTCATCACCCTCGGCGAGGCCCACAAGCTCGTCGAAGACGAGTGGCTCGTCCTCTTCCTCCTCAACAGAGTCAACTTGGGAGCCCTTACGGGCGGGGGTGGCAAAGCGGCTCTTGGCGGGGGAAGGTGCGAAGCGCTTGCCCTGGGGAACAATGCTGAGGCGGTGGCTCAGTCGCCGACTGTCACGCGCAGGCGTCCTAGCCGGCGAGTGGTAAGAGGAGGCGAGAGTGTCGCCGTACGAAAAGCGGAAGAGCTTCTTCCTGATCTGAAGGGTATCGCCGTCGCCCAGCGCGAGCACCGAAGGGGGGAAGTACTGCTTGCCGGCCCCCCCGGCGGGGGTATATATGAGCCCATTGTTGCCGTGCACAATGAGGTTGGCCTGCTGTCAGTTCATCCACGCAAGATCTCACAATGCCCGACTCTTCGTCGAAGAGAATCTCTGCGTGCATCTTGGATACGTCCTCGAAGTACAGGCGGATGTCACATTCCCTCTCGCGGCCGAGGGTGACGCGGGTGGTGTCGAGGGCAATGTGGGACGCGACCTCGCCAGTCTTGCGCTTGAGGAGGTGCAGCGCCCCGTAGACGTGGGGCATATCGACGTCGGGAGACGGCTCCCTCATGACGAGTGTCGGTGTGTCGTCGTCGATGGATGTCGTCAAAGGAAGGATGTCAGACTTGGAACCGCTGTTGTTGTTTGTTTTCGTTGAGGAAGGTCAGTCGCGCTCGTTGGGTTCCCCCACGTGGAATGAGTATTCAGCCCCCCATTTATGAGAGGCGGCGGAATCAAATCGTCAACCTTCGGCCAAGAGCGGCCCCACTCCCTGTGTGTCATGCCAGTCACCGTACGAGACCAGCCCGCTTACGGAGACCCTCGCGGGACACCGACATGCAGAAGCGAGACGCGCATCGCAGCTCATCTCTACCGCTCTCATCGTCGTCTTTCGCCCGCTCCTCGCTGCGCCGTACCTGTGTACACACTGCGCCCGTAGTACGATTGGCGCCGTGTCAAACCCGCGCCAAGCCTCCACTCAGGTCCCGCCGCCCGCGGACTTATCCACCACCTCGAACCGCCACCCATCTCACCATCTATGCCGTCGTACGGCGCGACCTCAGACATGTCCCGGCCCCGGTTATCGCCGCGCACACGGCGGCGCGAGCACCGCATCGCCCGCGCCGCAGACAGCACGCCTGGCGCGAGCGTGCTGTCGTCGTTTTCGAATCTCGCGAACACGATCATTGGGAGCGGCGCGCTCGCCTTCCCCTCGGCGTTCGCTAGCATGGGCCTCATCCCCGGCATCGTGTCGTGCTTGTTCTCGGCTTGCACGGCAATGTTCGGGCTGTGGTGCTTGAGCCGGTGCGCCGAGCTCGTGGGCAAGAAGCCTGGAGACGAGGGCCGCAAAGCGAGCTTCAACGAGGTCGCGCGCCTCGCGTTTGGCAAGGGATGGGTCATGCGGCTGTTTGATGTGAGTGGGGATGCGGGACAAGTGGCCGCGCGCCGCGTAGCGCGCAAGTATGGAGGGGAGCGATTGAGGGGCCACTTGCTCCATTGCTTCATCGCTCCTCGTCCCGTCACGCGTCGCGCGACGCGTCACGATGTGACAGCTCAGAGTTGTGCTCACCCCAGCTCGCCATCGCTATCAAGTGCTTCGGCGTGTCAGTGTCATACCTTATCATCTGCAAGGTGAGTTGCAGTGCGATGCGGGTTCAGTATGACCGGCGTATCGGCTGACGTTAGACGCTACTTCCGCAAGTATGCAAGACGTTCGCGCACATCTTCAAGACGACCATCGATCCGGACTCGATGCTTCTGTCGCCGACGTTCTGGCTCCTGCTCACCGTCCCAATCATTGTCCCACTCTCATTCATGCGCACGCTCGACAGCCTGCGCTTTACTAGCCAGATTGCGCTCTCTTCGGTGCTCTAGTGAGATTTCTAAATGTGGTCGCGTAGCTCACCGCAGCATGGTCATCGTCGTCGTGTGCTGGTACTTTATCAAGGGTCCTGACCCGAACCGCGGCGAGATCGTGCTCGGTCGCTTTGGCGCCAACACGCTCTCGTCGTTCCCAGTGCAGGTCTTTGCTTTCACCTGCGCGCAGAATGTGAGCTGCCCGCGTTGCGGTGCCTCTGTGCTGACTGCAGCTCTTCCCGATCTACAACGAGCTCAAGGACCGCTCGCAGGGCAAGATGAACCTCGTGATCGGCTCGTCCATCATGTCCGCGGCGTCCGTGTACGAGCTGGTGAGTACCAAATAAGCTGGGCCAGGGTTGACTCCAGCTCGGTGTGGTCGGCTACCTGACCTTTGGCTCCAAGGTCAGCTCCAACGTCATGGCGATGTACCCGTCCGACTCGATGGTGGTCGCCATCGGGCGGCTGGGTATCGTCTTCCTCGTGGGCCTCTCGTACCCGCTGCAAGCCCTGCCATGCCGCTCGTGCCTGTATCTTTTGACATCGGGGATCATCAAGGGCAAGAAACACAAGCTGCTGCCGCAGCAGCCTGAGCCCGAGTCCGAGTCGGACGACGACGCCTCAGACTCGGGCATCAGCGGACACGAGCAGGACTTTCTCATGCCCAAGGTGGGCGACGGGGCGCGCGGCCCGCCGGCGGCGGAGATGCCGCTGAAGAAGTATATCGGCTTCACGGTCGGCATTGTCGTGGCGGGCTACTGCATCGCGTTTTTGGTCGACGAGCTGGACATTGGTGCGTGGTGGTGTGCGCAGCGCTGACGCTAGTGCTGAGCTTTGTCGGCTCGACCGGCTCTACGATCATCAGCTTTATCCTACCGGGATTTGTGAGTTGCGCCTGCGCTGCGGCGCGAGTACGAGCGCTCGTGGCGCGCTGACGCCAGTTCTATTTCAGGCTGTATCGCGACCAGCGGGGGATCACGAAGTGGCTCGCCCTCGCGCTCGGCATCTACGGCGTCGCCGTGATGATGTTCTGCCTGACGAACAATATCGTGCAGCTGAGCCAGAAGCCACGGACAGGCCACTAGCTGCGCACGGACATGTATGCTAGAGGCTAGATGTGAGAGTCAGTCAGGACGGCAAGCTACGGATGGTGCCGGGCCGAAGCGAAGGCGATGCGGTGCATGTCTTGCGCGCGTGGTCGTCAGGGGCTTTGCGGGCAGCGGGCTACAGCAGGGTCTGGGAGCGGGCAACGAGTCCACAGGCGTACTGTACTTGGGCCGAGGGGGTACAAAAGGCAGGGTCCGGGCGATGAGGCTTGCCGCGGCAGTCGCTTCACGTGGAGCCAAACAAACGGGGCGGGGGCGGGGGCAGGCGGTGGGCGGCGGGCGGTGGGCGGCGGGCGGCGGGCGGCGGGCTGTACGGCCGGATCGATCGTACTCCACCTGCCACGTTGGGCGGCGCCCGGCCATGCCAGCCAACTGCTGCTGTTGGCAGAGAGCAGTGAGTGGCGACGTGGCGGATTGCGAGCTTTGTGGTGGCGACGGCTTGGGTCCAGTGACCCGGTGACCCGGCGACAGGGGCGTCTTGGCGGCATCGGAAGCAGCACGACGTCACATCACAGAAGGCGAGCGCACGATCCTCTGCTGCGCCGCATGCGGCGTGCTCGGCCAGCAGTGAATTGCTAGAAGATACCAGGCCATGTATAGTGTACTTGTGGCACGCAGACGCAACCGCGGCGGCGGCGTGCATGCCGCCGCGTCCCTTGACCGGGGCGCGGGCGAGAGAGCATGATCGGGCGTACTGGAGGCGGCACATGTGTCGAGGGGCGAGAGAACTAGAGAACAAGGCAATGACAACTGCAGAGCGGATAATTGATAATCAGCCTCAGATTCATCGTGCCCTTGTTCGGCGCCCTGCGGCCAGCGGCCAGCCGCCAGCGGCCAGCCGCCAGCGGCCAGCGGCCTCGACGGAGCGGAGGCGGAGAGTGCGGAGAGGCTATTCGGCGGGCTTGGATGCGAGGCACACCCACGCTGGTGGATTGAAGCTTAGAACGCCGCCTGCATCATGTCGGGCCAACTTTGACGGCCTCACCTCGGAGGCCCGGAGGAGAGGACCAAGAGCCGAGTCGGATCGGGCGTACTCGTCATTCTGGTATGCAATATATGCAACGCAGTGCGAGCGCCAATACGCCAAGTGCGCCAGTGCACGCCATGTTAGTGAGTGCTTGTGCGTGTGGCCATATGGGACATGGATGGATAGTAGAGCGCTACGAGCGCTAGAGCGAGCGTTGCTGGCGCTGGAGTAGGACTGGTACTGGAACAGGGGGGGTGTGCGTATGCCTCGATGCCTCGTTGCCTCGATGCCTCGATGCCTCCCAGCTATTCCGGAGAATAGAGCGTGTCATTAGAAAGACAAGTGTACCCGCACAAAGTAGTGGCTTCCCTGAGATAAAGTAGAGCCTACGCACACGAGCAGAGCACTGTCCCTGACATGCCCCATCTGTTTGTCCCTTGATCTTACGCCCTCGCCCCCCTCCTTCCCCCTTGATCCCTGCAGCACATGGACAGTTCCCCACTCATGCCACTCACTCTCCCGATCTAGTCTTAATAAAAACATCACGTATCCTAATGGACGGGATTAAAGTTCATCCTAATCCATCAACCCCATCAACACCTTGTTAGCACCCTCCAAGCTCCAAGAGCTAGCTCCTCTTCTTCCCTCATCATCCTCATCCTCGTCCTCGCCATCTCCACTCCCCTCCTCCCCCCTCCTCCCTCCTTGTTCACCCTCTTCCATCTCCCCCCCCC